CCCAGCGCGCATTTTGATAAAGACTGATAACGGTCACGCTTGACTTGAAAGCTGTGCTGAAGGGAGTTTACTGACAGCGGTCCCAGGAATTGAGACCCAAAAGTTAGGTACAGGAAACCATCGCTCACTAGCCAGCCTTAAGTTTAACAAGACCTAGTTAGCCCAAGGATGGCTGAAAAAAATCATGGCTAGACTAAAATTCAAAATCGTGAAACTCCCGAAGGGCGAACAGGTCTCGCCGGCCAGGGAGCTGAACTGTCACCAGAAAGGATGAAAGGAGAAGACCAGAGGGTTTTCCAGGGATCTGTTGGGTACCTAACTGGACACAAGATCCAGGTCGCTGGAATCTTCAAGGTGGCATGATTCATATACGGGACAAACAACATATATGACCATACAGCTTCCCGTGTGCACTGAGGGGACAAGTTGACAGATCTAGGACCAGCAATAACACGATGTTATATAACCGACCACGGGCCAGCCCTGGTTCGGCCAGGCCGGGTGGTTCTGCCCTGGTCAGTGGTCATTTTAGCGGTTAGTCGAGCCGTGAGTCAGGTACAAGTCGGAGCATAGCACCGACGTCGAAAGAGGGCCATCCGGGGGTGCTCAGACATGATGAGGTAAGGGAGGTTACTGCTGGGGTCAGAAGGTACTCGACGAGTGAAAACGGGCTGAAATCACGAACGAGATGCCGTTTTTCAATGGTGATTGATGATTCATAAGACATAGTTCAACGGAAAGCCTATATCTTCCTCGTCTTGCTAATAAATACGGGTGATACACGCGACAAAGACAATAACTTTTTTATAATCAAAAACAGCATGCATTTCCGGCCACGTCGGTTCCAAACCACAGCACGACACGACGAGCCGAAGTGAAGGCGAATTCGAGCATCTTCCGTCACGCAATTTACAGAAAATCAACAAAAAGTCAAACTATCCAATGTCTGCTGGAAGGTGGTGGCAACGGCCAGTACCTCTCCAGAATCGGCTATGCGGCAATCAGCTACCTTCTGAAGATAGTGAATCGGTATCACCTGAGACTGAGCCAATCTGAACAGACACCAAAGAGAAATCGTGTGCTGCGCAAGCAGCTAACAATGCCGACAGTAGGGTTTGGTTGCGTCAGGGCAGCAGTCAGCAACAACATGCGAAATCATGCCGACTCTGCGATCCAGGCTCTGCTCGGTTGAACGCCGTTCATGAAGTCTGCCGAACGGCAGCCTCACAAAAGTCTGACGTCACACTCACCAAAGGTATGACGTCACAATGAAACACTCATTAATCATCAAATCGGCACGAATTGATTGATAGCAGCGCAATAAACGCGACATGATCTAGTCATGAAATGCAAGAGAACGCAGTGACCCCTGGCCTGAGAAGGTGACCGAGCGCACCTTCAGGGTGCAGGGGCGAGGCGAATTGACCGCCCACGTTCGTCTGCGATACAATTGTATCTCACGTGTGACGGCTGACGATTTCAGCAATGCATATTTGACGATTGTTTGGCCAGCTTTCGATGCAATGAGCAATTCTGATCGTTGTCGCACAATGATAAGATGGTTATCTTTTTGCACGAGCCATTCATTGAATTGCAATGGTTTCCACTAAACAGCGATGACTTTAGAAAAACAATACACCTGTGACCTGACTAATCTTTACCGATGTCTGAGGCGGCCCACTGCGCGCCCGCCCACTGGCTCGAATTATCGTGAGAGACGGGGCTATCAGAGTTCTCAGGGGTCCTTCCCCGCTCCCAGCCAGGTCAAGGACAGCTTACGTAGCCTCCGGCGAGGCTCTGCGGCTAGCTCAGCTCGTAACTGGGTAACGCCGACTTCTTAGCAGCTAAAAGCTTGTCCCTCGAACCACCGTCCCACTTTTCTGGGCGTCGCCAACTCCGGCTAAAAACGTGCCCAAGGGGAAGGCTGCAAAGATAGTGAACCCTGGATTGTCTGTTCTCACGGATAATGAGGACCAAAGCAAGGAGCCTGGTCCAGTCCATGGTGGCATGTCGAAGAAACAGATGTTTGATTGTTCCTTTGAACGACTGCTAGCTGGATAATGGTTTGTTGGGTCCACAAAGGAATAAACACAGAGCATTTATCACTGCTTTTGTGTATACTGACTGTAGTGTAGATTCTACGGAGATTAGCCGTTCTGAGAATTGTTTTAGATCCTAGACAGGTATCAGGTGTTAAATCTGCTTTCATGATCCCGGTCGGTTCCGCCGCGTGAACGTATGACTTCTATAGTCATGCTGCCGTTGCAACTTTACAAATAAGCCGTCATCATACCCTTATAACATGAGCGGCTTGATAAACACCTATTCACCCGCCTGTGACCCAGTCTCTGACCTTAAAAAAAAATCAAAGACACATGGGACCCTTCGAGAAATACCACCCCAGGACCACGCACAGTATCCATGACATATTTACACAGCAGTGAATCCTTCGCGCGAGCCTCGCTCGTTGCGTGACGGCCAGCGAGCGCCGAGCGACGAGCCGTGACCGGGGCACCTCCGGTGGTCTCACGGTGAATTTACCTAACGAGACGCCGTCCCGTGACCCATATTCAGCGGATCCGACAACGTTCTTCCCTCCAGCACGTCGCTACATGAAACGGGACCGCAGGAGTCCCTAGCTCCTTGCAGTGGCGGATCCAGGGGGGGGGGGCAAAATGGGCATTTGCCCCCCCCCCCCAAACGGCATGATTTTAACATTACGCCTATGGACGATGCATGGAAAGAATCGATAAATTTTTATGGTTTGCCCCCCCCCCAAACCTCTGAGCTGGATCCGCCTCTGGCTCCTTGAGCTATTGAAATTACATGAGATCTAACGTTCAGAAAAAAAATCAAGTTAGCCATATTAGTAGATCATTCAGGGGAAAATTATGAATAGATGTTGCTAGTGTAGCGACACTTTTCATGCGGAGTTAGTAATGGTAACTACTAACTATGTCATTAGGTCTTATCAAGAATCAAACTTCCTTCATGATTTCAAAATTCAATAAATAAAGAAGCCCTATGACCATCTCTGGATTGCACAATACAGGATGCCTCGGTGTCTCAATCCGACGGAAACTGAAGAAATGATTTTGTTTGGCACCGTGATCATTGTTGTTTGCTTACACCTGACCCCACATTCCGTCGGAGAAAGTCATCAGTGTTCCCAGAATAACATATCATTAACCATTATAATTTTCCTTCTTCGTATGAACACGTCAGTGGAACTGGATATTGTTTTAATCGGTTCCCCTCTCCCGTCCCCTCCACCCACACGGGGCCCTGTGTTCCCATTGACCTCTGCAGCACACCATCGTTAACCTTCTGGAAACTGCACGGGTTAAGCTCCGCTCCCACTGACACTGAGTGCTGTCGACGCGCCGCGCTGTCTCCGGTGATCGCTGATGACGCCCAGCGGCGGTGACGTCACCAATACGTCATCGGAGGCAGACGGGGGTCATCTCAGGGTTGGTAGGTCACGGCTAAGGAGATTTGGGAGGGAAGGAAAGGTGGGACCGACCGTTAGTCAAGTAAGATGAAACGGTTGTGTTCAGTGACGGCAAAACGGTTGCAATGGACTGATTGCAGGTCAGGTCAGGTCAAGTCAGGTCAGGTTAGGTGGAGTTGGTACACAAAAGCTGGATTTGTTTCGCCGGAATGACTGATATGCACCTATGATTACACACGAAAAGAAAATATTCCGACATTGGATGCCTATATGGTACACAATAATTCTACATACATACCTAGCTGTTCACTGATAAAGTCATTGGGCTCACAAAGTCACTGGGATCACAAAATACCTGCTGTCATGCTCTTTGCAAAATGCAGAATTGTTCAGTTAGTTGACGATTTGTCATGCCGTGCAATGGCCGCATGTATTTGTGCAGGCCGCATCCACTGAAGGTAAGCATTTGGCATCGAGCCCGTTTCCCGTCCTCTGCTTTACTTCCTCCATACTCTTTCCATCCACTGCCTTCTCTTTTATGGTCTATCCCTCTGGCACCCCTCAGCTCATTCTTTCTATCTAATCTTTTCTCTCTTCGTCTTTCTTCTCTGTCTCTGCCCCTGTCCCTGTCTCTGACTCTCTCTCTCTCTCTCTCTCTCTCTCTCTCTCTCTCTCCCCTCTTTCCCTCTCTCGTCTCTCATTCTCACTCTCCCTCTCCTTCTCTTCAACCCTCAACACCCGGCTACCCGTCCGCTGCCCGGTTCCATTAACACACTCGAGCCTTGCCTCCGGTCACTGGGCCCGGTAGCGTGACATGCGCCCGGTGCCCAGTCGTCCCTGGTGAAAGTATTACAGCTGCGGCGCGGACCGACTCGGGTCAACGGTCGCGCTAGCTTCGGAAGCAGTTTGGCTCCCACTGCGAGACGCCTGATTCATTTATCATGGAGGACCCGGTTCATAGAGCTGAAAGCAATTTAACGTTAGGTTTCTTGTGATTCATGTGATGATTCATGCGATCATTTCTTTCAACAAGTGTTTCTAGATAATTCTCAAAAGAAAAATTGCCATTGTGCACGCGAATAAGGGAAAGCTTACCAAAATAGAGCGTCTACAAGAAAGCATTGAGAAAATTAAATATAGGGAAATTAGGAGAGCTCGTTTAATGACGCTGCGCCCTTTCCAAGAAACGTTGCGAAACGGGCCCCACGCCACCTCATTCTGTCTACAGCGGAAATGGGACATGATCTAGCAAATCTGGAGACATCGCCGGCATCACGCCGCCCGTTTGGCAACTTTCCGTCACCGAGATCGCCGTGCTTTCCGTGCAGGGAGGGGGAGGGAGGGGGGATCACGGAGAGGGGTGAGTGATCGGTGAGATTATCCCGTGACCGTAACGGTGATGGATAAAATGTGACGATCACCAAGGGAAAATCGGAAATTTGAAAGCACAGTGGACTGACGAAAATCAATGCAAGAGTTCAGATGCGTCCTCAAGTGTTTCACGTTCGTTCAGGGGTGTTTGCAAAGAGAAAACAAAAATAGACAAATGTAGTGTGATCGTATATATTATTGAGAATAGACTTAACTCTACGACGCATTACACAATCAACAAACGAATAGACTTTTATGTCCTAGAAGCACTGACCAAGCAGAGGCGGGTCCTGCGACACACGTTATACTTCCAGTGAGTGTAGGCAGCGGCATTAACCAGTCTCCTTCGAAGGCGTCAAGCTGTTCAGGTGAAAAAGATCCGCCCTAAGTGCGTTAACAGTGTGTCGAAGCGATAGGCAAACTAAAGACCAGACCGGCCCAATGATTAACAAGTCAAGAGCATCATCACACGCACACGCAGACGCACTAATATTGTGGGAGCGGCCAGATGCGATATTGTCTCGCCCAGAGAGGGCACTTGACCTGACCTAAACGAAAGGACCTCTATCTAACGCACAATCACACTCGCATCACATGGGAAATCAAGCATACTGAAACTCAGAGAAGATTGTGTGGGAAAATGTAGCTTCTGCTCCTTTGAGTGACTTTGCTGCATCCGACACGGAATAAAGTCACTGCAGAGTCAAACACCAGTACAAACAAATCACAACTCATTTCCCGCCGGAGAAACTGTGGTGTTCCTTCCCTCTCCCTGCCTTTTTATCATTCTATCACCCTCTCCTCCTTCATCTTACTCTTCAGTTTTCATCTTTCCCTTCGGATTGACCGCCTGTTCGCCCTCCTTCTCTTCCCAGCTGCTCTTCCCTTTTACTCAGGACGGTAGCGCACAACGTGTCGAAGTCCAACCGCATCAGAAGACCAGCTAATCACAGCTTCAGAGCGGCTCAGCACCTGACTCGACAGTCTGCCTTTCAGCACTCACTCCCGACCTGACCTGACACGCGATTTGACCTGACCTGACCTGGCACTGCTGCTGGGCTAACGTGATACCAAGAGCGGAGCTGGGAGTCGTATCGTTTGGACAGAAGACTTGCCTGGGTCGATCCGCAAGGTCACAAAGGCAGCCAGAAGGCAGCAGCCTGATCTAGAATGGCGTCTCGGGCGTTTGCAGACTTCATTTCTTCTGAGGAGTATTTTCACTCTCTCAGCGCCGCCAGTCTGTCGAAACACAAACAAGAGAACGGGTCAGTGAATTATTTCAGCGAAATGAGCGACACGGTGCCGATGCCGAACGTCATTAAACGTCCAATGATTGTAATGTAGTGCATACGACAAGCAACAACAGCCGTCATTAACATTATTAGGGTGTTTGTTGAATGGTACGTCAGAACGGTGTCGCTGAATCTCATTGCACTAGTAGTTAGACAAGCATATCACGCATACTAGAAATAAAAATAAAACAAGTTCGCAAACAGCAGTAAGGATTCGACAGCCAGGAGTCTTGATTGTCAAGCCTTATTTAGCTTGAACGCAGGCCTCATGTAGCCCAACAGAGCACAATAACAGCTCAACTAGACATCTCAACCACTAGCAGCACTCCATCTATATCACTTGCCGCTGACAGGCCAGCCTCGCCTGTTATCAATCTCTGTGGCACGTGCCACTCTCCCCTCGACCGGGGCGGGTTGGACGGTGTGAGGGGGGGGGGGGCGTGCAACAACACAATACGCTCCTGTTATTCCCCTTTCATCGCCCGGCCATTCAAGGCGACCATTACAGCTCTGATAAAACCACCAACACACCCGTAGTCGGGAGCACGTACAAAGCGTACGCGGTTTAGTGCTACACGTACCGTGGCGGCTGACACGGGAGTCAATGGGGCTGTTCCCGTGCCCTCCACCAAAATAAGTTTACAACTCGATGGTGGCGGTAAAATTGAGTGGGACACAGATACGCACAGCAGTTTTTCCTGTAAACAGCATGAGAGCTGAGCCACCTAGCATTACCTCTGCATCAGAAATGCAGACAAATAGCGACGAACTTCCTCCAGTAGCCTCGGACAAACGGCGAGCGTTTTGATATCCCTCTCCACAACGGTGGAGATGAGAAACGATTCTGTTATTCGCAGTGGGATCAAATGGATAACAATGAGCCCGCATCAGAATTACATGGCAATGCCTTTTTCGTGTATCATTTAATCGAAGTCAATTCAGTAGATACCACGGACACAGTCGCAATTTATGCGGACAAACGTCGCCCAGACGGTCGTCCCGTCCCAAAAAAAAAGATTGGAGGGACACTATATTAAAAAAAGTCGGATCTACCCCTGGGATCTACAGCACCAACAGGGGACATGCGAGTGTAAGTGAACAGACATCACTCACACCGAGTGAGTTTCCCTGTTAACTAATCCTGCAGTGTTGCTCTGCGCAGCCGGATCAACCAGCCGCCGCGGGGCACCCGAAGCCTCCGCGGCGCAAGAGCTTGAGCGGCGCAGCCACCAATTAACGCTCCTTTCGAGGTGCGGCCGGCCGGCGGCAGCTTTTTCAGCCTTTACGATCGCGGCCGGCCGGCCGGCGCAGCGTGTTGAGAGTGGCGCGGTGCGGTTTGCCTTTTTGCGCCGTGCCGGCTCTCCCCCGGGCGGTGGAGTAGAACGGTGGCGCTGGCCGGCGAGTTATATAACAGCGGACCATGCCGCGGCCCGGGTCAGGGACAAAACATGGCGGCCGGGTCACCCGGGCGCGCCGGACGACATGGGGTGGGCGGGGCGCGGCTGATGTCTGAGAGAATGTGCCCCGGTCAGACAGGATGAGGGTAATGGGTGTCAATGATTGGTTACATAATATAGAGCAGCGTGAGTAAAAGTCAGGAGATGTAGGTAAGAGTGAGAGTAAGAGCAAGAATGGCGAGTGATGCGTGAATAAGAGTGAGAGTGAGAGAAGCGGAGCGGGAGAGGGAAGGAAGAGAGGGAGCAAAGGACAGAGGGAGGATTAGATAAAGAGAATTGTAGGGTAGGTACGAGTGAGAGCTTAAGCGAAAATACGAGCAGTCCTCAGGCACCACCTCGACTCCGTCTCAGTTGCCGTCATTTATTATTCACCACTGACCACACCGTGATAAGTATTTAGCCTCGGGTGAGTTCCCCGGCAGAGAGTCCCCAGGCGTACCAGAACACCCACATCTGCGTCTGACAGTTCAACAAACAGTCCTGGGTCAAGTGCTGGCACACCGGAACAACGCTATAAGGTGAACACATGGGTCAGCGCGGCGCGACCGGTCTCCATGGAGACCTGCTGACTGTTTACGGGACGGTCAGCGACCATGCACAGCAGGGGAGAACAGACGAGACATGCAGCGAACAGACGAGCTATGAAGTCAACAGACGAGCCATGAAGTGAACAGAGGAGCCATGGAGGCAACAGACGAGCCGGCATGGGGACAACAGACAAGCCATGAAGCGAAGAGACGAGCCATGAAGCGAAAAGACGAGCTACCTATGTGGACACGGGAAGGGGTAGGGTGGAGATGAGCCGTGCGAACAGCAAGAAGAACTATAATTATGAAAATGCTAAGAGTGAATGAACACAGCGACAGAGCAACGCGACCATGAAGAGAAAATATGAGTTTTGAGCATCGCGGGAGAACACACGAGCCGAATAAAATACAAGAGCTGTGAACTGAGAACAACGGGCCGACAACAGACGAGGAAGCTGACCAGTGAGCATTCCGACCCGTTGTCAAGCTGAAAACGAGTGAAATAGCGGAGAGAGCCCGGGGTAGAGGACGGAGAATGGAGATAGCCGGTCAGAAGGCAGAACCGATCGTAGAGTTGTGCAGAGGCTATTTGATATTCATGAATGCAGTGCAGGAACAATAGGTCTTGTTTATCTAAAGTAACGGCAAACAAATGGACGGACAGTCTAGATACGATGTCGAACATGAATAACCACGATTAAGAGTACCTATCAGATGCGAACTCTGCAACAGCAAACAGCTAGCTTTATCCACCCGACAATGCACGGGAAATGTTCTTGTGTGACTTCACTTCTAATAAAATCGACCATAACAGGCATGAGAGTTCAGGTGAGTTTTACGCTTCAAGTCGACCGAACAACCTCAGGGCCTGAACAGGGTAAATTCAGTAACCTGTCTAACTCCGGACCACGCAATCCACTGTCATGTCCGCTGCGGGACCTTGCCAGAGTAATACACTCTCTTGTTTTGATCGATCATTTAGGTACAATCCCCCTGGGACCTGTGAGTCCAATACCATTAAATCAACATGCACGCAAACCCAGAACAACGATTGAGCGCGGTCATTGAACTTATGGTGATCATCCTCGTTGGAAGGGGACGAGTAATAGCAGCAGGCCGATGATATATCAGGCTCACGTCAGAGATACCGTGAGCTGTCCGCGGTGAACCATTGGGTTCTCTGAGATCAAAGATGTGACTCAGTGGCAGAGACCCGTGTTATATAAACAAAACAGATGTGGTCGTCTCTTCTCGGCGGTTAGCTGTTGAAAGGGATGGTATCAAATATGGGGCTATAGAGCCGTAATACCAGCATAGTAATGAAATTGAGAAGGGAACATAGCAACAACAAAATGGTTCAATAGTTGGGTAGAAAATGTTTCACTAGCTTCCAACAGTAGAATGCTTTCAGTGCGTAGTCACTTCAATGTGTGTTCCGGTCGCTTATCGGAAGGCTTATGAGATAACTCGTTCACCCAGACGTGACTGTCCACCAAACTCTGTGACTCCCGGGAGTTTTCGATTTCCAGAGAGGAAACATAAGACAGGACTGGTGACGTAGAAGTGATGTCGAGGATACTGTTCTTCAGCTGCAGATCATACTGTCCATGAGCAGCCCGACCCGAAGCCCAGGGCTAGCCCCTTCATTATAAGTCTCACCCATTCTACGACCACCTCCCTCATCCAGCCTTTTCAGACGATTCCTCACGCGCCGATTAGATACATTTTCCCGTTCGCTTATAAAACCAACGCATAAGTAAGTCACCTTCCAACCGCCAGACCTCTTGCACTCGTACCATTACTATCAGTGAGTACAAACACATACGAATTAACAGACGACCGGGAAGCATACATGGGAGCAAACCAGGCTCTGCAGCTGCTGAGCAACATTCCGAGAACATGCTGAGAAAAATACTGCTGGCATGAGAATAACATAAAAATCAGACGTGCCGACGTTTTCCTAAGAAAATGCTCACCCGACGTCTGGTCTGGTTTATGCACCGGATGTTGGCGAGCGCTGAAGATGCCTCCTTTCCCACACACCCCAGCCACACACCACAGCAATCAGGCCTCATGCTATGGTTTTCTGTTCAGTAAGCGCCACTGTCCGGGACCACTAGCGACATCTATCCCTCACAGCATAAGTGCGCCGCTGGGCTGCATTCTAGCCGACTACCAGCGAGGAAATGCAATAAGCGGAAGCAAGTTGGTCCATTGAGGTACAACACGGTCGTAGATCACGCCAAAATGCTTTATATTAAATACAACGGTAGAGATTTGAGTACAAGCGTGGCAAAGTGAGAGAGTGCGACGAGACGGATGTCGAGATCGGGTGAACAGTGGTTGAGCGGTTGAGTGAACAGCAGACGAGTGTGGATGGGGCACAGAAACAGAGTACAGACGGGACAGACGAATGCAGTGGATCCGGCCTCACCTCCTGGAGAGAGCGTCGTCCTGCTGCGCAGTCCTCTCTCCGACTGAGGCGGTGGGCACGGACAGGCCGCTCAGCTGGCCAGAGACCTCCAGGCCGGCCTCGTCAGCCACCTGGCCGGCACAGACGCAAAGAGACGAGTGAGTGAGATGTCAGGGTACAAACACACATCGTACGTGTGTACGGGCCTCGTACGCAGCCTTTCCTGCAGAGACATTCCAAATTGGTCGGGTAGTCAGTCACTGGATTAGGCAATAGACAGTCAGTGTGTATGTTTCCGAAATGACTAGTAACAACTTGGGGCGATTAAGATGTTAAATGAGGCATGCTCCACTGCAACGATGAAACATTCAACATTACATAGATGGTGTACGCCCAAGTGAAAATATCATTCCTTCGACGAGCAAGCATGTCAACTTACTGAATGATCAAAACACTAGTAATCCAGAGGTAGCCCTCTCTCAGGCTGCTGACGTCTGTCGACTGACCTGCTGGATGAGCGACTCCACCTGGTCCTGGGGAGTCGAAGTGGCCGTGGTGCTACCCATAGCGTCCTCCAGCACCTGAGAACGGCGGCAGCGACACCGACGGGTTAGATACACGGTCAATTAGTCACTAACCTCACAGATTATCAATGCTGCAGCAGCCAACACATTACATGAAAATTGAAGCACGAAGACAGCATATAGCATTACTTTGCAAACCACAGCTAATGAGATGTTGAAAGAGGGATGGATTGAGAGGAGCGAGACAGAAAGAGAGAGAAAGAGAGGGCGAGAGACGGGAGGGATAGGGGCGAGAGAAAGAGAAAGAGACAGAGGAGAGCCGACTCACGCTGCTGCGGACGTCCAGGTCCTCGAACTGCTTCTCAAACTTGTCCATCACCGAGGAGACCTTCTCCAGATCCATCGAGTTGAGCGCTTTGTCCAGAGCCTTCACCACGCCGTCCATGTTCTTGGTCACCTTGAGTAATGGAGAAAGAGGTGAACACATCCGACATTAACAGGGAATACACAGCTCCAAATGAACCTGCTTAGCGTAAGAAATAGTGAACCGTCGACAAGCTATAATGCATTACTTTTTATGTTTTGACAAAGTGCGAGTAATAATATCTTTCACGATGATCAACCATGCCTTGAACGTCAACCAAATCAACCAGATCGCCTTCTAAACATCGTTCACTTACCGACTGCATGGCCATAGCGCTCTGGGTCCGCGACGCCACCGCGTCAACCTTGCTCGCCATCCGCAGATAGTTGAGGCTCTCGTTCTTTTTGCGGATCGCGTTCTCGGCGTAAATGCGCGCGCCCTCGACGCTACCCTTCTGTAGAGCGGCAGCAGTGTTACAAACACTCTCAGTTAACAGCAGAACATACTCAACACATGGTAGGATGCAGTCGCTATGAGCTTTTGAACAAAATTTATTCACAAGGTGTTTCCTATTTAAGCGATTGTGATAGTACGGCAGCAATCTTACTTATCCCGTAATGTATCCCCGGACTATCAGCCCCGATTAAATTAAATATTGCCACAGTGGCGAACGAATGGAACGTCAGTTGCTGAGCGCACCTGCAGAGCCCGTTTGACCTTGGCCTGCTCCTTCTTCTGATCCTTTTCCGCACGCTTGGAGAGACGTTCCATCTGTTTGGCGCAGAAGCGCAGCTGGAACATTGTCTCTGTCGGCCACACAACATGTGTCGGCCACACAACAGGTGATGGCAGGTTCCAGAGCACAGGCAAGATGCCAAAGGGGCTTGCAAGAGGGCATCGCTGGATAAACTGATATGTCACCACTCAACAGTGAATTTGACAGCAGCAAATTGCAAAATAAATGACAAAAAAAAGCCCAGCTGATATTCTGATGTAGTAGTAATAGGTTATAGGCATAAGGAAGACACATGTATTGCTCATCAAATGGAAAGATGTTACCTAAAAAAAAAACTATTTTAAAATTGTCTGAATGGTTGAATGGATTAAACAGGCCAGAGTAACAGCAAAGCAGAGCTTGCTGCATTCATACTACCCTGCCCAATAACCTGAGCCCAGTTCACCAGTAAGACTCTGAGCTGAAAGCTGAACACATGCCATGAAAAAAGTGTCACTATTCTCATGGATCTAGTGTGGCCTCCTCTTGCCAGTCAATTGCCAGCTGGCCTTAAAAACAATGCAAATCAAAGTACATACTCTAACCAGCTCAGACTCACTGCTACAGCCTACAGACACAGAGTCCTCAGTTACAGTCAGCAGGCACCTAACACACTCAGCCATGAGGTGACAACTGTGCCAAAGCTGATGAAAAAATGCATATCAACTGTGTTTTTAAGATGCTATTCAGTTTTTATTTTCATCAGCAGGCTCAAGGCTGCCAGCTTACTGGGATTATCAGGCTCATCATTAGCCAAGTCCACATGGTCTGTGTGGTTCACCAATGAGAGGCCAAGAAATACTGCCAACGAAAAGCAGTGGGGGAAACTGGCAGCATGCTGATAAAAAACAGCAACACCAAGCAGCATGAAGGACTGATATGGAAGAGCTGAAACATTGCAGAAATGTCTTACCAAACATTTTATCATTCATTTTAATATTATTTTGATGATCCTTCTTGATTGTTCACCTGCAATGAAGATGCATACAAATAACATGTTAGGGTTATAGAAACTGAAAATATTATATGTAAATAATATGTTGATCTGTAAATCCTATAACCAGCTTAAACTGCAGATTTCTATTTAAAGACATGATTAATTGACCCTGATCCTTTGATATATTTCTGAGCAGCACTATAGTCTATTTATTCAACGACGTCAGTCCGCTTTAGGCTCACAAATGAATAGGTAATTCACGAGACAAGCAGTGGGATTGAACAAAAAGTCAAAAAGTAAAATCAAGAGTAAGCTAATATTTCAAACTGCTCAATGTTAAGGTATGGATGTTCAGCGTGCACTTTTCACTAAAGCACTCAAGGTCTCAAAGAGGACCGCCATCGTTAAATAACAATAAACAGACTACAGTTTTGCAGGCAACCAGCCCGCTCAATATGAGTGAACCCCATTTCAGAATATTCCTTATTTTCTTAAGATCACGAATAATCAGCACTAGCGGATATTTCATAAACAATCACAATCTGTCCGAGCCAAAATTATTTGGAATCCACCACACCCAGCACTTACTTGAACCACACAGGATAAAATAAAAAATAAAAGCCCTTAGCCCGCGCCACTTGTTGTCCCTGGTGCGTGGCCTTGAGCTGTGAATCACAATAGAGGTGGGAGTACATTTATTGCTGGGAAGTACAAATACATTTTTCACCTAGATGCCGATAAAGTTTTGGAATCAAATTTTTCATGAGCGAGAAAACTTAATTAATACGTAAAAAGAAACCTCAAGATGTCAGTAATTTTACATGTTAACGATGAAAACTTAGTGCGAGTATTTGGGAAACACAAAACACTTTATGTCCAGCTCTACATGGTATTTCGACCAATGAGGCGGTAGTTGACGCTCGTGGATAGCTGACTGCTTCAACGTGCGCGTTTTGGCCGTGTTTTTCATTGGCGTGCCGATAGGCTGAATCTGTGGATTATCAGGTTTGTTTTTCATATATTTATAAATTTCGCTTCCTTCTTAACTCGTATTTTGGTGGTCAACCTGAATCAAATGGTCAAACTTCGTATTATTTGTCTTTCATTTGTACCGTCGCAGTGCGTCGTAATTGTATTTACGAGGATTGGTGCGAACATCACCGTATATAAATATAATAATTATATAAATTATATTTCCTTTCTTTTAGATATATCAGCTATTCAAATGCTGGTATGATGTAATAAGTTCCTCAGACCTCAGGTGCATGCGTGCTGATTTGGTTTTTGGATGCTTTGCGAGGAAGGTGCTTTTGCCGACATCGTGTTTGAATATTATTCTATTTTCTCTGCTCAATATGTCAGCTTATCTGTAACAATGAGATAGTCATTGTTTTAAAGAATTGAATGTCAAAAATCCAGTTGCTATCACAATATGGCTGGAATATGATATATGCGTTTTTAGGGGATAATGTGTAGCCTATGTTTCCCTATGAAAATTTACAAAATGTCTATTGCCAAAACTATTATTGCACTGTACTCAGCTTAAGCTTACATTGTTTCTGGAATTGTAATAAATTAGGACAGTTTTTGCAGCTGCAACTTGCAATGTGTTCTAGCAAGCATTGAAAATATTTTTGTAAGCTGGTACTAAATTCTGAAGGGAATGCCTCCAGTGATAAGTTATCAGCTCCTCTTATTTTAGACATATTTGACTGAACTAAATACTGACTTCAACCAGCTTAGAAAGCAAGAACAACTTTTATGGTCTGGGTCATGCATGATGCATCACATAACTAATTCCCTGTATGAACTCCTGGAATAAAATGATATTGATGTGTTTTGGGCTTTGGCAGTAATATCTTCCAGCAGCATCAATAATCATAATGAGCTTGACTGGGCTACACAATTCAGGATGTTTTCCAAAACCACATAAGAGCTTTATAGGTCTTGCCTGAGTCCATATTATTGCCCAGCTGCTTATCCTCATGCCTTGCCAGTTGCGTGGTTCTCATGCATGAGCATGTTCCCTAGTCCCTTACAGTGTTTTACTAGGCTAGTGTAGGGAAAAGGAATCCTAACAGAAAGCGAGCTTAGAGAGATAATTATCAATTGAACAGTGAACACTTGGTGACTGTTAAATGTCAACTTTTATGTTTGATTCATTCACTAAAAGGAAATGTTATTGCCTGGTGAACTATGAAGAGTTGTTTTCAAAATACCTTATTCACTTAATGAATGGAAAATGTTACCACCTTTTAGGAGAAGCTTGAATTCATCTTTTCTTAAAGGGAAAAATTATTACAGCCTTTATGCAGTGAAATGTGATAACTAAAAGTGTTATTTCTTCTGTAGTACATTCTTAATTCTTATGGTAGCACAAGAACCCTAACTGCTATTGGAGCCACAAACCATTTATCCCTTGATTCCCACCATAAAGCTACCCATTTGAACCTCTTAAACCCTATTCCTGGCGGGCTCCGCCGGGACAAGAAACTGGCGGGGGGGGGGCCGATTCGGCCGATTCGGCCCCCCCCCCACTGAGATCTCGAGAACGAAGCAAGATAACGACAAGCGGTAAACGGCATCAGATACGCACGGCCAAGATCTACAATTTTTACTAAGGTCATTTTCAGGTCAGGTCAAAGATGACGTCACAGGGGTCGAAAAAGTCCAAATGGCGGCGCTAGATATGGAGAGTTTTTCTCGAATAACTTTCGAATTAGTCAAGATAGGAACAAACTAAGGGCATCATCGTGATCCTCTCGTCAATCCGCATCGAATGATATACAGGGTCCGGCAAAAGTCTTGACGTAGTTTTAAAATCGTTCCACACTTCAAGCCATCGTAAATAAAGAAGTTGTTCAGCGCTCAATATATTGTCCACGGACAAGCAAACACTTGCGAACACGGTTCGGCATACTGGCCACGAGAGTGGAGAGCACAGACGGCTAGATTCGTGACCACGCAGACTTGAGCTGCGTCTCCAGCTGCGCGAGGCTGGTTGCTGGCGTCTGTTTGTCGAGGTCTTTCTGGACGATCGCCCACAGCTCTTCAATGGGATTTAGGTCGGAACTGTTCCCCGGCCCCTCCTTCACCCAGAAGTGCGGCAGGTTGTCTCAGCACCACTGCTGGGCTGTGGCAGAGCGATGCGCTGGAACCCCTTCCTGCATGAAGATGGCTTTCGACCTCTCAGCCACCATCCGTCGCTTCAGAACAGAGCCGTTTCTGGGAGTTCCTCCGAGATGGTCTCCACATACTACTTGGTGTCCACCTTCGTCTTGGGCGGGATGACGTGGAGCAGCTCACTGAGCACTTGATGCGACATCATCACCCACACCATCAACTTCGCTGGGAATTTGACAGGAGCTGTGGGCACACTGGCTGCGTCGGGCACCCAAACAAATGCGGCCATTCTGGCGATTTGGTGGGTGTTAAGTGCTTCCACCACCTTTGCACTGGTCGGAGAGGGGCGCCGACATCATTCGCGACCAGACTTTGCGACATTCCCGCTTGAATCATGCCGATGGCTCGATTCCTGAGACTGACATCGTAATATTTGACCATGGTGTTTTCAGCCTTCATTTCAACTGCACGCTCGCTACTTAAATGACCTCGCACAATCAGCCGCTGACCCTTAGGTTATCCGTGGTCTCATACCCCGGGGCACAATAGATGCGCTGACACAATGGCGTTGGAAGCAAAACGCTGGGTGGGGCAAAACGCGCCTGGGAAGACACAGATACTAGAATACCACATACGACAAGACTTTTGCCGGACCCTGTATATGTTGACCTCGAAAGGTCAAGGTCAAAGGTTGACCTCAGGTCACGTGACCTCGAGGTCATCATGTATATCATTCGATGCGTCTTGACGAGCTGAACACAATGAGACCATCCACGCGTCTGTATCTTGTTCCTGTACGGAGTTATTGGCCAAAAACCTTTGGTGACCTTTGATGACGTCACATGACCTCACAGCTGCCCAACAGCAAAACAGACCTCAAGGTAGTGAAGGTTGATCGTATATGAAGTCATGTATGGTATATGGGGCCATTCCGACCCGTTTTAGTGGTAAAAACAGGGAGTTGATTTTTCCCCCATTGACTTATAATGGGGAGGTCGCGAAATTGACCTGACCTTAGGTCACCGATATCAAAATTCCGAGATATACAAATTGCACATACTGGTACCCTAACTAAACCCTGAAGAGAAGAAATTGATCGGTCAAAAACTCTAGCTCTGGCGTGATTGCAAACTTTTCTGAGGTAGGGTCACCAAACCGCCTCTGGTGACCTGACCTGAGGTCAGATCAACTCAAAATTTTCAGACATGTTGCGTAGAAGCCTTTTAGGAAAAGTCAGAAAATTTGAGCTTCCTAGCTCAACGCGTTTGGGAGAAATAACCAAAAAACCTCAGGGGGGGGGGGCTCCTGAGGCCCCCCCCCCCCCCCGCCAGGAATAGGGTTAAAGGAAGACTGCCACCTTCAAAAAGTTTTCTCAGATCGGCCTATGATTTATTCCCTGGACAAAAAAAAAATAGAATTCACCTGACAAAGTATCATCACGTGAATCGCGAAAAAAATTGTCGATTATCATACAATTATCAATCGGTTAATGTCTAGCGACAATGTTTACACATCACTAGACTTCAAGGTCATAAGATTATTACATTTTATTTGAAAAAGTAAGGTATTTTATGATTTACTAATATATGATTTCATAAGAAATTGGCCATGTTTAATTTATTTTGCATTTAAGTTCGTAAAACATTTAAAAATCATGGCTCATTTGGAATGGGTCTGGCCCATGTTAAACCCCATTTCCCACACTTTTTTGGAAAAAATGAACTACTGAATATATAAGTTTAACTTTTATTTTGACACTCCAAAATTCTTCTCTGATCTCGAAGCAATCAAAATTTTGACATATATTTACCAAAAGATAAGAAAATTCATGTTTCAAAGTTATCGATAAACAGTAGAGATGTCGGTTTTCTTGGACCACTGAACTCTATAATGTGGAATGCGCATCGGCCGCCAGATGGTGTCCAACGGTGCCGCCATGTTGCGCAGACCAGGAAGCGGCCGCCGCCTGTGTTGGGGAATAGGGAATTCGGGACCTCGATTTACGTTTGCGGTCGCTGCATCCGTTACGTTCAAGCTATGTGGCTACGGAACCCGGCATCTTACGCAGAATTGAGTGGAGAATAAGATGAAATCCTAAAAACTTCTCAGCTACAAGGAACTAATACGTTAAGCCCTTATAAGTCAATGGGGAAATATGAAAATTGCTATTTTGGCGCCGAGAATGATCTGAAACTATCTCAAGCATATAAAATCATGATTTCATGCACTCCTTGCAAGGTTCTATGCTTCATATTTGCATTGTTGCCCTTGCGTGACGTCATTTGTGACGTCACAAGGGTCACAGTTTTTCTTCAATAACTCCCGATCAAATTGAGCTAGCGAGTCGGGAAAGCCACCAACGGACTCAGGAAGACCTGCCGAATCGAATGATATGCGACATGACCTCTTTCGACCATCTTCGTGACCTGGCGGTGCTGACCTGACCTTGACCTGAGGTCAACACCCTAAGTTGACCTGACCCGAACAAAAAGTATATCAATCGATGCGCCTGAGCTAGCTGAACACGATGATGCCAAAATCGCGGCTCTACAGCAATTTTTGGCGAAGTTATTGACCAAAAACCGAACCCGTGCCTTAGATCACTTGACCTGACCTCAGAGGTCACCGGTTGACCCGGGACCTTTACAGTGGGTTCCTACCAGTCACTCTGCATTATCCTTTGTCGCAAACGACCAATTTACCGCTTAATTCAAGTTAAATTAGCGGCGCATTAGCGAGGTGGGTTCAATCAACCCCCTCGGCCGGGGCAAATGTAGGTCCGGCGAGTGAATTTGAGGAATTATGAAGATACGATCGTGTTCCCCACTCAATTCTGCGTAAGATGCCGGGTTCCGTATCTACGTAACTTGAACGTAACGGATGCGGCGGCCGCAAACGTAAATCGAGGTCCCGAATTCCCTATTCCTCAACACAGGCGGCAGCCGTTTCTTGGTCTGCGCAATATGGCCGCCACCGTTAGACACTACGGCCTATAGGGTTCAAGCGGCATTGCTCCCCTGTGTCTTGGACTAAAAAAATGGCATCAAACTGAACTTTGGTCTCCGATTTCTCGCAAACGGGTTCGAATTTCGGAAAACCGACTTCAGTCTGGGACATAGGTGGCTCAGCTCTAGTGAAAACCGTTTTGTGGAAAAAAGGTGGCAGTCTACCTTTAAACTTAAAAGTTCAAATTTATGATAAATGAACTTTCTGTTTTATGTTACCTCATTCATATTGTTTTATGTTACCTCATTCATAGGGACTTCGATGTTAAATCTGTTTTCACAAACTTTTATTCAGTCAAAATGACCTTTGCAGTCAGCGTGCCCTTAAGCCCAAAAAAAAAACTTTTATTCAGTAAGGTAAAGACGTATGTAATGTGTATCTGGTCAAAATTATAGTGCATCATAGTCACATCCAGATTCCCAATTTGTTTTTAACTGCTTCATCATTTTCAATTATATTCATTCCTTTATCAATATTTCAGAACAGCCTTGCCCTTGTAGGTATGCATAAGAAAATTATTTCCAACCCATTTTTGTGTGCTGTGCTGTGTATCACTATCATTGTGCCCTTGCAAAAATGTGAATTGATTGTCGCCTTTTGTTTTCAATCCTATTATGTATCAGACCATGTCAATGATCTTCTTAGTGCCAAGTTTTCAATTAAATTTCAAACAAGTTAAAGTTGTTGCCTGTATTATTTATGTAGTGGCCTTATTCTCGGTCTGACAAAACAGTTCCTGACAAAACAGTATAATCATGTGCACCCATTTTGTTTATACACAGTATATTAGTGTTTAGAATGACACACATAAAACAGTAAATTCAGTGTACATGATCAATCAGGCATCTAAAAAAAAACTCCTATATGATTACGGAGCGAGCGAAGCGAGCGTAGTCTTTCCTTAGATTAACGGAAATTTATGAGTATGAGCGGCCGGCCGGCCGTGGTCACGATTCTGCGACGCTTATATCTCAGCAACCAATTGACCGATTTACACGCGGTAATTTTTGTAGGGTAGCTTCATTCCTTCTACCAAGTATTGGACTATTCCTTCCCGAGGCATGTGGGTGACCCCTTATGCACGTGCCACGTGCAAAACGAAGAGGTGTCACTTTTGTAATTGTTGCAATATCTCGGTAACTACTTGGCCGATTGCGCTGAAAGTTGGCATGTAGGTAGGCACCCACTAGGCAATGCATATCCATGTGCCAGAATTGGGGTGCTGCTGCACGTGCGCACGTGCAGGGGTCGATTGCAGATCTCGAGAACGGCTGGACCGATGGCGCTCAAATTTGGCACATGGTTAGGGACCGGTTAGTAGGGTGCCGTGCACAAGTCAGCTGGAGGTACCCCGTCGAAATTTCGCACGTGCAAGGCTCACCCTCTCGCTCGCTCCGTTAGTCGCCCCAAAAGGCGTTATACTGGTATCATTATTTGTTTGTAGGTTCAGCTGGCAGGGTATTTTACCTCTGCCTATTCTCCTCCACTGCTATGATTCTTTCACTAATGTAGCTCACATTTCACTAATGTAGCTCACACTCAATATCTTGTCTTTCCAGGTGATGAGTGCGGAGGTGTCGCGCTCAGCGAGCAGTGCGCCGTTCCACTTCCGCGCGTACCACGCCACCACCAGTACTGCGACACAGCTGGCCAGCGTGCCGAGGAACTCCGACATGGGTCAGTATTGGACGTGTGGGCTTGTTGAGGTGTCTACATAGGGCCTTGGTTGAGACGCCCACGAATGAACTTTGACAGTGGTAGGTTCCATTGACTGGCGGATCTCAAAGGTTTCTTTCGGGCAACTAACGACTGCTGCTAGGTTATTCTGCGGTCGTAAAATACCGGTAGTGGTGTTTTGTTTTTAAAGCTTCCTGGTTTTTGAATTTTGATGATTGTGTAATTACGGAGCGAGCGAAGCGAGCGTAGTCTTTCCTTAGATTCCTTAGATTAGATTAACAGAAATTTCTGAGTATGAGCGGCCGGCCGGCCGGCCGGCCGTGCGGACGCTTTTGCGAGGCTTATATCTCAGCAACCACTTGACCGATTTACATGCGGTAAATTTTGTAGGGTAGCTTCATTCCTTCTACCAAGTATTTGACTATTTCCAATGCATGTGGGTGATCCCTTATGCACGTGCCACGTGCAAAACGAAGAGGTGTCAGTTTTGTAATTGTTGCAATATCTCGGTAACTACTTGGCCGATTGCGCTGAAAGTTGGCATGTAGGTAGGCACCCACTAGGCACTGCATATCCATGTGCCAGAGTTGGGGTGCTGCTGCACGTGCGCACGTGCAGGGGTCGTTTCCAGATCTCGAGAACGGCTCGACCGATTGTGCTCAAATTTGGTACACAGTTAGGGACCGGTTAGTAGGGTGCCGTGCACAAGTCAGTTGGGACCCATTTTGCACGTGCGCACGTGCAGGGTGCCGCTTCCAGATCTCGAGAACGGCTGGGCCGATTGTGCCCAAATTTGGCACATCGCTAGAGACCGGTTAGTAGGGTGCCGTGCACAAGTCAGTTGCAGGTACCCCCTCGCAATTTCGCACGTGCAAGGCCCACCCTCTCGCTCGCTCCGTTAGTCGCCCCAAAAGGCGTTATACTGGTTGTAATTGACGACGAAGCAAATTTGGTTGGTAGTTTACTTTCAGAAACCAGCCATGTCTTTTCAAGTCTTTTGGTTTCGTATGTCGTTTTCCATCGGGACGTCTCATGTTCGCTGTTGTGCGGACGCTCACCAGTCCGCCAATTTATAAATACGGGTCATACCCGGCTGCAGCGTGCTGCGCCCAGTGCCATAAACATAACATGGCGTGATCAGCTGGCTAACCCACTCGGCTCCGTGGTGACGGTATGGGCAGCGGGCGGGGACGGGCGGCTGCATTAGCCGGGGGCTTTGCGACTATCCCCGGCCATGGCACACAGCGCGGTTTGATGTGCACTAGGGAGGCGGGATTTACTCTGGCTGGATGAGCTGTGATGAAGGTGGAGTTGATAGGGATGGCACATGATGGAAAATTTCATCTAGTTTCATCGCGAGTTTGGTGGTTGTAGGTGCGGAACGTATTCCCTTTTTCGGGATCTCAGTTTCAATGTCGGTGTTTCTCAGTAGAGTGTTGAGGACTGCCTCATGTCATGCTGTGTAGTCTGTCACATATCATTTCACTGAGGACAGGCTTTACTGCTGGTCGGGGCGCGGAGTTGATAACATTGTTTGACTGTGACAGGATTACTTGCTGATTGCTTATCACGTACCAGTGGCTTGATAATGACAATGTTTATGTCCTATCCCTTGTATTTATGTTATAGTCTGCTTCTGAGTACGCACGAAATATTCACGTCTATCGTTACTTCACAAACCCCATATAAACAAAGTTTATGCTAGACGTGCTAGCTATTTAAATGCCATTGCTCTTCCTGCCTCTAACACAGCATTAACTTTACATATCCCCACTCCAATTCCCTGGCTACTCTAAGTTCAGTTATCCCCGACAAACTTTTCCTTTATACCATCCAGTGCTGACCGCTGACCTCTCTTCCTGCCCCGTCTGACCTGTGACCTGACCTTGGCAGGCGCCGCCGGAGCCAAGCCTCTGAACGGTGACTCGCTGGCCGCTGGCCACACGTGCGCAGTACGCGCGGCAGCCGCCGGCGGAGCAGGAGGAGCCGGCAGCGGCGGCGGCGCAGCGGACGAGGATGTGGCGTGCAACTGCGCGCACTGCAAGGAGAAGGTGCGCCTCCCGGCGGGGCAGGAGGTGCGAACGCGGGAATAAGGAGGAAAGGGTGGCGGGGAGATATGAAATTGAAGGGGGAAGATGTTCGTGAAGATGTGACTATCGGGAAGGTTGTGGTGGAGGAGTACAGTGGCCGCAAAAGAAATCTTGACGAAGGTCAAATACAATGCAAATGCAATTAGTGAACCTGCTCGTATATCTCTCGCACCAGAGGTACTGGCGAATTCTTTTGACTTGGATATAATACGCATGGCCTCATCTTGCAAAATAAACAACAAGACTGTGGTCAGCGATCATTGCCAGGGAAGATACACCCTGTGTTGGAGTGCCTTTGAGGTGGTGCTTGTTTATCCCTATGGGAAAAAGATGAAACAAGTCAAAGACACTCCAACACAGGGTGTATCTTTCCTGATAATGATCCCTGACCACAGTCTTGCTGTTTGTTTCGCAAGTTGAGACCATGTGTATTATGTCCATGTCAAAAGAAGTCACCAGTACCCCCCGTGCAAGAGATATAAGAGCGGCTCGCTCGTTGCGTTTGCATTACATTTGACCTTTGTCAATATTTTTTTTTTTTTGCGGCCACTGTAGGGAGTGAGGAAGTCGGGAAGTGTCGGGTGAGTTGAGTGTATGGGTGGCAATGGGAAGCACGTGCTAGAGGGAAGAGGGCAGAAAGAAGGGAGTGTGATGAGACGAAACTGAAAGCTACCCATTCAGTAGGGGAAGGGCAAATTATAGCGTCTTTACGTACAAAGCCAAGCATGCTCATTGTGTCGAAGCGATTTTGATCAAAATGGTGGGGTAAAAAAACGTCTTTTGAAGTTTTGGGATAAAAAAGGATTTCGACTTGTCTATGAAATGACGCTTCATTGGTTGCGTCAACAGCAGAGCTTCAGGAAGCTATTTGATTACGAATGTGGCCGCCTGGCGCATGCAGCTGTCTCTCGTTTTGTCTGTTGCCATGCTTTAGAGATTTGACGTGTCACGATTAGCCTTCAGGCTCTAGGAGTCCCCCGCCAGTCCTCAACTGTGACGTGTGTCCTCTCTGGAGTCCCCTCAGCGGTGACATGTGTCCTCTCCCTCTCTGGAGTCCCCTCAGCGGTGACGTGTGTCCTCTCTGGAGTCCCCTCAGCGGTGACGTAAGTCCTCAAAGGTGATGTTTGTCCTCTCTGGAGTCCCCTCAGCGGCAACATGTCTCCTCTCTAGTCTCCGAGTCCCCTCAGCGGTGACGTGTATCCTGTCTAGTCTCCAAGTCCCCTCAGCGGTGACGTGTGTCCTCTCTGGAGTCCCCTCAGCGGTGACGTGTGTCCTCTCGAGTCTCCCGAGTCCCCTCAGCGGTGACGTGTGTCCTTTCTAGTATCCGAGTCCCCTCAGCGGTGACGTGTGTCCTCTGGAGTCCCCTCAGCAGTGACATGTGTCCTCAAAGGTGAGGTGTGTCCTCTGGAGTCCCCTCAGCGGTGGCCTGTGTCCTCTCTGGAGTCCCCTCAGCCCGGTGACGTGTGTCGGGCAGAAGCTGGTGTCTGGCGAGCTGGAGGCGGCCGGCGGCCAGCAGACGCAGCCGCAGACGGAGGAGGTGCGGCTGCTGCACGCTGACTGGATTGAACTCCGACAGAGCCTCAAACAGCTCTACTGGCTCCACATGGACGCGGCCACGGCCGGCGACACTCCGGCCCGCCAGGCGGCCGCGCCCATGCAGGCAGTCATGAAGGAAAAGGTAGGTGGTGCATAATTCAAATCGTTTTACGTAAGTAACGTTCTTCCTATTCCCTCGTCACTGTGTGAACCACAGTAATTTGAAAAATTACTTGAAATGATACAGTTCTACGGACTCCATACTAGGAATAAAAACGTCCAGCTTCCCTCATATCCAACCGTACCGTTAGCGACACTGCAGTGGACGTACCCTAAAACACCAATTATCAAACAAACGTCCCGCTATTCGCTCCTCGCCCCCTCGCGTGTCATGAGACAGAGCTGCACCGAGGTAATACGTCTCCTGCCTTCTGGCTGGGGGAGGGGTGCAGATCCGGACTTCGCTTCAGCTTCTGTGAATCAGATACTCGTTTGGCGACCGGCAGCCGGGTGCGGTGCATGGTTTACCGTGTGTGATTTACAGTCTGTTGTCGGGTGTCCGAGCGGGAATGGAATGTGGGCCTATGATTGACGAAAAGTGGAAGGAATGTGAATGGGAAGAGACGTGTAGGGTAGCTGGTGGAATAGCTTAGCGCTCGGGCGGGCGTGTGGCGATTATTAGTTGAGGGGCAGTGGAAAGTAACGAAAGGTAGTGGAATGTTGATAAATAAGACAATGGGGTGTGTTGCTATGACCTTGTGATTAAGTGGTCAAGGCACTATAATGGAAAGCCTTGTAAATAGTGATGAGGTGAGGTCATCCAACTTGTATCCTTCCGTGGTTTACAGTGGTACTCGTATTTTGAGGATTGTGACGCTTAGGGTGGTGATACACAAAGATGGTCACTGTTTTCCTGAGTCTAGTCTGTCGTTTTCCGTTTCCCGTCGTTTACCAGACTTGCCAGTATGTTTCTGTCAGCTGGTTAGTGACGGGGCCGTCAAGAGGCCGGTCGTTCTGTGATTTGACATACCTGCCGCTAACGCAGTATGTCTTCAAGCTCGTTGGATTGGTGTTTGCTATCCAATGCACATGGTTGGATTTAGTGTTAGCAAGTGTGTTCTGTTTAACCGCAGTCATTAATTTGTTCGATAAAGGGGTTTAACCCCTTTAGCGAACAAATGAATGACTACAGTGAAACTAGGTAATACCTAGTGTAATACCAGTAGTACCAGTGTTGATGTCCTGATTACCGTTGCGGATTCGGACAGGTTACGTCAGCTAACGTGTTTCGGCTGTGATTGACTTACTGTTTGTATTGACTGGCCCTGATGTTTTGACGTGATGACATTACCGTTGTACTCGCGCACGTCTGGGAAAATATTTACCGTACACTCGGTCTCACGAAGTGGTGCTGGGACCAGTGTGTTCTGCGAGCGTCCGAACGTTAGTGGTGCTCTGAATGTGGTGCTCTCTAATCGCGTGTGGTGCTCCATCAGACCGAGAGTGGTGCTCCATCAGAGTGGTGCTCTCTAATCGTGTGTGGCGCGGCGTCATCTGACCCAGATTGGTGCTCGCTCTGACCGTTTGGTGTTGCTTTTCTGACTGAGTGGTGTTTTCTCTGCCCTCCCCGGCAGGTGGCGCGGCTGTGCCAGCGCGATCCCCACCAGCTGTTCCAGCGGCTGCAGGGACAGCTACAGGAGCTCACCCTCGAGGTCAAGGTGCGCCTACTGGAGCACCTGAGCCGCGAGCGGCCCGGCCTGGCGCAGCTGTTCCTCACCGCACTGCTGGACAACTATGACCGGATCGTGAAGGCGGCCACCAGCCTGTCTCCGGCGGTACACGCCCTGGAGCACCACCACCTCTCGCGGTGAGGCGATAAGGGGGTTGATAATCATATATTACGTCGGGACAGTGGGATAACGTTTTTACTTTTCTGGAGTGGATCGCAGTGATTTCTCAGATCAGTTACATTTGTCTTATTGGTTTTGGCCGCTAGAAAAGGTGGAGTGAATCCTCACAAACTAGTCATATGGGCATACCTTTTGACAGCCAGGATTTTGGCTATGGCTTCATGCAGTCTTCTGTGTTTGTCTTGTCGAGCTGCAGTGCATCTTGACGCCTGCTGATTTCGCATGCCCCTGTTGTGTTGTCGGCAGGTTCGGCCTCTCGTGGGTGTCGCTCAACAAGCACGCCTACCACTCCGTGGTCTACATGGACCCGATGGTGCAGAACAACCTGCCGACGTTCATATCTCAGCTGCGGACGCTGCTGTCCGGCCAGGACCAGCACTTGGCGTACGCCGACCTCGTCCGACGCTACCTGAGTTTCGACGACGAGATGAGTCGCGCGGCGCAGCAGTGGGCTGCCGCTGAGGCACGGCTGCAGGAGTTTGGACAGGAGCAGGCCACGCTGAAGGCCAAGCAGCGCATGCTGCGAGAGGACCTGGAGCTGCTGCGCGCGCAGCGGAAGCTGCTGCAGCAGCAGGTGCTCAGTCGGGACGGTGTGACCGTAGAGGAGGAGGAGGAGGCCCTCCAGCGGCTGGTGGCCGGATGCACCGAGGAGGGCTGTGAGGAGTGCTCCCTGACGCTCCCCGATGGGACCAGCGGCGATAAGTCGCGCACCATCGGCCTGCTCGAGCTGCGGCAGGCGCTGGAGACCGCCTCCCGGTCCGGGGACGGAGACGGCAAGCAGCCGGCGGCCGGGTCGGCGCCGGCGGCCCCTGCCAGCTCCGCGCCCGCCGCCGCCGCGCCGGCCACCTCACACGCCAGTACGGGCACGTCGCCGCCGACCGCTGCCCCCGCGCCGGCGCCCGCACCGCCCCGGCCCACAGCCTGTCTGAAGAAGTCGGCGTCGACCCAGGTACCGGCGCCGCCGTCAACCGGCTGCCAGGCGTCCGGCTCCCACCACCCCACTACCACCTCCAGCGGCTGCCAGGCGGGCGGCGCGCACAAGCACACCTACTCCAAGGCAGCGCCAACCACCCACCGGCCGCAGCCGCGGTTCGATCCGGGTGTCGACCCCGCCGACGACAGCAGCCAGAACGACTCGTGCTCGGAGCAGTCGTCCTCCACGGCGTCACAGCACTGCAGCTGCTGCTACTGCGAGGTGTTCGGCCACGGCGTGCCGCCAGTGGCGCCCGTCAGCAGGAACTACCCCGAGATCCGCGACCGGCTGAGGCTGCGGCTCGACCAGCGGCGGCGCGACCACAAGTCGGAGTCGTCGGAGCGCAGCACTGGAGAGCAGTCGGCGCACGACGACACGCGGGATATTGGGGACCTGCTGCAGTACATCGAGGCTGGAGGTGCAGACCAGAAACGAAATGAGAAGCGTGCCGCCAAGCGTGAGCGCCAGCGCGTCCGCCGCCAGGACGCCAGCGCTGCGCAGGAGGAGGAACAGCAGCAGATGAGGAACATTCAGGAATTCCAGCGGAGGAACCCGGAGGTGACCATTACTGTGGTCAAGTCTGGGGAGGGTGAGACGGCGCCGCCGCCGCCGCCGGCCGCCGACGCTGAGCAGGACTCCAGTCCGTCCGGAGCCAAGAGGAAGAAGCAGCAGCGGAAGCTGGCCAAGCTGGCTGCTCAGCAGCCGGCGCCCGCCGCCGCCCCGGCTGCTCCCGCTCCCGCCCCTGCCGCCGCTCCCGCCCCCGCCCCCGCCGCGCCGCCGGCACCCAGCGAGCCTCCCGCACCTCCCGCGGACGAGACATCCCCGAAGAAATCCTCTCCGATCATGGAGGGCCTGGCGCGGAACGGGCTGGTATCCGTGCCCACTGCGCCGGGCGCCGGCGACGCGCGCATGGTGACAATCCGCAGGGTGATGGAACCGGGCGGCCGGGAGCCAAAGGTCACCATCACCCTCAAGGGTGACTCGCCTGAGAAGGATCGCGTGCTTATGACACTCGTCAATGGCCAGCTGAGGAACGGCGGCGCTGGCGAGCCGGCGGCCGGAGGCGAGTCGGCGTCCGAGCCGCCCATGACCAAGACGGCCAAGAAGAAGCTGAAGAAGGCTGCGCGGCTTCAGAAGCTGAAAGAAGAGGAAGAAGCAGCTGAGCGGGCGCGCCAGGAGGCGGAGGAGAGGGCCCGTCTGGAGGCTGAGCGTGCCGCCGAGGAGGAACGGCAGCGGCTGGAGCAGCAGCAGGCCAAGAACAAGAAAAAGAAGAAGAAGAAGGGAGGTCAGCAGAATGGCACGGCCACCCAGAACGGACACGCCGCTCAGCCTGCGAAGGCGGCCCCGGCAGCGGCCAGTAAGGTCGCCCCGGCGCCTGTGGTGGTCAACGGGAAGGACGCGGACAAGTGGCGGACGCCCAAGAAGCCGGCCGCCGCTGAGCCCGAGCGGAAGCCTGTGGCCGCCGCCGCGGCCGTGCGCCCGGCCGTCCCCTCCGCCCCTGCGGCTGGCAGTAAGAAGAGGCCGGAGCTGGTGGCGGCGCCGGTGACCGAGCCGCGCCGCGCCACCGTCCGGCCGCCCGTCGAGCCGCCCACCCAGCTGATGCAGGACCTGGCTCTGAGCTCCTCCGACAGCGAGATCGAGGACCTGGCGCGAGCCTACCGCATCCCGGCCGGCATCACCATCAGCCGGGTGCGCGGCACGGAGCCGGCCGGCGGCGCGGTCCGTCAGCCGACCGCCGGCGACGGCCAGTCCCCGCCCGCAGTCTCCTCCGCCGCCGCCGACAAAAAGTCCAAGAAGAAGCGGAAGAAGAAGCCGGGCGCGGCCGCGGTGCCGGCGCCCGTCGAGGAGGCGGTGCCCGAGGTGACGATTCGGAAGGTGGGGGTGGCGCCCGGCCGGCGCTCGGCCCGCTCCGTCGATGACGACGAGGCTGTGTTCATGCCGGCCGCCGGCGGGGACATCACCGACCTGGTGGACAAGGAGGTGGAGGCGTTCAAACGATTCTGTCTGGACGGGCCGCAGGTCAGCCGCGAGCACAGGCCCAAGGTCAACCTCAACATCAAGGACATCCTGATTAAGAAGAAGCCATTGTAAAGCATGGTTGTGATACATCTTCAGTACTGCTCTTACTTTGTACTAGTCTTAGGAATCGTCTGCCTTGTAACTTCTTTTAATACTTTGTTACAAGTAGCTCTTGCGTTCTCGATTAATTTAATTGCTGACTTTGTGCCGGCAGAGGCGCGCGCGCGGCACAGGCGGCAGTGCCCGCTCCGTCCCACTCCGACACAATCCGACAGGATGTTAATAGAGAGCGCACGGACGATCTTTCGTTGTCTGGCTGCAGGCCTGGAGAAGACGCGGCGACTCAGGGAATGGGAAGCCATGGTAGAATCCATAGATGGTGTATGTTTGGTCAGTGTGCGGTGGAAATGGAGACGAATCGGGAGCGTCTGAGTTTAAGGGGCACATAAACAACACAAAATAACAGACAAGACAAAATAATAAGCTATGGCAAGTACTAAGCAGATCAGGATTTACTGGCAGAGGTTGATGGCGGTCTTGGGTTGGGGCGGGTTTGATAGGGGGCTTCTCGACACGCGCAAGGTACACTCGGGGGCAGATTGATGTTCCACCACTCCCTACCCATCGGGCTCCTATGGCTCAGCACTGGCTGCTGCCAGTGGCAGCACTGGCATTGGCAGGCAGTGCTGAGCAGTGCTGAGGGCAGGCAACACTGGAAGCAGCCAGTGCTGAGCCATGGGATCGCCCGATGGGTAGGGAGTGGTGGAACATCAATCTGCCCCCGAGTGTACAAGACGATGTACCGCACTCTATGTACCGCACGAACAACACGCGAAATTAACACGGGTAATGTTCGAGGGCGGGACGGGTTCTCAGCTGTGCTGCGCTTGCATCACATACTCGCACGGTGCACGTAGTGTTTACAATGCCCAGTCTGGGGGAGGGAGGGGTTAATCAGTGTGGTACCGTTCGGTGGTGCTCCCAAGGAAGGGATGCATTTACATATTTATGCATTTACAAAGCCCTCACGAGGCAAAAGGCTACCCGGGCGCTTGTTTTGTTTGTTGGGTTAGTCCTTTTCGGTCTGACAAGACGATTTCATTGCCGGAAGGATGATAGGAATAAGGGGAGACATTGGTCTGGGCAGGCACCCTAGTGAGTCGCCGGGGCTGAGCCCGTCCAGGCGACAGGTCACCCAGCTCCCCAGGCACATCGCATCCGGCTACGGGCGTGCTCTTGCGGGCATTCCCGCATGGGGTAAAGTGGCCCGTCCAGCCCGGCTGAGGGGATTGAGGCGTGGGGAGAAGGATTTTAGTGTCCTGAGGATGGAAATGACGGAGCGGTGACCCGGGCGCTATTCGGGCGCCTGGCGTTTCTTGGCCTCTGATTGGTCAGCTGCACAGACCGCATGAATTCGACCGCGATTAGAATCCGTGCAACAGCAGCCTGCTGCAAAAATGGGCAGTTCTGCTTGTTTACCCATGGAAACCTAGCGTCAATGCCGGTAGCGTCATGAAGTGTCAATGGGCCGAAACCGGGCATGCTTAGGTGAACAGAACAGTCCCATAGAAGTAGCCTTAGGTTTTTTTTTAGTCCGACCGCTAGGTGGCAGCAACGGCAGTAAATTCGTAACCCACCCTCCAACCTGGGCATCGGACGGCTGTCGTCCGTCAGTCGCCCGCACATTCATTCTCATTCTCCCAGGAGATGGTCCTTCAGAACAACTCAAATTCACTAAGTCCAGATGCCATGGCGTATATTTGTCCTCGCGCCTTCGAGCTCTGCGAAATTCAACATTTCAGTTTTTAGGAAGCGGCCGCCGCAGCACCATGCGGTCGCCGCCAAACAGATACACTTTTACCATTGTCAATTTATTTCCACACTCTCGCTCCTTCTCTCCGGTAAAGATCTACAGTCCGACCTCCCGATATTTCGCTGACAAAACAATCACATAGTCTCGTCGACGGCGCTGCGGTCCGCCATTCGCAGCAAGTTTGAACTGTTTGAACGGGCATAAAATACAACGGGAGTGAGTCAGCTGTCCGCCACACGACGTCCACTCGCGTCCACAATTTCACCTCGAACCGGCGCTGACCGTTCAATCCCAGAGGCTAATTTGACACATACCGTGCGGTGGCGGTCTCGGCCGCTCCACCGGCGGCGCGGCGCATCGCAGCCGCCTGGCTCAGCACAGCAGCCAGCCGCCTGCGGTGGCCGCCGCCGCCCCGCGCACACCCCTCCGCGGCCGCTCGCTCGCTCGCACTCTCACTCACTCCGGCACTTCGTCACGCTATGTCCAAGGGCCTGGCAGATCACAGAATCGTATCACAGATGGCGTGGCAGTCGAGGCTGCTCTCATTGACGGGGGAGGGGATAAACAAGCTCGGCGACAAACTCGCACGTGAACGGCTGCGGGACCCTGCGCCGCCAGGCCCTTGGTGTCGGTAGCGTCGGAAGGAGTCCGGTCGCCGCCGCCGCCGCCGCCGCCGCCGCCGCGCGCTCTCACTCACACGGGGAATGGCTGGTTGGCTAGGGCCGGCGCGGCGCGGGAGACGGTCGGCGGCGCCGTCCAGTCCACAGTCAGTCCACGCGCTCTCTGTCGCCGCTCGGGCCGCGCGCCGCTCACTTTTTGACGGTGCTGCGCCGTTTGGCCGTGCGGATCTTGCGGCCGGCGATTGTCGATGCCGTAGCAGAGAACGGGTTCGCCGCCGCGCCCCTGTCGACAAAACAGCAGCAACCCGTCGGAACGGTCCACACACTGCTCAATTTAGAGAAAATCCAACGCTACTGCTAGAAAAGCAGCTAGAAGACGATCCATTTACACAAGTTTCCTCATTGTTCAGCTTCAAAGGCTTCATCGAGTTCGAACAAAACATGAAGACGCAGCTTCACGCCACTAATCGATATCAAGTAATTAAAATAAAGCAGTCTTGCTGTCCTTGGAAGTCGGCCAAAAACATACCACAGATGCACCAACACCTGATCTGCACTAGCTCGACAAAAGACTGGAATCACGCTAATGTAACACCGTTTCATCCTGCCATTTTCGCCCCCCGTTACTTACGGTGGCGGGGCGGCGGCTCCGAACGGTGAGGGTGCCGGGGCCGGCGCAGCAGAGGCCGTCGACGGCTGCCAACGAGCGGGGGGCGACGGTCAGACACGGGGAGGGGAGGGCGGCTGACAACTACGGTGTGACAGCAGCCCGGGGGCTGCCGCTGCCAAAACACAGCGACGGTACAACACCGAGGCCGCGACGACGAAACGGCAATGCTGTTGGCGAAAAGGTCCAGGCATGATTATCTTAAGCATTTTCGATTATCGTAAGACTGCATTAAAAAAAGGCGCACGTGCCCTGAGTGCCCATCATTTATTTCAAAGTCGCCACGAACACTCCTAAAAGAACATAGTCAGCTAAAAGGCAATACAGTTTTGCATTCAAGACAACACCTCCCACCGCTTACATTCCCCAAATCCCACCACCGTTGTACTCACCGCTCCGAAGCGGAACACGCCTCCGGCAGGGGCGGCCGGCGCCGCCGGCTGCGCGCCGCCAAAGTTGAAGCTCGGCGTGCTGCTGGCACCAAACGAGAAGCCAGCCGATGGTGCGGCGGGCGCGGCCGACTGGCCGAACGCCGGCTGAGAGCTGCCCTGGCCGAACGTAAACACGCCCGGAGCCGGGGCGGGCGCGGCGGCGGCGGCCGGCGCCGCGGGCTGCGCGCCGCCGAACACGAACGGAGCGGCAGGGGCGGCGGCGGCCGGCGCTGCGGCCGCGCCCGAGCCGAAGTTGAAGGTGGCCGGCGCGGCGGTCTTGGCGGCGCCGAACGCGAACGGTGCCGGAGCGGCGGCGGGGGCGGGGGCGGCGGCCGCACCGAACGGACTGGCAGCGGGCGCGGCTGATCCAGAACCGAACTGGAACACGCCAGGGGGCGCCGCCTTCTCGTCTGATGCCGCCTTTTTCGCCGCCGGGCCGTTGCTGGTGGCTCCGAAGGCAAACACGGGCGCCGCGTCAGCCTTGGTGGTTGCTGGCGCGCCGAACGCGAACCCGCCGGCCGGCTTGTCGGTCGAGGCACCGCTGGTAGTGGAGCTGCCGAACGAGAACCCGCCGGGAGCGGGCGCTGCGGCAGGCGCCTCAGTCGCCGGCGCGCTGCCAAAGGCGAACACGCCCGGTTTGGCGGCGGCCGGTGCCGCGGAGCCGCTGCCGAAGGAGAAAGTCGCCGCCGGCGCTGCTGGCTTGTCGGCGTTCTCAGTCGGTTTTGCGCTGAATGAAAATGTTGCGGCGGGCTTGTCGGCCGGCGCCGCGGTACTGCCCGATCCGAAGGAAAATGTGGCCGAGGGTTTATCGGAGCTCTCCGGGGCTTTCGATCCAAACGAGAATCCCGCTGAAGCCTGCTTCTCCGTTGATTCTGCAGGCTTCGCGTTCGCGCCAAAAGCGAAAACAGCGGTCTGTGAGGTGGAGCTGTCTGAACTCTTCGCGCCAAAACTAAAACCTGTACTGCTCTTGTCCGATTGCTCTGAAGATTTGCTAGCACCAAATGAGAAGGTCGTCGATGAGGTGGGTGGCGCTACTGACGCGGTCTTCGCGTCCTTCGAGGCGCTGTCTGTCGCGGTTGTTCCCGAGCCGGCACCGAACACGAACCCGGCACCACTCGGTTTTTCTGACGAACCGGAGCTCTTGGCACCAAACGAGAACATCGCCGGCGGCTTGTCAGTCGCGTTGGACGCCTCCGATTTCGCCGGCTCGGCAGGTTTTTTGGCCGCCGACTCTCCGAAACTGAAGGTGGCTGTGCTGCCACCGGTGGGCTGCGATCCGGATCCGAAGGTGAATGTGGCAGCCGTCGTGGCGCCGGTGCTGGCCGGGGCGCCGAAGCTGAAGCCACCGTTGGCCGGCAGCACGGTAGAGTTACTGACCGTCTTCGCCTCCCCGCCGGAGCCGCCGTTGCTGGCGTCGGACGGTTTGCTGGGGCTGGCCGATCCGCCGCCGCCCAGCAGGTCCATCACGTTACCCGTTTTCAGCTCCGGCGCTGGCTTCTCGACCGTCCGCTCCGGCTGTTTCCGCTTCAGGGACACGCCGGGAGAACTGCCGGAGCCAGAGCTAAAGTTGACCGCCGGTGCCTTGGCGGACGACTCGCTGGTTTTCGCACTCGCTCCATCGGCTGTGGCCTTGTTGGTACCCGAACCAAACCCGAACGAGAACGCAGCGGCCGCGGCAGCCGGCTTGTCCGTGCTCGGCGCACCAAAGGTGAAACCTCCGGTAGTTTTACTCTCGCTGGTTTTCGAGTCAGTTGCTTTACTAGAGTCCGCTCCAAACACAAACCCGCCTGAGACAGGTTTCGCGGCCTCACCCGCGTCGGCCTTTTTGGCGCCAAAGCCAAACGTGAACGCGCCCGCGGCTGGCTTGGCGGCACCGAACTGGTACGGCGTGCTGTCCTTTTCCCGAGACTCGGGCCGCGGAGACTCGCACGCCACACATTTGGAGACGCCCGACTTGTTCCGCACAAGACACGTCGAACACTCCCAGTCGGCCGCTTTGGGTGCAGAGTCTGTTGCCGCGCTCGCAGTCGGGTTAGGCGTTTCGCAGGCGGCACATTTCGTCGCCTCGGCCTTGTTAGAGAGCATACATACGTCGCAAGTCCACTGACCGGCAGCTGGCTTGAATTTGTCGCCCCACGAAGAGGTGGGGACGAACGGTGCCGCCGTCGCAGACAGTTTGGAGCCGGAGGACGCAGCAGGCACGGCTGGCTTGGCGCTGGCGTTCGGCGTTTCACAAGCGATGCACTTGGTGGCTTCTGCCTTGTTTGAGAGCATACATGTGTCGCAGGTCCACTGACCGACGGCTGGTTTGAATTTGTCACCCCAGGAGCTAGTGATGGCTGGAGCAACTGGGCTCGGTTCGGCCGCCGGGGACGCCGCCTTGGCCGCCGGTTTGAACTTGTCACCCCAAGAGCTGGCTGCGGGCGCCGGCGGGGTCGCGGCTGCCTTCGCCGGGGAGGGAGTTGCCTTCGCTGGCGAGGAAGCAGCCTTTTCCGACGCCGCGGGGGCGGGGGCGGGGGCGGGGGCGGTCCGCTCGCCGACCGCAGCCGGAGCGCTGAAGGAGAAGGTGGGCTCATCCTCGCCGTCGGCCAGTCCATTCACCAGCCCGGCTCCCTCCGGGCACACCACCCGCGGACTGCTGAAGGTGAACTCCTCTCCATTGGTGGCGACCGCGGCGGGAGCGGGGGCACGGCGTGCATCGGCCGCCGGCGGCACCTTGGGGGTGGAAGTAGTCAGGCTGATGGGCTGAATGTGCATGAACGGCAGGCTGACGTCGGGTAGCGGTTCGGGCGACGGCGGCAGCTCAGCAGCCGGGTCTGTCTCGGGCCGCGACGAGTAGTGACCGCGCTCCCGCTGTCGGCGCATCTTTCCACCGGTGGTGACGGACGGAGTGGCCGCCGCGGCGGCAGACGACGACGGCTGGACGGCGAACGTTACCCGCCTGCGGCACACAGCACCGGGGAGTCAGAGCTCCGGCCGGGATGGCAAATTGTCGGCTCAGGGCAATTACATGGCATCAGAGCAACCAGACAGCTTCAATAACATCCAGGGCGAAATGACTCTCCGCGGAACGAGATCCTGATATGGGCCGCAAGGAAAAAGACGGCTATTATAACACAAATGAGGAAAACCTGTTCATTAAACGACAAAGATATCCATGTTCCAGGCAAAACATCCTCATCTACACGCAATTAGTTGAAATAAAAAGGTCCCTCTTGGCTCCAAGCCTCCACCCCATTCTAGCCACTGCGCCATCCCCATGTTCGCCAGCTGAATCCCCCCCCCCCCCCCAGACGGTCCCAACAACACCTCTGCCCCGTCTCACAAGCACCGGAGCCAGTGCCAGCCAGCCAGCCGGCAGGCATTGTTAATACATATATCCAAACTATCACTCACGCCCCCTCCCTTCATTCTCCCTGTACTCTGACCCCCTCCCCCGACTTCCTCCCTCACTGTCTGACCCTCCATATCTGACGGTCTGACTTCTCTTTCCCTCACTCTGATCCATGTCTGTCCTTCTCTCCCTGTCTGTCCTTCTCTCCCTGTCTGTCCCTTTCTCCCTTACTTCCTATCCCTCTCTCCCTCCGTCTAACCTATTCGTCTCCCTGTCCCACCTGCTGGCCGCGTCGTCGTGCGCCGCTGTCAGACTCCTGTTGGGTTCCACAGTGACCTTGACAGGCGGCACCACGTGGTGGACGGGCGGGTCCTCGAGCCGCCGCCGTCCCAGCCTGCCGAGGTCGACAGCGAGCGAGCGGTCGGTCACACGGCGCGGGCACCGACGCACATCGGACGGAAATAATACGTACCGATGATCCCACAGAGAAATCAATACGATACTGTGGTAGATGGAAATACACGCGGGATGAGTGAATAATGCAGTGAGGTGGAAGGTTAGTTACCAAGAAAGATAGCAGTATGCATTATCAGCGGTTCTGACTGGATCAATTGCTCAGAATAGCAGCATATTAGTCGAACAATTCGTATGACTATCTGATGAAGCTGCATCATAAGTTATTGAACCACCTCTGAATATAACTCATCCTCCCTACCTCCCCGCCCGGCCCGTCCTCCGGCTGCTCACCTGGCACCGTGAACGCCGTACAGACCGGCCCGCCGCTGGCCGTCCAGACTGCAGTCCAACAGTCGGTCCCCGGGCGAGGCGACGGGCACGCGGCGCGCGTCAGACACCGGCGTCGACATGCCCTCCAGCACCGACAGGATCCGACGCGCTGTGGTAGACATGGACGCGTCCTCGCCCATCCGAACGGGGGCCGCGCGCGGCCGCACCTGCGCAAAGGGGAAGCAGGGGGTTAATCATGGGCCAATACAGACACTTGGTACACCCCAATAGCATTGTAGGAGATAAATCATATGCGTAAAAAAAGAGAAAAAAATGGGTTCCTGATATGAAATATACGCAATTTGTACACATACACATACCGAAGTACCAAATTTCATACAGAAAACACAGCTGAAAGATAGGGGGGCAGATAGACACACAGGCGGACACACATAAAAGTCACGACCCGAGATCCGTTGATTGGCACTCGGCCGGCTGCTGCCACCGCTGCAGAGCCGGCCCGACAACAGTGAACGAAAACAACCACCGCCCCCGCCGGCTAGCAGCCCTGCACGGCGCGGCTCAGACCTGTATTCCGGCCGTGGGCAGAGGAAGGTGCGGGGAGGGGAGCAGACGCACCACCCGCATACCGATGGGGAGGGGGGGGGGGGTGCTGGCGACAGACCGCGCACGGACGGGACGAAGACAGCTAGCTCACGCGCTCGGTGTTCACACTTGTGGCCAACGACTGGTGGGTGCCGGGGAGAGACAGATTGGAGTGGTTAGGAGGGACGCCTCACGGGGACAGCCGCCTGTCCAAGTGTCTTCTCTTCCAATGAAGGCGTGAGAACGGAGGGACACGGGTCCTCCGAGTGACATCTCGTTTCATCCTCTTCGACAGTAAAATATATGGCACATTACCGGAAACCAGCGCATAGCCAAATTACATTTACAAACCACACCAGCTTAACACTAGACCAGACAGTGGCTATTTCTGAAGGTAAAATCACATTACCGCGAAACAAACTCGGCGGTTGAGCGTCGCAGAACAGCGCAGACCCCTTCCGCTCCGAGCCGTCGGAACTTTGTACTCTGCTCGCCATGGAGTCTGTCAGCCGGCGGTTTCAGAGCAACTTTTCCAGCTCCGGGAGGCCGAGCCAGACGGCAAAGTAAACATACCGGGATGCACGGGAAACAGTGAGACCGACGTCTGGTAGAGCGAAACAACTTCTTTTCCCAACAAAAGTAATGTCTTCAAACGAAGTTCACAGCTGCTCCTGCTAGGACGCTGACCGCGTTATTGCAACCATCCAAAGTTCAAGTACCTCCAAAGCATCGCTGAGACAATAAAGTCAATAGCAAATCGCCTGGAAGGACAAAAGCGAATCTAGCAGATCCTGACATGGCTCGTACCTGGTACGGTCCTCAGGGGAAGGAGGAAAGGGATTGCAGTTCGTACCTACGTGGTAAACCCTCTGGGTGTTTCAGATTCCGTACCTGATAGGGCCCGCTGGACGACCCGGAGCCGGCCGCCGGCACCCGCAGTCGCCGGTGGTTGGCCGCGCCGCCGTACGCCGTCGGTCCCGGGTAGAACGGAGACAGGCCGGCGCCGCTGCGGTTCAGTGACGAGCTGCCCGGATCATCCTGACAAAACAGTAGAGACGAGACCGTCAGAGGGGATAATATGACGCGGGGATAAGCCGCGGTAATGGAGATTAGATAAAGGGAGAAGGGATAGACCAGGGGATCTGATAAAGACGGGGCAAGACAGGTAAACAAAGTGGTCAGAGGACGAGACAAACGGAGAGCACGCTTACGGAGGACAAGCCAAACATATGAAAGAAAGCAGATGAGATACTTTGCTGAGCACAGAAACGTGAAGAAATCACCTGTGCGATTAGCACCAGCTATAACGATTAACGGGGTTCGTAGTTTGCCCATACCCGACTCATGACTCAGTGAAATCCGCTGTGCAGGAATACACTGTACATTCAGCTCCCAAGAAAGCCTATCTTTCGTTTTTTTTTTTTTTTTTTGGTTCCTAAATAAGCATTTAATTACGCAAAAGTGGTTTTGTCAAGCTGATGCAAAAACAGAATTATCAATACGTCATCTGATCTGATTAAGCGTATTGTCCGTGCAACAGTAAACACATTTGTAAACCAAGCCGTACTTTATGGTCGCTGGTGCTACTAACCATGAGCACCAGCCTGCCTCAGAACTTCGTTTGACCCGAGAAGACCAGCCACTCATTAATTAATTACTGTCGACCCCTTACCTGGGACAGCAGAGATGTGTTTAGTGCCGACGCGTTGAAGCGCGGCCTCTTGTTGCTCAGAGCTCCGGGCTGCGGCCGGCCGCGGACGGCGCTGGGTGCTGTGACTGACGAGGTGGCGGCGGGGATGACGGCGGCTGCGGCGGCAGGGGTACCGACTGGGGTCGCCGCCGGCCCGCTGTCGTCGCTCAGCTCAGAGTCATCCTGCTGCAGCTGCCGCCGGCGCCGTTTCCGCGCCATGCTCTCGTCCAGGCTAGGCGGAGGACCGGAGCTCGGCCCGGGTGCGGACACCAGACCGGCGGCGGCTGCCGGGGCCGAGGCCGGGGCGGGCGGCCAGCCGGACGGACCGGCGCCGTCCTCCGCGTGTCGTGCCCAGTTAGAGGTGATGGCCGGCCGCGGCGCCGGACCTCCGCCCGCGTCCGCCATCAGCCGGCCGTCCTCGTCGTCCCGCAGCTGGACAGTGCCCACTGGAACTGGAACAGACGGACGGTCAGAGATCTCCCACATCTCCACATCCTTCCAGTAGCCCGACATCTCCACCACCTCAATCTCCAGCCGCTGCCGACTCAACACTTCCCTCCTGTCTGACTTCACCGCCTATTCATCTCACCACGAGCTCAGAGATAACATTCCGGCTCCCCTGGCCGGCCGGCCCCCATCACCTGACCGTCCCCTGGCACGGCGGCCGTCGGCGGAGGCCCGTCCAAACACCGGCCCGTTTATTTAGCTCCCCGTTCACAGTCCTCCAATAAAACATGATGACGCCACCTTGGCACCGGGACTGAGACAATGTCGTGTTCGCCGCCACCTGGCGCCCAAAACAGCCATGTTTTGCAACAGAGATGCAAAACGAGTCCAAAAACTCTCATTGAACGAAAACCTAACCATAGCAAACTTCACAGAATGATACAGTGAGACAATTCATCCCGCTGAGTGTCGAGGACGTTCGGTGCTGCTCACCTGACGTCTGCGCGCTCCAGGCGGCCGTCTCGGCCGGCGCGTTCAGGTGGTTGCGCCGCGTGGCCGGTCCGGGCCGTGACTCGGGCGCCTCCTCCTGCTCCTGCAGCCAGGTGGGCACCCACGACTCGGGCAGCAGGCGCGTCACGGTGCCCGTCAGGCGGCCCAGCAGGCCCTGTCGAGGGGAGAGGCGCAGTCAGATCTCAGATAACCGCACACTCTCCACTTTCTAAACTACACACTTTCCACTGCGGGGAGGAAGTAGGGACAATGGGGCAGGAAACAGTGCGCAGAAATGGTGTAAATAGGATTTACTGGATATTTCACTTTGCCACCGGTTGATGAGAGTAACATGCCTAGATAGATAAGTGATACAACTTTGAAGAAGGTCTTTGCATGGTGATTCAGCATTTATAAAGCTATGTAGTATGTACCCTGTTTTGAGATCCTCCACTAACTCAGGTGATTTCCTTCTTTTTATGCAAATTTATGATGTTACTTTGGGAAAAGATGTACATTCCTTCAAAATATGCTTCAATTCTACAATGTAGAACATAATTATGGTTTAGGATAAAATAAGCTTTAAAAAATGTTTGATGATATTCATAATTTCATGGAGTGGTGCTCTAAGAGCTATCTCACAATCGAGCAACTAAAACCAATGCTATGTTATTGGTTATTGGGATTGGTATGATTACACAGGTCATTTTGAAATGGCTGTCAGCAGAAGAGAAAATAGGTGAGTTAAGACCACAGAAAAACTCATTGACTCTCAAATTAAAAGTTGCACCTTTTGAAACAATGCTGAAAACTTTGTTTTATGGACATGTTAAAGGATACTTAAATGGGAGACAAGCCACCAGCACCATACTTTACACAGCACTTCTCATATTCTGACCCATATCACAATATGTGTCACATTGACTTGATAAAATTGGTTATCATTCAGTTTTCACACAAAATATCAAGTTTGAAGCTGCTGAAATGATTTGAACACTAACCCATGTTTCAAAAAGGCCAAATAATGATTTCAGTTAGCATTACTTAATCACATATGCATATTTACGTAGCCATACATTTAGTAGCATGAGTACCACAGGCTGCTATTTTATTAGCCTTTTAACTTTTTAAGTATGCAATAATTCCTAACAGCTTTAGGCATTTGAAGCAAAGTAAGAAATTATTTAAAAACACTTTTAAGCTGAATTGTTAAAAAGAAGTGGCCTTATTTCTCACACTTTATGAATGGTGATAGCTGATACTACACTTGCTGAAAGACAAGTGTTAAGCTAGGAAGGTCAAGATAAGGCTGCACACAAATTGATAGTCAACTATCAATTCATGGTGATGTGAGGATGCACCCTCCCTCTCCATCATCAGAATCCAGTCATTCATATCCCTGTTCCCACAACCTTATTCTAACTGATGGCTAGCTCACCACAAAACAAGGTAAGGACAGACCCAACTGAACATGCCCTTCTCTAATCTCTACAAATGTTTGAATAATTTGCAATTCTCATTACAATGGACAGGTCACTGAGAGCACCATCTGATTGCAAGTCTAGCCAAATGATTCAACCCCTTTATTTCATCCCACAGCCATTGCATGTTCAGATATCAGACTGAAACATCAGCACCCCAAAACAATCAAAACATGAAAAGTGGCAAGGATATTGCTATAGTTCATTTTTTGTGTGGTTCGGCTCCCAATTCAAGTTCATTGTCGATACTGTCACACACGTTTTGACAACTTCTGCATTTGGCAAAGAAATTCAATCTATAAAATATTCATTTTCAATTTGTGCTTGGTAAACACATTTAATTTGTCTGCTAAAATGAGCAGGCTGTGATAGTGTCACACGTTGAGGCAACTGGCACTTGGCAGTTGCCATCATTTGACACCCATTTCCTTATGATTTATCAGTGTTATTGAGGTCATTATAAAAAATAGTTCTCCCCATGGTAATTATGAATGATTACGTAATAATCCAAGCCCTATGGCACAACATCATCATCACAACTTTTTTTTAACATTTGAGCCCAAAATGCATGTATTGGTATGGAATTAATCCAGGATGATTTATATGCTAAAATTGGGTGACATTTAATTTTCCAAGGCCCACTTTTACCCTTTTTCCTGGCTATGTGTGATTAGTTGAAAATAAGCCTCGAGCCAAACCACTTATGATGAAGAAATTAATAAAACATTACCACTTACAATATCAAATGAGTTGTATGATCTATCCCACATTATGCCTGACAATTGCAATTAAATAGAGCATTTAGGCATAATGTAGGTATGAGCACCATCACTGGCATGAACATGTGTTTGAAATTTAGGTAAAATGTTGTAGTCTGACAAATACCAAGCCACTGATGGTCCATGGTATAGATGCAGGAATTTAATTAAAGTATAATCATTCGTTGCAAATACCGAGTATGTACTAATAAAAGCCGGCGATTTGAAATAACGGTACACGGCGGACATGCACGATTACATAAATGGCGCACCTCGTGGGCGCACAACTCACCTGACGGCGCTCGTATGGCTTGTTCCGGTGGGATCGCTTGTCCCTCGCTTTCCCACCCCCCTGGGACGACATAACTACGGATTTTGTCAGGAAAACTTCTGTGGTAAAAACTTCGGGCTAATTTCCGGGCACCCAAACACCCCACACGTTCGTAACCGACGAGTTACTCCCGCAGAGAAAGATGGCGCTGGAAATTTTGTAATTCGTGCTCCAATTGGTCAGTTTCCACAGCGCGACCTTTTGCAAAAAATATATTTTATTTCTTAGCTTGAGTGCCAAGAGGCACAGGACAGCTAAATTAAAGATGGTGCTTGCAACGCTTTATCAAGGATTGTGCTAAGCCTTTTTATTTTTATTCATCATAGGTTACTACACATACGTCTCAAAAGTAGAACATTTGCTGGGAAAAATCAAATAAAATGTTTTTTTTTTGTTAAAACGTTTTGCAAAATTCAGCCTTAGCAGTGTTTTGGAAGGTAAAACTAAAACCCAAGGTAGAACTAATTCTGTACATACATATAACATACATCATGCTAAAACTCATAGTTTGTTTGGGCCTTTTCACATTACAAACTCATCCCAACGCCAATATCGGCGTGGCAGCTGCTCCATCAGCCTGAACGTACCACGAGTCACTGCCGTTCGTTGCCGACGAACTGGCCTTGAGCTATAACGACCACGACCCATGGCCCGTGCAGCAGTTCCGGTGACTGAGGCGGGGGAGAGGGAGAGCGTACACCGACGAGGACGAGGTCCGAGCTCAGATGGCCGGAGCCGTCCGGTCTGCGCAGCCTCATAGATGGTGTGGCGGGCACATTGACATCGGCCAGAAAACTAACCTCTGGTTGCACCAGGGGTTAGTTTTCTGGCCGATGTCAATTTGTGCCCGCCACATCATCCATGAGGCTGCGCAGACCGGACGGCTCCGGCCATGGTGATGATTATTGATTCCGGAATGCAGGATCGGATGGAATTGTACGTGTACCTACCTTAGCCTACCTCTATCTAAAAACAGCATTTCGGATTACACATGTGTCGTATGGTCTGGTTGTGTTGCATGATATGCGTCCAACAGATGACCCTGTTGTTATTATCTGACCTACTGCATTCCATTGACACCCGCCACGCCAGCTAGTACGAGCATTCGGCGACCTATCCGGTAACGATTTCCGAAAATCCTTCTGCCGGTCCGCCGGTCCGCTGTCCGTACGTTCTCCCGTCTCATGACTGGAAAATACCCGCACGGCTCGGGCACCTGGTAACAGCAGTTACATAGCAGACAGGCATTGAGGCCATCGGCAAATCAAAAGACGGCAAGGCACACTTCCCAGTTCCCCGTTCCCGACTCCCGAGTCACCGACTCCGACTGCCGTGGTTGAGTCAATGAATAGTCACCGACCGTCACGCCTTGCAGATCGCAGCCCGAGGCGAGCGCCCCTCAGTAACGTATAGGGTTCTGTCCCCAGTGACCGCCAGTCCGCAGACCTGACCTTCAACCGGGCCGTCACTTGGCGCGGTGCCAGGTGCCCGGGCTGACGTCACGGTCGTCTGCTGTGACGTCAGCAGATGGATTCCGTCGGTGGAGGTCGAGTCACGCGCCTGGGACGGGGAGTGGTGTCCGAGTAGGAACTAGGAGTGCCGCGACACTGCTATGACGGGGCCTAACTTGGGTATCGTCAAGCAAAGCATCAGAACAATATGATATGACTAAAATGTTGCTAGAGGGAAAGCATCCTCGAGTTCACGCTCTTCACGCCGTCCTTGAGCTGAGCGCACAGGCTCTTCTGAGGACCGTATCTCGGTAATTTTCCGTATCCGGCGCTCTGCCTGGCCCACTCGTCAGTCGCTCTATCTACCCGTGCACTGCGCAGTGGGGCCGTTCACTGGTTCGAAGTCCATTCAGCGTTCACAGACAACTTGAGTCCGCCCCCACACAGCCTCTGTGCGGCACACATCTGGGCCCTGGGGGCATGACATGCAGAAGTTTGTGAAGACGATATCGATTATAGAGTATCGAAATCTCTCGCCTCACCTCACGCCTACATATACGGTCTTTGTCAGTCTTTGTGCGCAAGGTAGTTGACATGTATAAAATGCGAATTGTCACGGAGATTCGTCTCCGAAAGAACTTCTCAGTATCTAGATCGATCACTCAGTAGTTCAGAGCACGTATGCCTGCAAGGTTGTTGCGCAACTTGGACTCAGTCCCTCCCACCCCACACCAGCGGAAGTGTTACAAGTGCACGTCTGGCCTCGCTCCAACACAAGGCGTAACGGCGCGGGCGGAGGGCTCACAGTTACGTAACACGGTAACTGAGTTTCCGTCGGGCGGGTTGGACCTCAGCTCCCACTTCCGAACACGTCACAGCCCCCAAGATTACTTTACTACTCTCACTACTACGACAGCCCCCTCCCTCTATTACAGGTTCGTCTGACGTCACATGCTGACGTGACGTCAGAGGCTCTCAGTGGCCGCATGCCTCGTGACAGCAACGAGTGAACCCATCCATCCTAATCCAAAAATAGTCCCGCCACTCCCACGGCCACGACCCACCCGTCCGCCGTCAGCCAGTCTCCCCCAGCTAACACACACTGCTCCTGGGCCCGTTGGAATGGCTGTATTGGTGCGAGCGGTGGCACTATTCACGCACCTTCGGGCGGCGACAGGCGCTCTCTCAGCGGTGAGTCTCAGACCAATGAGTCGCTCTGTCGCCGCCCGGTCCGATCCCGGGCAGAGGCTACAGCCGTCCGCCACAGGGGGTCGGGTCACACTCACACGCGCACACTTTGATCCGCGGCGGCAGTGGGGTGATCTTTACACACGCGCACAGAAACAACACGAGACGGGACAAGCGACATCGGGCTCACGCATGACTTGACATGTCGAGTGACACTGACGCTCGCACGACTAGCACGCACTCGTAACTCTTTGTGTCTGTGTGTTTGCACGTCAATCTGTCTGTCAAACGGCCCTGAGATGCAGTTGTCTCCGATCAGTTCGCAGTGGGGTCACGGCCAATAAAACGAGCAGTAGACGATGTGCCAGTGCGGGATCGATTGAGATTACCAGGCCAGAAGCGTCCCGACCTGACCGAAACTGGGCTACATAAACCAGCCGTGACACCACTAACACCGAGGGCCGCACGATCGCGTCGATCTGCCGAATATAGCTCAAATGCCTAAATGATTCACAAAACTGCCAACAGGGATAGAGCGAATTCAAAACGACAGCACCTACCTCCGGCAGAACATCCTAACAGCGCCGTCAATTGAGGCCTGCCATGACACCGGGACCGGCTCGGCTGGCCCGTTCTCCGTACTTATCACACGTAACAGCCAGCACGGAGCGAACACCAACCGCGCATCGGCGGCTCAGTCCGCTCAGCGCACCGCATTGATTTGTTGAAACTACCTAGCGCCGTTAAACCAGCGCAAATAATAATTACAAAATGTCCTAGTGGCACGTTTCTCATAGCTGTCGTTGGTTGGCTGTGGTCTCGCTGGTCAGGTGAATGTTCTTGGCCTTCTCGGTGATGCCGTCGGTGAGGTGTCCCAGTTGCCGCGCTCGCTCGGCCAGGCCGTCCACTGAGTGTTTGGCCGAGTGGAGCAGCTCGTCTGTGGTCTTCACGGCGCTCTTGGTGGCCGTGGCCAGCTCGTGCACCTCCTGGTTGATCTTGCCGATCACCCACTCCATAGCCTCTCGGCCCTGCCCGACGGAGAAGAGCGGTCAGAACTCGGAACTCAAAGGGCTGGGCGGGGCGAACGGCACACGTTACCGGACCTAGCAGTTGGTATGGATTGTTCAATTTTGATGACGTGCGTAAATGGAAATGTAGAAGTTATTTCGGGTAAAATTTTGGCCACAAAACAAGGATTATGCGCAAGTGAACATATGCGCATAAGCTTCAGATCAATAGTGCTCTTACGCGAATTTGGAATTTGGGAGTGTGAACTGTCATGCTAAGACGCCCACGTAACGATTAGCCTGACTGCAATGCCACGGGACCCGTTGCGTAACGGCAATGACTCAGCCCGGACCACCTTACAAGCCGTAACCCTGACCTTCGGCCGAAGGGCAGGCGGTCCACTCCGGTATCGTCGCCCCCGCTACCCTACCCTCCCCACGACCTTTAACCCGTACCCCATTCTGCAGTGCACCGGCCAATGTCGACACCGCAGACAGATTTAGGCTTAGCCGGTCACAGTGCAAAGCTGCTCACTGGACGTTACAACACGCCTCGCCGAGCAAAGACGGGTCAGCCTACGCCAACAATATGCCGGCCCAGTCTGTACGCAATATTGAGAAAAAGTAGTAATCGCATTGCAATCTTGCAATGTCCTGTAATCTCGGTCATGACCGAGATTGCGTAATCTTCCACCAATCTCAATTGTACGGGACTGACAACAATGCGGGGAATACAACTCTCCATCGATCTGGACAAATCATGTTCGCATTTGCAAGGGGTACACGCATATGCCTACTATCGGCTGCACCCTACCGTGACCTTAGCACTACAGTCCAACCACCAGCCTAGCCCCGTCGCGTGCTCACCTTTCCAGCATTGGCCGAGATCTTGCTGGTGAGGATGTTCTCCATGTAGTCGGTGAGCGGGACGCCCTGTACGGTGACGACCGCCTCCTGACGCAGGAGCGTTTTTGACGGGTCGTCCGGGTGCTCAGAGTACACCAGCCGTTCGTCGACAGAGATGCTGCTGCCAAAAGTGATCTGAAAACGGGAGAGGAGACTGGTAAGTAGGCTTGGGGGAACGACGAAGATTCCCACAAAAGACAGCACCGATGAAGTCTACACTACAACAATGCAACGGGTTTGACCGTCCGCCCATTGGTTTCCCTGCGGCATTCCCTCAGTAGTACTCGGGTAATCTAGGTCATGCGCAAGCCCAAGGACCTTCCGGACCCTACAAGGCCGGGCAGCAATCGCAGCGTCTGTATCAGCCCGATGAGTTACCAACCGGCCATAACCAGTTTTTACTGTAATCGCGGAGGATCGTTGCTCAAGACGTCGTGACGTCACACGGATTTTTCCATTCCCATTGGCGGTGACAGACGAAAAACTGAGCTAAAAACCAGCCAAATACCGCTGATGCTTCGTTGCTTCAGCGGGGCGGGCCTCATCTCAACCAGTGATCCTCAGTTCAACCGATGCGCATAATAATGAACAATGGATTGTCCGAGGCAGCAAGACATTCGATCAGCCCATCGGCGTAATTCGACCCCCACACGCCAACAGGCGCTGACCAGCGGAATCCACTCCCCCCCCCCCCTTCGCCCGTCGCAGCGCCGACGAGCGCCACCCCTGACCCTCCACCCCGCCTCCTCCTCACCCCATCAGGAGGCGACGCGCGTACCCCAGTAGACGTCACGGCCCCAGCCCCCAGTCCCTCTCTGTCCGGTACTCACATTCCTGGTTTTGAGCTCCATTTGGCGCTGGGCCGGGTCGACGGTGGATTGCTCGTAACCGTAGCAGACACTGGGCGAGCCGATCAGACTCGCCGCCCAGCCGGGAATGCCCCATTTTGAGCTGATGAGCCGGTCGGTAACGAGGCGGCCCTCCTGGACGCGTCGCTCCAGCACGTCAATGCCGACGACGGCCGGGTTCATCGGGTTCGGGTACTTCCTCCAGGCGGCCTGGCTCACCGTCTCCCACGAGTGGCTGTGGAACAGGGGAAGGGGCGGTCAGGAGGTGGGAATGTGGCAGGCAAAATACCGGCCTTCCCCGTAATCCTGCTTCATACTAGGACAAGGATGGGGAGAGGCACGGTGACTATAAATAGGGGAGAGGGACAGCAAGGGCGAGCACAGAGACGTGGAATCAGAGAAAAAACAGGGGCTGATATGGGAAACATGAAAAGAAAGGCACAAAACATTGTAAAACATTGTTGCAACTTTGCAACGCGCAAGATATTACGTAAAATTTGCATAATCGATTACATAATCATCACGCACCGTCAGAAACCTAAAAGTACAATTATTGACGCATACAAGACAATCAAAAGCCGAAGTCTGCATCAATTTTGAAGTGAATATATACGTTTAACTTACTTGAACACGTGCTCCGATGTCCAAATCTTCATTTTTTAGTCCTGAAGTGAAAGCACGGTCGAAACTTTTGCGTCCCAAACCTTCTCCCACGAGCGCCCACCACACACTGCTCACGCCCCCACCGATCGTGTGCAAAAGAACCCCAATCGCCAGCTGGTGACTCACTTCGCTGAGTCACTGGTTCCAACAACTGACAGCTGGCTACTTTATTTCGGGGAATTTATTCGTTATTTTACATAATATGTCTAAAGTTTTTGCTCATAATGAACTTGTAAACCCATCAAATTTGTTTTTGTTGGGTACGAAAATTATGTCAAAGCTTTTAAAGGAAGACTGCCACCTTCAAAAAGTTTTCTCAGATCGGCCTATGATTTATTCCCTGGACAAAACAAAATTTTAGAATTCACCTGACAAAGTATCATCACGTGAATCGCGAAAAAAATTGTCGATTATCATACATTTATCAATCGGTTAATGTCTAGCGACAATGTTTACACATCACTAGACTTCAAGGTCATAAGATTATTACATTTTACTTGAAAAGTAAGGTATTTTATGATTTACTAATATATGATTTCATAAGAAATTGGCCATGTTTAATTTATTTTGCATTTAAGTTCGTAAAACATTTATAAAAATCATGGCTCATTTGGAATGGGTCTGGCCCATGTTAAACCCCATTTCCCACACTTTTTTGGAAAAAATGAACTACTGAATATATAAGTTTAACTTTTATTTTGACACTCCAAAATTCTTCTCTGATCTCGAAACAATCAAAGTTTTGACATATATTTACCAAAAGATAAGAAAATTCATGTTTCAAAGTTATCGATAAACAGTAGAGATGTCGGTTTTCTTGGACTAAAAAAATGGCATCAAACTGAACTTTGGTCTCCGATTTCTCGCAAACGGGTTCGAATTTCGGAAAACCGACTTCAGTCTGGAACATAGGTGGCTCAGCTCTAGTGAAAACCGTTTTGTGGAAAAAAGGTGGCAGTCTACCTTTAATGTCAAAGTTGTGGAAATAATTATTAAATGTTTTGTTGGTACGTCATCAAATTCTAGGAATCAGCTGAGAAAGGTTCGGGATTCTTCTTACATATTGCTATGGTTGCATAACGATAACCTTGATCATTCATAACAACGTGGAAAAGTGGAAAGAGGGGGGTCTTCATTTCTTTTCAATATATTTGTTATGCAGTTTGAATTGGGGTCGTTTAGGTCTTCTCGAGATTAAATTTTCAAAGCAGTAGGCGATGGGCAAGAAACCACGTAAAGGTATGTCATCAATATTGATAGGATATAGATGTATATTATCCACATTTCAATTTACCGTATTACCTACGTACCTGTCAGTTGCCATTATTGCCTGCCTTATTTAGACAGCAATCTGGGAAATGAATTGGCCCGATAAAAAAGATGTAATGCTGAATTTTCCATGATCTCTTGAAATCTTACATTCATTAGTTTGTGCTATCTTACCAGTTTGTGCTATCTTACCAGTAATCAAGGCATGTTAGCAGGCAGGAAACAACAGAAATTAACTGAATTAATTAAATTTTCTCTTTAACTTTTCTTCATCATCACATCTCTTTCCCAGCGGAGCTTCGCTCCAAGGAGGAGCTGCAGCTACTGGCCATTGGCGACATCATCAGCGAGCTAGTGGAGGCTCACCAGCAAAAGAAGGATGTTAACCTGAGCCGCATGAAAACACGCATCTCTGCACGCTATGGCCTGGACACATCTCCACGATTGGTGGATATCATTGCGGCTGTGCCCCAGGAGCACCGTGCCACACTTGTGCCGAAACTGAAAGCCAAACCTATCCGCACAGCCAGTGGGGTGAGTCATTGGGCTGCCTATAATTTCCATGTGTGGGCACCATTCACTGGCTCATGGTCCATGAACTTGTAAATAAATTACCAGTACTGTTCAATAGACACAAGCCTGGTGTCTCGGGGCCTGTCTCGTGTGTGTCGTAACAGTCAGTTTCTCACCCCAGTCAGCCAGCCACTCCTCTCAGCGCGATGGGCACAGCGGCTTCACTTGGGGGCTCATTTAAGAGCCAATGTAGCTCACCAGAACAGGTAGCTACTAGGCAGTCACCATGAGTTAAGTCGGTAGCCTTCTAAACATTTTAGTATCACTGTTCTTTTTTCCGCAGATCGCCGTGGTAGCTGTGATGTGTAAACCCCACCGATGTCCGCACATCAGTATGACGGGCAACATCTGCGTCTACTGTCCGGGCGGGCCGGACTCAGACTTTGAGTACTCGACACAGTCGTACACCGGGTACGAGCCCACCAGTATGCGAGCCATCCGCGCCCGCTACAACCCGTACCTGCAGACTCGACATCGAGTGGAACAGGTAAGACTGTGCCCGATACGGACCGTCCCCGCTACATACCCGAGACTGTAACTGATACACGCCATACCCGTCACAAACATGCACCGCTAAAAACCGTACCCGCTGCAGACCTTTGCCGTTACTTGCCGTTCTTATGGACCGTCCCGCTACAGGCCATACCCGCGGTAGACCGTTCTCGCAAACCAGACACCGAATGTGGCAGGCAACGACGGCTTCCGCCGTCGAGAGCGTGCCAGATATTTTACGGAAACATTTCCGTTCCTTGTCCGGAACTCTTAGTGACGTAGGTAGGTTGCTTTTGATCGCGAAAGCTAAGCCCTGTCTCGCGTTTGTAGGTAGCTAGTCAATACTCGTTCCATTTCGGCACAATGTGTTGGCTTCTTTGCTCTTAACGGGCTACTTTTGCATCTAGTCTGTTGATGTTTCGTTCGTTTCGATGTTTCGTTCGGATTGCATTGACCTAAGCTTGGTCTAATAAAAGTGAAGCCTTTGAGCATATACATTGTATTAATACCATTTAATGTTGCTGTCATGTTCAAAACCAGTAGCAAGCACACTCCCTGAAACGTGAAATACCTAGTGATACAAATTACCCCACCATGTGATACAACTCACCCAAGCCATGGGGCAAGTTGTATCAAAAACATTGTTCTATTCGGCAGACCGTAGAAGAAAAACTGGTAGAGGTAGCGGAAAAGTTACTTTGCACAAAAAAGCAGAAGAATCAAGGAAGGAGATAGTATGGAAATAATGAGTTTATCACGGATAGTTACGAGGTTATGGGTCTCGGAGTAAAAACTGATACAACCCACCCCACTCTCCCCTATTGTTTGTTTTTTAGATCTGTGGCAGGCTATCATTCCCAGATAAGTAATATGATCGGGGGTTCTACGCTTCAAACTCTACACTCCAAATACACAATCGCTCTTTTCAGCGTCTATTTCATTAGCTTCCTTTTCTATTTTATGATTCGGTGAAGAACTGACCTCAGTTACTGACCAACGTAATTTCTGTCATGTAGCTGAAGCAGCTGGGTCACAGTGTCGATAAGGTCGAGTTCATCGTGATGGGCGGTACGTTCATGGCCCTTCCGGAGGAGTACCGGGACTACTTCATCCGTAACCTGCACGACGCCCTCTCAGGCCACACCAGCGGATCAGTACAGGTGCGTGCACGGCGGGATTGGTGGATCTCCCGGTGTGGGGAGGTGTATCCTCACACAGTAGCCCCTTGAAATGTTAGTTTGAGAATGGTTGACGTTCTTTCATCAGTGAAAGCTTGTTACGTGATTCACGTTTTATCGTGCTTAGCAATCGCCACGCTAATCGTACCTATTGTTATGAGCAACAGCTCACAGGCAGAGAAGGCTTGTTCAGGTTTCTCGTCCATCAACTTGCACCAAACAATAGCTTTGCTGGAAACCCTCGCCCTCATCGTCACCATTTATTAATCTGCGGCTACTTGTTGCTGGAGCGACATTCAAACTGTCTGCCTACTCTTACCAGTGCTTCAGTCCACTGGCTCACCCTCACCTTCATGTGTTTCCCTCTGCCACCACCAGGAGGCGGTGCAGTACTCCGAGCGGAGCCGTACCAAGTGTATCGGCATCACCATAGAGACCCGGCCCGACTACTGCCTCAGACGCCATCTGAGCGACATGCTTCTCTACGGCTGCACGAGACTCGAGATCGGCGTTCAGGTGCGTGTGCGTGAATTAATGGCGTGCCGGCTGGAGGTAGGGATCAGCTAGATCAGGGATTAGGTAGGGGTTGGTACGTTTTTGCAGTTCATAGGAGACGTAACCTACTTGACAATCACAAAAAGCGGTGCTAATTCATTCAATTACCGCATAAACCGATTTAGGCTACACATGGTACGTCTTTGTGCTGCCAATCTGTCCGGTTTATCACTATCTAGCTTTTTTTGGCTCCAACTGTATCTTGTTCACTTGATCCTTTCTCTGTCTCTTTTGACCTCTCAGGCCCTTCTTAGTTTTAACCTTCATTAAACCTTTCGACCTGCGACCTCCGGGTCACCTTTTTGACCTCCCGACCCCTCCCCATCCCCAGTCGGTATACGAGGACGTAGCGCGCGACACGAACCGCGGACACACTGTGCGCGCCGTCTGCGAGAGCTTCCAGATGAGCAAGGACGCCGGCTTCAAGGTGGTGGCGCACATGATGCCCGACCTGCCGAACGTCGACCTCGAGCGCGACATTCAGCAGTTTGTGGTGGGTGTCTGCGGCGGGGCAGTGGGTGGGCGCTGGGAATGGGCGTGGGTTAGAATGCTACATGAAGGGGAGGGCAGTCATGTGGGTTATGGGGTAGCGTTCGATGATGAATGAATGAATGAATGAATGAATGAATGAATGAATGAAATTGAATGAATGATGAATGAATGAATGAATGAATGAATGAAAAAATGAATGGCGATAACCAATGATTGAATGACCATTTAAATGAGCCAATTGAGCGATTTCGGCAGATTCTGTCTACCTTAAATTTTACATAAACGTGTCTATGTCTGTCTTGACGAATAAGCTCGACAAGCCAACTAAAGTGACTTTACATCACATATTGCAAAGTACGAGACATTATGCCTCTCATCCCCGTTTTACCCCACCACCAGGAGTTCTTCGAGAACCCGCAGTTCCGCGCGGACGGACTGAAGATTTACCCCACTCTGGTGATCCGCGGTACGGGTCTCTACGAGCTGTGGAAGACCGGTCGGTACCGCAGCTACCCGCCCAGCGCCCTGGTAGACCTGGTGGCTCGCGTGCTGGCACTGGTACCGCCCTGGACGAGGGTGTACCGAGTGCAGAGGGATATACCCATGCCGCTGGTCACGTGAGTTTGGACGGGGATGAAGTTTAACTTGCGGTGGCCATGTGAGAAAGAGTAGTTATGTAATCAACATTAGAGAACGGCTTCGACGATTGACAGTCTTGGGAGCTGTGACAGACCTGGGGACCCGTATCTATCGTGCGTTGTGCACGCATTGACGTCGATACCTGATGCCGAAACATTAATTCATGCATATCAGTTTGGTAACATCAATTTACGTAAAATTAAAAAAAAAAGCATCATTCGAATTTAAATGACAGCAGCGAGTCGTACTATACCGGTTGATATTGATTTTCCATTGCTCGGATACCGTGAATGTCTCACCTCAGTACTAACAAGCATTCCTTCTCTCTCCCCAGCTCCGGTGTGGAGCACGGTAACCTGCGTGAGCTGGCCCTGGCGCGTATGCGTGACCTGGGTACCACGTGTCGTGACGTGCGGACCCGCGAGGTCGGTATTCAGGAGATCCACCACAAGGTCCGGCCGTACCAGGTCAGTGTCCGGTCAAAGGTCACCGCTTGGTGACGCGTGAGATAATGTCAGATTAGGAATTATTGGGTAGGATCAAGACAAAATATCAACTAGTATAGGAATAAATGTGTACATTATATAGTTTATTACGCTATATAAGCTTGCTTCTGGCTGAGGCAAGTCATTGTCAGATAAGGTCAGGTTACATAGGAAGCATTGGGGCACGTTATGCACTCTCGAAATTCGTTCATGCTAGAGAGAGAATGACAGATAGCTGTTTTATTCTTTTTTGGCTGCCACATGGACTGGATATTTTCATTTCCACTTCATCGTTCCTTTCATTTCAATCCTCTTTCTCCGTTTTTGGTTAACTCACCTCTGTCTCGCTCCTGTACGCCTTTTTATCGCTTTTGACCGTCTCCGCCCTCACCCCGCCGTCTCAGGTGGAGCTGATCCGTCGCGACTACGCGGCCAACGGCGGCTGGGAGACGTTCCTCTCATACGAGGACCCCGACCAGGACATCCTGGTCGGCCTGCTGCGGCTCAGGAAGTGCTCCTCAGAGACGTTCAGGTGAGGGCAGAGGCCCAGAGGTGGATTGGCTGTGAGTTTGGATAGGTATACGGTCGATTTAGTTATTTATAGTCACCGTGGATTTAGTGTAGCCACGCGTTGTGTTCATTGATTGTGTCGGTACTCTTCAATAATTCAATATACCCTGGTCGGTACTGACGAATTCGTCAGTTGATGTGTTCTGCCTGGGACCTTGCTGACCTAGGTCGAAAAGCTAGAATGCTATGAAAATTACCCAGGGAAGGTTATCACACGTCAATAAATCGACTTACCCGTGGTACATTTTATTATTTCATAATATACTATCGTCTCAGTTTCCGGTAGCTGCAACGCAATGGAAATATAGTACGGAGGGACTACTATTGTAATTTGTAACCTGTGCTGACCTCCTCACCCTCCCGCGGCAGACCCGAGATGAAGACGGCCACCTCTGTGGTCCGCGAGCTGCACGTGTACGGCTCCGTGGTGCCCGTCTCGGGCCGCGACCCGGCCAAATTCCAGCACCAGGGGTTCGGTACACTGCTGATGGAGGAGGCCGAGCGGGTGGCACGAGAGGAGCACGGAGCCGACAAACTCTGCGTCATATCCGGTTAGTGCTGGTGCTTTTCAGCTAGAAGGGAACGGGCGGGATTTACATAGATGCAAGAAATTCTGCCATCACCGGGCTAGTCCAAGACGTGACGTTGGCATGAGTTGAAGGCCGAGTACTGAAGCTAAAGGTTTACACGCTAGTGATAATTATACGAATAGCATTGAACAGCTTGATCAGTCTTGTCGTTTTCCTGAGACGTGTTGTTGGTACCGTGAAGTGGGGCTATTTGAGACAGTGGGGCTATTTGAGACAGTATTTAAAGTCGCTATAAAATGAAGAGCGTTTGATTTTTGTGTGATATTTTTGCTCAGGGAGGTGTGGAATCGAGCAGTAAATCGCCTGAGCAAAAAAGTAAGCATAAGTTTTAAGTGGTTTTTATTTTATAGCAATTTTGAATACTGTCTCAAATAGCCCCACTGTCTCAAATAGCCCCACCTTACGGTAGTTATCTTTGTTTTGCTCGTAGTATTGCGACTGATTCGTTTTCTCTCGCTCGCCAGGTGTCGGTACTCGCAACTATTACCGCAAGCTGGGCTACGAGCTGGACGGACCTTACATGTCCAAACGGCTCCGGTGACCTGATCCGCTGTGACCTGAGACGGTGATCTGATCCAGTGACCTGGGCTGTGACCTGGGAAGGTGACAATAAGGTCAGCTAAGGTCACGATATTGTGACGGTGAAGTTACATCACGATAGTATCAACCTCACGTCACACGACTGTGCGGCCGAGCAACACAACAGCGTGGTCATTTAGCGCGCGTACGGTTAGTACCTTACAGGGGTACCAGTTGCTGCGACAGATGCCGCAAACCATGTCAGAGTTACAGCAGGCTCACAGCACAGTTAGTGTGAGGCGGAACAGGCTGCTGATGGCTGTCGGGTGTTTAAAGTAATTCCCGACCGTTGAATTGGAATCCCATTGTAGTGACCGCGCTACAGAGAAGACAGTGAAGACAGCCCCACGGCCTAACATCGATCACAGCCTTCGTCTACTTGTTGGCCGTCCTTGAAGGCTACACGTGTACGGTGTTGCAGTTAGGGGCCCGCTGAGTCTCTTCTGATGATGATCTAATGCGAACCGCCCCTCCCAGGACAGTGATGAACGGGTTGTTTCACTATATGATGGAAGGACGCGAGAGGACATCACCCATGCAAACTATATGGGATTATTTTTTCGCATAAAGCAACACTTTTCTATACCGATGTTTCATCTTCACAGGCATACTACGATGGTCTTGCACAATCCAATCATCCGCCGCACTTTTCCTGAAGCTCACTCGTTAGACATGACAATAAACCATTTTCCCATATTTTGAGTCAGCTGCATAATTTGGGTGCTTTCCCGTCCGCCACTGTGGCAGCAAAGCCAACATTTTATGACGTCCATATTGTATTCATTTCCATCCATCGATCCATTTTTGGTCCATTTATTTACCATTAATCGATTCCTTTCCAAGTCGGTCGTGCGTTTGTGCCGTAAGTTTCATTCTTCAATCATCGATAACGTTCATCGATAATTTTCAGTCGTTGTCTCCTATGTAACTGTGAGACAATACGCTTCTGGTAGATTTTGACGAAGTCGTGGACAATAATCGCGTTAAGAAAGTGGTACAGTTTGCTTTGTCCTACTGTTTCGATTTTACTGAGAAAGTGAGAACGCTTGATGCTCAGTTTGAGGGACAGTGGGGCGCCGTTGTTGCTGTGATTCGATAAAATATATTTGCATACAAATTGCATTCCTTGTTGTTTTCCACCTCATCGTTGCGTGCTTCTTGACGTGGTGAAGCAGTGTGACACAATGGCTGCATTTTTGAAGCGATCTTCCGTTTCGGTAGTTTCGGTAGCTCAGTATGTTGTGATGCGGCCTCGACCTGACTACCGATCTGCCGTTTTAGGCGACTGCCGCGATCCTCGCTCAATGGTGACTGATCGATGGGACTGTTGGAGAAAATGCGTTTGACCGTTATATGTGTGGTAGTTCTGTTTCAGCCCTGGGTCGAGACTGCCGGGTTTTCATGAATGTGTTGGCTGGTTATGATACTTACTTGTAGTTCGTGCAATATGTTTTTACGGCTTTCTTTCGATTGCACCAATTCGCTCCGTTGTCCTACCCCAGCTTCATGCATGTCCTTCCCGTCGGCCGATGCTTCCGAAAGTGTCGGACCTGTGAGTTTGTCTCCACATAATACCCACGCTGCTCCACTTCCCTGGTCCTTCCTTGGCCGCACTGCCCCACTTCCCACTCCCCCCGTTCGCCGTTTCGGCCGGCCTTTTGATGGCCATATCCGCCCCTCTACTCCCCATGCGGCACGCACCGGTCCCGCCCCCACGCCTCTGCCGGCCGCTCGCCTCCGCCGCTCAAGGTCACACGGCCCTCGGCCCCAGCTCGGCCCAGGACCGGCGGTAGTTGCATCATTCCCGTTATTTTCACTCTGTACCCGGGTGATCTATTTCATCTACCGTGCACCTAACGCTTGTCTGGGGACTACGGGTTCCCCATAGACACAAATCGTCGTTGCTGGACCGTCGATGGTCTTTTTGGTATTGATGCGAACTCACGGCTCCGCGGCTCGCGCTCGCCCTCTCCACCACAGCGAGCCGGTCGTTCGGGAACTCTGGGCCGTGCTGTGAGCTGTCCGTCCACGGCGTGGCCAGAGCGGCCAGGCGCGGCGGGCGAGCGGGCGGTGCGGGCGCTGCTGCCCCCTCGCGGCCACCACAGCAGTCGCTGTGCCGCGTGGCAACAGGCTCTCAGCGGCAGCGGCGGCTTGCGGAGCGGTGCGGCTGGCGAGGGCGGTCACGAGAGTGGGACGCCCAGCGAGAGGCGGTGCGTGAGAGTGGGGAGTTGGTGAGAGTGAGTGGAGTGTAGAGTGAGACTGGCGAGGTCACGTGACGGGTCAGGAGTGAGCTGAAGATTCTTTTGTTGATTTGAAGGTGAGGATTTGTCCACGGTGTGGAGCTCGACTTGCACCGGCATTGCTCCACTTTACTGGCCCATGTTGGCGGATGAAAGTAACGGCCCGGGAATGGCGGATGGGCTATGTGCTTATGACAATTTATACCCTCTACGTAAGGCGCCGGCGTCTCTTTTTGCAAGTTAGTAGGTATAGGAGACTATGTTCATTGTTCAATGCACTGACCGATCTGCGCTGTGGGAGGCCCGAACAAGGGCCCGACGATCCTGGACCTTCGCCGTTCGAATTTGCGCTGCACCGTGCGGCTGCAAAAACTGTCCCCGTGTGCTCGTTCCGACCGGCCGAAGCAAGGGGACTCGCGCTTTGTGCCATTTATAACTCCTTTGTTGATGGCATGCCTCTAGTCTACTTGGTAACCCCAAACTAATCGGTCAATGTAGATCGGCACTGTGCCGCTGTGCGTGAATCGCCGACGTCTTATTACCATGCAAGCAAAGCCACCTTCCCGTTCAAAGTTCGAGTCCAGGGACCGGTCAGCCGGAATAGCTCTGCATAGGGACGATAAACAGTCACGACTCATATCTTGCTCGGGAGCGTTCATTAGTGTCCCTTGTTTGTACGGTCAGTGCTGTGTAGTGTGTATGGCTGTAGCCGGGATGTGTGCTCGTGGGGGGGGGGGGGGGGAGGGAGGGATAAGGATCCGATCGGCACACGGTTTCGGAAACCGCCAGATTGGAGAGCGGATCGCCCGAAATCCCGTGACACGTGGGGTGGGGAGGTCGAAGGTCGACAGACAGCTGAGCCGTCGTTTGTCCAGTGGCACTGGAGCAGCTGCTACCGAAGTAACGCTATGTGGACTTCATAAATGAGGCGACTGACCCACCTTATGGCACCGTCCTTATGGGACGCATCGTAGGTTTATGTATAAGTGCTATGTATAACCGTGGAGGACGGCGTGATGTGCTTAGCACGGCCCACCGTATTCTGACCTGAGTTTAGATATCGCTAATGCCACACGTGTCTGGGCAGTGATCCCGCCTGCAAAGGTGACACCCGACAATGCGAGTATTATCCAGCACTGGTAATATTACTATATAGTTACCCGATACTACTCCCGGTTTCCGGCTACTGCCTTTATGCTCACCGGCTATGAGACTGAAACTCGTGTCAGCGGCATTCAGTACGACACCGTGCCGGTAAGCACGGTGACTATAACCGGTAAGGACGATACCACCTGTTACTTTGGCACTAATCGATACGACTCGAGAGACCGGCAGTCTATTGGCGTAGGTCATGACTATTGTGCCATGACAATAGGTATGGTCGGCTCCGTCCCGATGAGCTTGATAAGGTGTTTCCAACCGCACTTAACACGTATCGTTAGGCGATAATATTAGTGGATAAACAACCTCACCTTTACAAGATCATCTAGCTTGAGCAGCGTTGATTCATGGCATTGCGCTAAGTGTCGGCACGCTTGCGGTGGTCGCAATCATGTTTGCTTTGCATTCGTGCTGTTTGGCAACACTTGATTTTGTGTGCGCTTAGCTGTGCGATTGTGCAATGCGGGTCCCTACCCAGCTCAGAAAATAGCATGCATTGCACGATCTTATGGAAGCTCAGACAGCCTTTGCTTATTTTTGCATTCAGCAGATAACTGCCCACAGTTTTTGTCGCCGTTTTTACTTTTCTCACGTTGTGGTGATGGCTGGTGCTCATCATACGGTCACACACGGTTCACAAGTGTTTATTGAATACGTGTGTGGCTCACAGCTGTTCCTTTGATGTGATTGTGAGCGAACGCACGCACCAGCTAGCTCATGGAGTCGTACCGGTGAAGGTAGCTATGGGAAGAATTTTCAGATGAAACTATAAACGTCACTGGTGAAACGTAAGCGGGTTACACCGTGATGGGACTGAAGCTAATTTGGGATTCAGCCACAAACGATACGACAACGGAGCATTATGTTTGCTTGTTTGGTGAGGTCAAAAAGAGGCACTGTAATGATGTTTGGTTATTCACTTTCTTTCTCCCCTCTGCATCGAGTATCGTTTGGCGGCTGTCATCATCGACTGAGATGATATTGCACCATCTGGGGCGGCAGGGTGATTGGGGTCATGCCAAAATGAAACTCACGAGACCTTACCTGAGGTCGTATTACACACGATCATGAATACAGTGTTTGCACCTGCTCAACTTTATGACTTCACATTAATTTCCGTAAATTGAAACAAAACTACAATAATTGGTGATCCAACTAACTTATTTCTCCCTCGTCCCTCAGACAGTCTCAATGCGCGTGCCGCTGACTCGGTGTCTCCTGGGCTCCTTGCGGGGCCAGCCTGGCCAGGCCCGAGCCCTGTTCACCCTCCAAGACCACTCCAAGAAGCCCAGCTCTGTGCCCCTCACCAAGGAGTCGTTCAAGCAGCTGCGGCGCGGCGACTTTGCCGAGGCGACGCCCGACGACCTCAGCAAGCTGAAGGAACTTGTGAAAGGACGCATCGAAACCGACAAGGATGACCTGCTCAAACATAACTGCGACTGGATGAGGACATTGAGAGGTATGTTTTGAGGCCCGAGCTGTTCGCCGTTTGCCGAATGGTTTGTGTTGAGCGTTTTTTTTTTTAGGATTGCTGCTTTACCGAAAGCTATTACAGTAATGTGCTTCCTGATGTTAACTAGTTAGATGCCTGCTTTATTCAATGTACGTTCTTTTACGTTGCATGAAGAATGAATATTCCTAAGGTAAAGATCGAACAATCGCGTACTGTGGCCGTTCAATCTATGCACGTTTCTGTACCTCTTTGTGTAACTATGTGGCACCGTCTGTCCCTCCCTCAGGCTCCTCGCCGTGCGTGGTGTTCCCCAAGACCACGGAGGAGGTGTCTGCGGTGCTGAAATACTGCTCCAGCAGGCGACTGGCCGTCGTTCCCCAGGGCGCCAACACCTCACTGGTCGGTGGCAGCGTCCCGGTGTTCGACGAGGTCATCATTAGCACCAAGGAGCTGGACGATATCATCGATATTGATGCTGATGGCGGTAGGTGAAGAGGTTGGGAAGGGATGTATGACCGTCAAAGCATTGAGTTGTGCTCGTTCCTCTGTGCGATAATTGATGGGATTGGGATGCTGATGGGGCGTTAAAAACGGTTTGTGAAGCTATTGTCTGGTCTACAAATTCATCAGAGACCTACTTATCGACTGTGATTTTTAAACAATGCACTTAGTTTAGTGATTGGTAGGGGCATAGATTCATCGGCGGAAACCTTGCTTCCTTGTTTGTTTTTGAATTGCATTAGGCGCATTACGCTGGAGTTTTAGTTACCGTCGTTGTAGCTTGTTCGTAGTACAGGACAGCTCGTTCTTTCGTATTTTGTCCGTAGCATAGAATATCCATATGCAATTTCAAGGTGTCGTTAGCTCATGCACCCCTCTCCACCGCCAGGCACCCTGTCGTGCGAGGCCGGCTGTTCGCTGAAGACCCTGGAGAAGAAGGCGCGCAAGAAGCACCTGTTCTTCCCGGTGGACCTCTACATCCGGGAGGCTCAGATTGGAGGCGTGGTGGCGGCAGATATGGCCGGACCGCGCACCGCCCGATACGGAAACCTGCACGGGAATGTGCTGGGCCTGGAGGTGGTGAGTGGAGGGTTTTGGATAAAAGAAAAGTGGAGGAATGTGGTGCCGATTTTCATCCCGGTGGTATATATTCTTATAAAGTTTGCTTCGGCGCAGCGGTACTTTTAACTTGATCTCAAATATCGTTTGTCTGCTGCCCTCCCGACTTCGCCTCTGACGAATGGAGTTCCCCGCTGTTATATGCCAGATACACTGCCGTACCCTGATATGACCAGCCGTCCTGTCACCTCAAGTACCGTTTTACGTATAACTGACCTATGTGGTTTAGCCTCCTTCGCCTGACACTTTTGTCTGTACTCGTTATCAAAACTTATATCTGACCGTAGTAACGCGATCTCGTAACACATACGGTCTATGTTTGTCGGACCATAGATGGAGTTTCCCCACCCGTCACCTTTCTGTCCACCTCTGACAGGTACTACCGGACGGCACCGTCCTCAACTCCATGTCCAACATGAGGAAGGACAACACCGGCTTCGACCTGAAGCAAATGTTCGTGGGCTCCGAGGGCAGTCTGGGCATCATCACAAAGGTGAGACGGCGCAGGACTTGCAAACGTCCAGGGGAAGGTTTCGAATAATTTAGAATAATTTATCGACATACCTATGATGTATTTCTGATATTTCAGCAGCTATATTTCTGTATTTTGTCTTTAGCGGCATAGGCCGTGGAGCATTGTACCGTTTAAAATTGAGTTTCTCGATACTGAAATTTCGTCGACTGTCAGCATGTGTCGTGGGAATGTGACCAATCCGTTGCTTGATCCGTTGGCACCTTACCAAAGTGATAAAATGCATAACATCGGTAATGTGAGTCGGGTGTGATTCTTGGACGTCCAACGCCTTCATGACTGAAAGCGGCCCAATGGCGGCTGTGGTGCGATATAGCCTCGTAGCTGGCGCGTTCTGTCAATTCAAATCATCCTCATCAATGCCGGCTGTTATCATGGCTTTGCTTCGGCTAAAATATGTCTGTTTAGTGAAAATTTGCCGCTGTAAACAGTTCTTTTACGTCCGTGTTTCTTGAATATGTTATGTAGTTCTACTCAGCTCCGGTTATTTTCATAATTTTAAGGATCTCATTGTACCGAAAGTTTCAAGATGTTGCTACTGACGTCGGTAGCACTGCAACTCGCGTCATTTGACTCTGTTCCCCTTTACCTCCCGCCAGGTGTCAATGGCGTGTCCTCCGCGTCCCAAGTTCATCAACGTGGCCATGGTGTACACGGAAAGCTTCGATCACGTGCTGGAGATCATGCGGTTGGCCAAGGAGCAGCTCGGAGAAATCATGTCCGCCTGCGAGTTCATGGACAACGTGAGTGTGCTGGAGTAGGGTCGGGGACTAGGAGAGGTTAAATTTTTGTGTATGCAAGTTTTAGGGACCAGGATCGTTGATTTGTTTCATGTCTAGTGTGAGCTCACTTTTTATCAACTTTTACTGGTGTGTTAGATTCACGTTGCGTCCTGCCACAGTCGATGTAACGCTGGAGCTTCTTAATAATGATTCATTCTGTTACTTATACACACATAGGGAAGTTGCGAAGGATTAATTCACCCATTTTAATCCGCAGATGAAGCAGTGATGTCGGTGAAGCCGCTCACGCGCGCTAAATTCCCCTCCCTTTGATCGCCACAGCCTAACAAACATACAGGATTGATCTGACCTCTGGTCTGCTCCACCACACACAGGACGCGGTGATGTCGGTGAAGCAGAAGCACCTGACCATGTGGGGCGTGCCTAGCAAGCCCTACTACGTGCTCATCGAGACGGCCGGGCACTGTGACATGCATGACGAGGAGAAACTGAAGTTCCTCTTCAACCTGCTCAAGGACAAGGATCTGATCATGGACGGCCAGATCGGGCCGCTCAACTATGACGACCCCACCTTTGTCGAGGTGAGGATCGCATCAGGAAAGACGCTTTGAGGACTGATGGAATCGTGCGGAGAGGAACTGTCCCTAATCATGAATGAATCGTTATCAATTCTGGAGAGGGCTACGTAACGACAGGTGTTTTCCTTATTAGATCTACTTTTGCAGGATATGAAATAAATGGCATCGTCACTGACATACAAACTAATGTAAAACCATTTAATTACGCTGATTATTTTTATACATGTTTTATCGAGAAGTATTAACATTCGTCATGTATGTAAGCGACAGGGCAAATGCAGGCTAATCCACGGGGTACGACTAAGAACGGTTTGCTTCCTCATCTGACTCGGCGTCCCCGTCTCATCACAGCGTCTGTGGAACATAAACGGCCGTATTCTGACGGCGCTCTCGTCGACCGGCAACGTCTACCACTACGACGTGTCGATGCCGCACAGCATGCAGTACCCGCTGGTGCAGAAGCTGCGCCAGGAGGCCGGCAGCGACATCACCAAGGTAAACGGACGACCGGATGATGTTTGGTCGCCACGGGAACCGCGGGATATTGTGTCTACGCGAGTTTTGCGGTTATATTTTGGAAAGCTTATCGTACTTAGTAGCGGACTTTGTATTGGTCCGGCATTTCATATTTAATTGGGAGCGTTCTTGCATTGACATCATGTATCATCCATATCTTTTTTCATTGTCTGGTTGCACCGACGTTATTTCATAGGCGGTGTTATCAGTGTGCCAACCGGTTCGTATCTAATAAGAGAATTCAAATGCCATTTGTTTTGCTCAACCAATATTTTCTGTGCCAAAGTTGCCGCTGACCGGCCATGTCGAGTCATCCCTCGTTTAACTTTGTCTCCTCTTTTGCCCTTCAGGTGGCCAGTTTCGGTCACCTGCTGGACGGGAACCTGCACATAGCGCTCCAGTCCGAGTCGTTCCCTGTTAACTCTGTCCTCTGTTTCTGTCTGTGACCGCCAGGTGGCCAGTTTCGGTCACCTGCTGGACGGTAACCTGCACATAGCGCTCCAGTCCGAGTCGTTCCCTGTTAACTCTGTCCTCTGTTTCTGTCTGTGACCGCCAGGTGGCCAGTTTCGGTCACCTGCTGGACGGCAACCTGCACATAGCGCTCCAGTCCGAGTCGTTCCCTGTTAACTCTGTCCTCTGTTTCTGTCTGTGACCGCCAGGTGGCCAGTTTCGGTCACCTGCTGGACGGCAACCTGCACATAGCGCTCCAGTCCGAGTCGTTCTCTGCCGACACGCTGGACCGGCTGGACCAGCTCATCACGGAGAATGTGACGGCAGCCGGCGGCGCTGTCTCGGCCGAGCTCGGCTGCGGCTTCAAGAGCAGGTGAGGGACGGGGAGATAGGGGAGGGAGACGGGGAGATAGGGGAGGGAGACGGGACGGAGACTGGATTGGATGCGAGGGAGACGGGGCTGAGCGCCTAGGCAGGAAGGTTACAGAGTAATTGGAGCTGGTGTTCAGTTTGTGGAAACATACTATTGTATACGCATGCCGCTTCATTCTGGTCATACACGCCTCTGGCAAGTTCAGGTCAAGATTTTGTTTTCGAAAGCCTTTGCCTTTGATTTCCTCACTGAAATCCTGGCGACTCACCCACTTGATGAGTTCGCCAGTTGGCATACCATCTGCATTATGTCCACACGAATGCAGCGATAGCGTGTCAGCCAGGTGTTGCATCAGCCCCAGACAGTCTCGTGAATCCCCTCTCGGGCCATGTGACTCTCCCCTGACCGAGCCTCCTCCTCGCCAGGAACCTGGGCGCCCACTGCAAGGACCCGGTGGAAATGAAGCTAATGCGAGACGTGAAGAAGATGCTGGATCCGCAGGGTATCATGAACCCCTACAAAGTCTTCCCGGACAGCCAGTGAGGGAGTTAATCGGTCCACGGAGTTTCGTCCGACCACCGCCAGGCGGCAGCACTGACCACAGAGATCGCGCGAGACTGACGTATTTTTGCAAGATATACATGGTGGTGTATTTTTACTGAGAGTTTCGGTCTCTACTGCCGTCCGGTGAATTCCTTGGGCAGTGACGAGGGAGTGGGTGGCTGTTACGGAATGTGCAAGTGTGTGAGATTTTGATCGAAGCCTTTCCAGCCTTTCGGTGGTGAGAGGCGCTTCCAAGTGGTGCGTCGTGGAGCGCACCAGCGGTGGTGACTGTTGTTTGTAGTGCGAGTGTGGTGTTGTGAGGTATGAAGCTGTGTCCCTGGGTGGTGTTGACTGATTGTTCCGCGGCAGTCTAGTGTCGCACCATGTGCCGTGTCCTGAGGTAGCACGAAATAGGTATCTCTAAGGCTGGCGGTGGGTGCAGGGCCAAGAAGACCGTTGGGTGCAGGGTGAGACTGAACGGCCGCCGGGACGGAGGTCGGCAGCTCCCAGGGATGACGTTTAGACAATACATGTAACAACTAGTCGGCCGATAATTGTGTTGACAGCTATGGTTTACAGCTAATGGGATCACGGGCCACACGTAGCACCCGCAAAGGTGTATCGGTTTAACAATTTCCTATCCAGTGCCGATGCCACCCCACATGGATGTAGCAAGCAAAAAAAGTCGCTCAAGGAACACCATTACCCCAATGTCTCTGAAATATAGAAAGAGAAACACACAGCTCATTCCGACTTCCGACCATATCGCTCCAGACGCAGAGTTCATCGACCCCGCACCGCTCCGAACATGTATCTTATACCATATCAAATGGCACCTTTATCTCCTCTCCGCCAGACAGAGCCAGACTCTGTGGGAGCAGCACAGCACACACGGACCGACCGGCCGATTTTGCGGCAATGTATTGCATCAGCGTTGGCAGTAGGCCAGCCGGTGACGGTTTCCCCCTCCCTATTCAGCTCACATCACCCTACCCTTCTGGGGAGGAGGAAGTTGAAACCACTGTGCCCTCATTGCCAGCGTTCGGACGGGAACGGATTCACCCCGCCAGACAATGGGGACAATAATTACGACCGACACACAAACAAATGGGACCGACTCGGTAAGAACGAGTTATCGGTCACATAGAAGCCACATCTTTCTCCCATTTCCGAACGACCATGTCCATTGAAACGCACTGAGGGACCACATCACACGCACACTTGATATAACACACACAACACATACACACACATCACCCATCATCAGCGTAACAAAGACACACCCAGACTTCTGCGGATCACTCTAGCGAGCCGCGCCTCGCGTCGGCTCCAACGACACACTCAGTTCAGCGCCACAACCGGTCAAATACCACTTCTCCATGTTGATTTTCGAAATCGAGCTGCCGGATGCTATGGCATTAAACTCGCCACAAGTACCGGCTCAGTTACAGGCAGCATGAACACCCTCGTTTTCAATGCGCTTGAAGCTAGTTTAAAGTCCGCCAGAGTTTGCCTCCCCTGACGGCCCCACTGGCTCATTTATCGAACGTCAGTTCATTCACTATTCGGTCACCAACGCATAGCGTGGCGTCGTCAATATCTAAGCCCTTCACCGGCAAGATTATTTTTGCTAATGCGTCATCAGGTTAGCAGAACGAGTGATATAGGCCAGGACGTTACCCTAGTCGAAGTAGAGCGCCAGACCTGCCCCACGGAGGCAGGTCCCCTTATATACCCACGCTCTGCTCTCGGCACTCTCAGTCGACCGTTGACCTGGGCTGACCTGATCTGACCGGATCACATTTCGCTGCGCGGCTGGCTGTAGTCTTTCAGGGGCGGCAGAGCCGGCAGAGAGCGGGGCTCGGACGCCCGGTTATCCTCCAGGACGATGACCCGCCGACTGCCGTCCACCTCTACAAACAAGTACCGGTACTCGTACCGTCCAGTCTCGGGACTCTGTGAACAGCGGAAAAGCATCGGTTATCCTCCAATACGATGACCCGATAACTACCACATAAGGTCCACCTCTAAACAAACAAGTACCGGTACTCGTACCGTCCAGTTTCGGGACTCTGTGAACGAAAAAGAGCGATCGGTCAAAAAACGATTCAAAAGGTAGCTAAATCAAACTAAAAAAGAACTAAAAAGAGGGCACAACGGAGCCAGACAAAACGAATGCCGAAAAAAGACCATCAAGACTTAACACTAAACAGATCGATAGGTGATCGTTTTCCGCCAATAACGAGTATTCATCCTTAGCTTTCTGTCTCTGCTTCCGACCCCCTCTAAGCACCGACAACCTCCCCCTCCCGTGCCTCACCTCCCGCACATCCAGGTAGACGGTGCCCGACTGGCGACTGCCGTCGATGTAGAACTTCATGCGCATGTGGTTGACGCCATCCTGCTGGTAGTTGAGGTGGCTGACGTGCCGGCGGCGACCGCGGCGAGTCTCCTCGCCGTGCCCCTTCACCGGCGCGCCGAGAGTGTCTACCACACGCGGCTCCTCGGCGCACCGCTGCAGCGCCGCCGAGTACACCGAGTTGGGGCTCTTGCTGCTGAACAGCTCGCGGAAGATGGCGTAGAACATGACGGCCGTGACACCGATGCCTCCCAGCATGATCAGGCCGTAGCCGGTCGTCTTGGTGTTCTCTTTCACTGCCGGAAGATACAGGGGAGGGGAGGAGGGGTGAGATGGGAACAGAAATGACATTACAAACCTAACCAGCCATGACAGCAAATGAACACTATTTCTGAGTTCAAGTGATTGAAGAGCAATACCTATAGTTGATAGTCTATATTAAACTGCATTACAGATTTGAGTAAAACTTTGCCATGATATATAATTGTATACTGACTTGAGTATGGTCTATGCATAATTGCTCACCCTTTTCCTTGAATGTGATTGGTTTTGCATCACCAACATCTGATGATGAGGCTTTAGATACTGCGCCTTTGTTGGATGAATCTTCTGCATATAATCTTCTCTGGCAGTTGGAGAAAGCAACATAGACAATAGATGGACACTCTGACAGGCCTGTCTTCACTTGTCTCAAATGTTTACAATAAGACAGAGTTCTTGCAACCATCATAATTTTGTGTGTTGAAAGGAATGACATCTTGCACTTGCAGTTTGGTGGCCAGTCCTGGAATGTAAACAAGGAAATAAAGACAAATGTCAATCCAAAATAGAGACTTACTGGTTGACTACGGACATGTATTGAACACCATAAACAAGCAGCTAGGAGAAAAAGCTATTCAAATCTCTCGCCCTGACTCAACAACCACAGAGTGACAATGTCTTAAGCCATTTTTTAGCAAATAAAGTAATCCACAAGCTATGTTTGCATTTTCATTTTAAGTAGAGAAGTGAAAATATCCCAATTCCTAGGTGGATACATAAAGCAAAAAACACCAAACATCCAACGAAAACAATATGCTGCCTTCTCATGGCCTGCTTTAAGAACTACCAAATTATGCTGACTTATCCATACCCTTGTAAACAAGAACCACCAACTTTAATCAAGTTCAATCTATGCAAAAATAAGGTCAATTAATCGCCGCCAAGTGCTATAACTTTTTCGCCGGGGTCTGTCGTTGATGCGCCAGGATCGAAGCAAAGTGTTATTTATGTTCAGCCTGCCTCAGCATCAGGATCAAGAGCGCCTGTCAGCCAATGAACTCACAATTTCCGTAAGCCAGCAGCCTTTATTCTGTTTCAATTGGTGATTTATGACTTGCGAAAGCTTACCTTACCTTACCTTACCTTATCGGTTATCGGGTAATAAGGCCACTAGGCCTGGAGGTCCCGCTCCCATCGAGCGTGTGTGACAGGTAAAGGCGAGGCTCTTAATAGTAGGGATTCGGGATGTCGTACATCTTGTTCGCCCAGTGTCGGTCCAGTCGTGCCTTGAACTGAACAACCGATGTGGCAGACACTACTGTGGACGGCAGGGCGTTCCAGTCGTTGACGACTCTTGTGCTGAGGGCGTTTCTTCGTGTCAGGGTGTTCGCTCTGGGCTTGAGCAGTTTCCACTGGTGGCCTCTTGTTTGGTTGGAGGTGCTCTTGTGCAGGAACCGTTCGGGTTCCACTGCCATCTCGCCGTGCAGCAGCTGAAAAACGGTGATCATATCGCCTCTGCGTCGTCGGTAGTACAGCGAGGGGAGGCGAAGATGACGTAGTCGGTCCGGGTACGGGAGATGCCGGACGCTCAGAACCATCCGGGTTGCCCTGCGCTGCACCCGCTCCAGTTTTGCCTGGTCAACTCTGCCAAAGGGTCCCCAGATCAGGTTCCCATACTCCAGAAAAGGTCGGACCATGGACTTGTAGAGCAGAGGGAGAGTGACCTCATTGATGGTAGCGAAGGAGCGCTTCACGACAGCCAGCATCTGGGAGGCTTTCGCGATGGCAGCCGCTGCTTGCTGGTGAAACTTCAGGTCTTCGTCGATGATGATGCCCAGGTCCTTTTCCTCCGTAACTCCCTCGATGGCAGAGTCGTTCAGGCGGTAGGTTCTCCCAGGGTTGAGTCTGCCAATGTGCATCACTTTGCATTTTGAAGCATTGAAGGGCAGCAGCCACTTGCTCGACCAGCGGACGAGGGCGTCGATGTCGGCTTGGAACTCGGCGGAGTTTCCAGTCACGTGGCGGTACAATTTGGTATCGTCGGCGAAGAGCTTGATGCAGCCGGAGACCTGACCAGGCATGTCATTCACAAATATATTAAACAAGATCGGCCCGAGCACAGATCCCTGGGGGATTCCGCTGGTCACCGGAGTCCAGTCGGACTTCGCACCTCCGACGACCACCCTCTGTCGGCGATCGAGCAGGAAGGCGGCGATCCAAACCAGCAGTTTTCCCCTGATGCCATAGCCATGTAGTTTCGTGATGAGACGTTGGTGCGGGACAGAATCAAAGGCCTTGGAGAAGTCCAGGTATGCGACATCGATCGGTTCCCCGGCCTCCACAGCAGCGCTCCAGTCCTCCATCACCTCAAGCAGCTGGGTCGAGCAGGATCTCTTCGGGAGAAACCCATGTTGTGCCTTGTGGAGGAGCCCTGCATCAGAAAAGTGCTGAAGGAGGCGGTCGCGAATGATGGATTCCATAACTTTCGATGGGACCGAGGTGAGACTGACTGGCCGGTAGCTCTCTGGTCTCTGGCGGTTCCCCTTCTTGTAGATGGGAGTAATCTCACCTGTCTTCCAGTCTGGTGGCAGTATACCAGAGTCAAGAGACTTCCTGAACAGGACACTGAGTGGAAGGCAAACCATCGAGGCAGCTTCGCGAAGTACCCTGGGGTGCACGGCGTCTGGGCCCGGGGCACTGTTAGGCCTTAGAGCGAGCAGTTTTGCCTTTACCTCCTCAGCAGACACTTCAATGTCTTGCAGCATGGGTCCCTGGAAACCTAAGTCAAAGTGAGGGCAGGAATGGTCAACTGGCGTAAATATGCTGCTGAAGTACCTGCTCAGCAGATCCGATTTTTCTTGGTTGTCGGATGTCAGGGTCCCGTTTACGTCCCGGAGTTCCTCGATTCTGCTTCTGGTTTTCAGCCTTGAGTTCGAGTATCTCCAGAACGCTTTTGGGTTTTGCTTCAGCTGTTCAACTAACTTGGTTTCGTATTCTTTTCTGAGATACCTTGTGAACTTTCTGAGCCTGTTTCTGCATCTCGTAAACCTGGCGTAATCCAGGGCGTCGCCGGATTGACGGTATTTGCTCCACAGCTCCCTCTTTTGCTTTCGTAGCTGCATAGCTGTCCTGTTCAAGTACATGTTCTTTTTCTGTCCGTTCTTCCTCCGTTTCGAGCATCGAGCAACAGCAGCTGATAATTGTTCTTTAAAGGTGGCGTAGGATTCTTCCATGTTCATGTTTGCCAGCTGCGACCAGTTGCACTCCTCCAATTCCTTGGGGAGGCTTCCATAGTCGATGACTACATGGTGAGATGCTTGGTTTAAGTTCCTTGGAGAGTAGCATACCAGAGTAAATCTGAGAATGACGTGGTCACTGCTGCTCAGGCCGGGGAGGTATTCCAGGTTGGAGACCATGCCTTCCTCGTTAGTGAAGACCAAGTCGAGGGTGTTTGGAGTCTCGCCTGGTCGGTATCTTGTTGGGCTTAGTACATGTTGGAACAGGAAACATTCATGAACAGTGTTGATAAATGAGTGAGAACCATGGGAGAGAGGGGCGGATGATGTTCCACTGTCCCAGTTTATGTGCGGCAGGTTCAGGTCACCAACAATCAAGAGATGTGTGAATGGCATGGACCTTGATGATGTGCAAATTAACTGTTCAGCTTCTCTGATGCTCTCCTCAGTGTTTCCTGATGGACTCCTGTAAAGGCATCCGATGAGTAAGCAGTCACTGCCAGCAAGTGCCAACTTGATCCACACATGTTCAACGGAGGACTGGTACTGAATTGTGACTTCGGACACCTTGAGGGTCTCAGCTGTGTACACACAGATCCCTCTCATACCACTGGTACCAAGGTTGGGGGAGCATGGGTCAAAGTTGGTGTAAAGTACATAGCCAGCCAGGTTCAGCAGTGCAGGCGACAGTGGAAGCCGCTGAGCTTTTGGAATCACTTCTGTAATGAGGATGATGTCTGGCTCATCTTGGCAGATAAGCATGGCCATGTCATCTCGTTTGCTTACAAATTGGTCCGCGTTGGTATACAATACCTTAAGCCCTTGCGTTACTCCTCCAGCCGCCTCCCCATTTAGTCATTGAGCTGGTTGTTTGCTTTGATACTGTGTTTTCTTGTTTGTCCCTGAGCCAGCAGCGGCTGACTCTGCTGGGTGAGCATCATTCGAAACATTTGTGGCAGATGTCTCTGTGAAAGCAGCAGCAGGCCTCACTGGTCGGGCATGGCTAGAAACATTTGTAGCTGCTGTTACAGGTGTGATGTTTCCTGGCTGTTCCCGACTGGGCGTGCTCTCACTGATATGGTTGTCTGGGGCAGTTGCACCGTCATTGTTGGCCTGCTCCTTGGGTACCACCTTTTCTTGGCCCAGGCTGTGTGAGACAATTCGACCACCTCTTATGAACAGGTTGGTCTCCCCTGCCATCTTCCTTGCTGCCAGTTCCTCTCTCAGCTTTCTTCCTGCCTCCCGCTCGTCCCGGGTCAGGTCTGGGGTCAGATAGATGTTGCTGTACTGTTCTGAGTGGCGTAGTTGGGGTGCTCCTTGAAGTACATCACGCCTAGCAGAGGGGTTAGCCAGGGTCACGATCAGGAGTCTGGGCCTGTCTTGGAGTTTCTTTCCCACTCTGAAGGATCGTGTTACAGCAACATTCACTTTCATGACGTCTTTGACCAGGGAGACAAACAGCGCAGAGTCTTTCTCTGAACGTTCAGCAAGGGTGTCACCAGCAGACTCAGTGAAGTTGTGCACGACAATGTTTGCCCTTCTCCTTTCTTTGTCCAGGTGGTCATCGAGGACTTTTGACAAGTCCTGCACATCCTTTGTGTTGCGAGACTCATTGGTTTTGGGTAGGGAAGCCAACTGAGTCCGCACTGTGCTTGCAATTTCATTGCAGGAGCCTTTAACAGCTTCTGCGTATGATGATTTCTGCTGTTCAAAGGTAGTTTTTAGGACCTTTGTCTGTTCCTGTGCGTTTCTCTCACAAGTGTCAACCAGCTTCACTAGCTGACTGCTGAAGGCTTCAGCAGACTTTTCGTGTGCCTGGAGGGCTTTTGTTGTGAACTCTGTGTGCTTCTGAAGGGCCTCTTCTAGCTTTTCGAGTCTAGCTTCTAAAGCTTGGGGCTGTGCCTTCTTGTGTTTACTCAAGTCGGCTTTGCAGCTTCAATAGATATTTTGTACACTACCAGCTGTGTGGCACCTTTTTCGTTGGCTTGTGTTTACAAAGCATTGCTTCAGTTCATGGGTATCATCAAGCATTTTTTTCGGGTACTGGAAGAAAGGTTTCAATAGTTATTTTTTGAATGTCCCTCTCACTAGTCACTCATGGTAATCTTTGATTTGTTGAAGATCTGACTGCGGCAGGCCCCATGATTTGCTAAATACACTGTTTATTATTGAAAAGTAGTGAATCGAATAAATGTTCAACTGAGCAATGGCCAATGGATGCTCTATCAGCTAGAGATAATGTCAATGTGAATTTGAACTGAAGTCCTCACTCACACTGTTGGCTAGGCCGTACATTATAAACGTTGTCATGTCATTTTGTTGACTGATTGCAATTCTTTTCAGGATTTTGTATCCTTTCACTGGATGCATGGCCTGGGGTGCTTCATTATTGCCTGAATAGCCAACTGGCAAAGAGAACCAGTGAATTCTCATCTTGATCTGACTGCAAGCCAAGGAGGTGATCATGTCTCAGCTAGTTGTGGTGGTAATGCTTGTGGCATTGGCCTCACGCATCAGCTCAGAGGATGAGCATCAGCATCAGAGGATCAGCTCAGAGGACGAGCTGAAGCCACCAACAGTGATGATCGTGATGCTAGTGCGTAACAAGGAGCCTTACCTGCCGTACACTCTGACTCAGCTCAGTGAGCTTGACTATCCAAAGGAGAGACTGGCTCTGTGGATCCACAGTGACCACAACGAGGACCGCTCTGCTGAGCTGCTGGCTGCGTGGCTCGCTGAATACCGGTCACTGTACAGGAGTGTTCACGCAGTGCTGAACACCACCTCACCGCCACTGCGACCTGACGAGAGCAGTGCCATCGACATGTCCGAGGGACGCTACAGAGACGTGATTAAACTCAAGGAGGACGCGCTCGCCGCCGCGCGCCGCATCTGGGCCGACTTCGTCTGGTTCCTGGATGCCGATGTCATCCTCCACGAAGCCGCTGTGCTGCGTCAGCTAATTGAGATGCGGAAGCCGGTGGTAGCGCCGATGTTACGCACGCACGGCGCTTACTCGAACTTCTGGGCAGGGATGGACGACAACTTTTACTACCGTCGTACGGAGGAGTACGGACAGATATACGGCAGTAAGAAGCGCGGCTGCTTCTCCGTGCCGATGGTCCACTCCTGCGTGCTGGTGAACCTGTTGTCGACCCGCTCTGACGGACTCACCTTTGTCCGTGAGAAGCTGCCGGCTCCCATCGGGCCGACGTCCGACGATGTCATTACATTCGCGCTGTCGGCTCGTCAAGCCGGCATGGAGATGCACGTGTGCAACCAGCGGGATTTCGGCCAGATGCCAATCCCGCTCCGGTCGCCGGAGGTGCTCGGCAAGGAGTGGCTCAACATCGTCAACATCAAGCTGGAGATGATGGTGGACCACCCGCCTCCTCCAGTGGCCTCCGTGCTGCGTCCGTTCGTCCCCGATCCCCCGGAGAAGACAAAACTCGGCTTCGATCACATCTACATGATCGGCCTGGCGCGGAGGCCGGATCGGCGTCGCCGCATGCTGCTCGCCTTTGATGAGCTGGGGATCGATGCCGAGACCGTAGACGCCGTGGACGGCCGGCAGCTCAACGACAGCGCGCTGGCGGAGCTCGGCGTGGCCATGTTGCGGGACTACCGGGATCCGATCAACGACCGCCGTCTGACGTTCGGCGAGATCGGCTGCTTCTTGAGCCACCATCGCGTCTGGAGTGACATGGTAGAGCATGGGCACGAACGTGTCATCGTCTTTGAGGATGACTTGCGGTTCGCGTCGTACTTTAATTACCGACTGGAGAGACTGATGGCAGAGGTGGACGCTCTGAACCTCGACTGGGACCTGATCTATCTCGGTAGAAAGATCATGCGTACGGACGAGGAGTGGGTAGCCGGTGCGCAGAGGCTCGTCCACCCGAGCTACACCTACTGGACACTCGCATACGCGCTGACCCGGCGCGGCGCCGAGAAACTCCTCAAAGAGGAGCCGCTGGGTAAGATGATCGCCGTCGATGAGTACCTCCCGATCATGTTTGGACAGCACCCTAACACCGGCTGGGCAGCCCAGTTCTCCGGCGCCGGGTCGCTGCTCGCCTACTCTGCTAGTCCGCTTCTGGTCACGCCCATCAAGTACACGGGCGAACCGGGATACGTGAGTGACACGGAGGACGCGGGTACCATAGGGGCGGAGCTGGAGGGCACGTGTAGCGTGGATGGGTGTCCGACGCCCGCCAACTAAACGTGGACGGCTGTGGACAGTGGGGGGAGGGTGACTCCGGAGCTGGGATCCAGTTCAGTGCCTGTGAGAGGTACGGAGGATAAAGCAGGAGTGACCATTTCAGTATAACAAAACGAGCTTATTTGCAACTGTGGACGGTAGACTTATGTTTGCTGTCTTCATTGGGCTTCGTGTCTTTAATAAGCCCAGACTAAGTCATTTTAAAATAGCATTGCTTCCTAACCCACCAGTCATGTTTAGTTATCTAGGGGTATTAATTACTAACAGCCAGTAACTACTGTGTATCGCTAGATTTAGCGCTTCGTTCGACTTATGAGCAGATGTTTATGTGCCATCTTTTTCGTATTGCAGGCGTCCTCCACGAGAAGTGTGGTAGCACTCACTCCCCACCGTGCTAGATTTGTACCGTAACGTTAGAGGTATTTTTATACTGTCAAGTGCTACTGTTGCAAACTTGTACAACCTGCGTTATCTGAGGCGGTCTGTTGAGGTGACATAACATGGATCACGAGTCATGACATGACCATTGTGCCATACTTAGCGCTAAGAGACCAAAACAGGCATCTCATCTATGATCTACCTAATCCTTAGTACTGCGCTAGCGTGCTGTTTGGTTATATACCAACATTAGTGTTGCATATGATTTAACGAATTAATCGAGCTAATTGGGCTGTAGATTGTAGATATCGATGCTGTTGCAGTCACGTATAATGCCATGCTGGAAAAATAGGTCAGTATTTTTGCACATTGCATACTCGGGGTTTTGCTGGAAGCATGAATAGACCGTTCGAATGTCGAGCTTTTATCTTTGTATCCTGTAACGTTTTCGCTTTTAGTGCAAATATTGATCAGTATTGTAGCTTGAATTGGCTGGTTATAGAGCGAGCTACCTTTGAATGTCGCGAACGTTAATATTGACGAATGTGTGGGTCACATTGATGCTGTTCGTGCCTGACAATATAACGCTTTTTGATTTCGTCGTTTTGCGCTAGCCCGGTAAGAATTGAGCAATGATTCTGCGCTATTTGAGTTTAGACGCCTCTACGTCCACGACCGGCCATGTGAAATGAAGGATACATTTGCTGAGATGCAGATAACGGTCACCGATGGCGGGTTCATTGTAGCGCGGGGCACAGATCTAATCACTTCTGCTCTGCACTTCAACACTTCGTGAAGTAGGACGGAAACGTATGAAGGGAAGGTGGGACCTTTGGTGGCAGGAACTTGATCGAAACGTTGATAGTGTAGCCATGGATGAAAGGAATCCCGTTCATAAGGTTCTTACTTCTTCCAGTCGGCAACCATCCAGTCGACAATCGATCTGGCCGAGGCTTTTATCAAGAACGGACGCGAAATTAGCATCAGCATAGTAGGTGGCGTTAGACGCCGCCTCATAGAGGGCAGCATACGGTGGACTGAAGACGGCTGTCAAGCCGCTTGGCTCTATTGCCAGGGCTCCCGGCTCGTATCATTGAATAAACCAGTATAGCGCCTTTTGGGGCGACTAACGGAGCGAGCGAGAGGGTGAGCCTTGCACGTGCGAAATTTCGAGGGGGTACCTCCAACTGACTTGTGCACGGCACCCTACTAACCGGTCTCTAGCGATGTGCCAAATTTGAGCACAATCGGCCCAGCCGTTCTCGAGATCTGGAAGCGGCACCCTGCACGTGCGCACGTGCAGAATGGGTCCCAACTGACTTGTGCACGGCACCCTACTAACTGGTCCCTAACCGTGTACCAAATTTGAGTGCCATCGGTCCAGCCGTTCTCGAGATCTGGAAACGACCCCTGCACGTGCGCACGTGCAGCAGCACCCCAACTCTGGCACATGGATATGCAGTGCCTAGTGGGTGCCTACCTACATGCCAACCAGGGTTGTATACCAATCAAGTCGATTGAATTGATTGATTTGATTCAACGCGTATTTTGAGTTGATTGGATTGAGTCGATTGACTTTTCGAGATGACTGGTTGACTGACTCGTTTGACTTTAGCGACTGGTTGACTGATTTGATTCCCGAAAATTAGAGTGACTCGTATGATTGAGTCGATTGAATGGAAAGTTGAAATAAGTTTTAGTTGACGAAAATAATGACACCAATTGATGACATCAAAGATCACAAAACTACACTGAAAACTGCTTGTCATCACAACTGCAATATGGGGTAGATGGCCAAATAAAGAACAGGGCCTAAACATGAACAGCCAACTTTGACTTTCAACTGCAATAACTGCTCTTATCCTGTGATAGAACCTGGCGATGCACCTACCTACCTTTCTGCACTCAGCAGGAAACTTTTTTTTTAATCCAGATGATAAAGTGCAAGGCCCTATATACTAATAAAGTATGATTAATTACTAATTCACATCTCGACATCTCCTCAGAAACAACCCACTGAACTCTATAAATATGCGAAATCCCTACAAAAATAACTGAAACAAAAGCGCCGTTTTCGACTCGCTAATTACGTTTACGTTTACGTAGCTAATTTGCTGCATTGTTTAATTTGCAGCAGAACGTTTGTTGATCCTTTTCTCCTGAGAGCCTAGGCATAACATATTTAACATATTTCATTTTCCTTAAAATATTTTACCGAATATTATTAAGTGGTTTTATTTCAAATGAAATAATAATGAAAACGAAATTGGTGTTGTACAACCGATTTATTTTATGATGATCTACCATACTACATGATAATCAATGACGTCATCTTACCAAAAAATCAAAAGACGTAGAATAAGGATTTATAAAAGCTTAGCATACTTCTTGGCAAAACGTTTTCTTTGTTTTTTCGCAGTCGCACCAACGGCATTTCTGCGCGTCCTAACTCTTCAACAACAACAACAACAACCAACGGGATTTAATTTTCCTTGTTCTTCTTCCTTTGTCCTTAACTTATCCTGTGGTTCCAGAGTCCCTGTCCTTTCCATTTCCTTTTAAATATATTTTTAATGCTCATCCCTATCCCCCAGTCCTAACACAAACAGTTTCAAAATGTATTGCAATAAAATGTTTTGAATTCTTCACATATAACCTATCTACCTTCGTTGGTACTGTTGGTAGCCAGTGGCACATCTAGGCAGGTAAGTAGGTACCTACCTGCTTTCCTGCTGTCTTCATAAAGCATACCTAATGAAGTTGTCAAATTTATAGCACATTTTCAACACTTTCATATCAATATGGTGTTTGTTGAAGTCAGTGTGGCATGTAACCTAGCTAGGTTCATTATGTTCAGGGTTCAATTCAGAAGAGCTCCGCATAACTCACATAAGAGACAGACGGGGGCTTTACATGGGGTAGATGGCCTGATGACTTAGCTGGAATATGGCCAAAATTAAATTGACAACTTTTAGGTGAAAGGTGGTGATTTGGGTTGCGGGGCGTTTGTTGAACTCAACTACTGGGTTATTTTGCACCCATTAAATGAAACTTCTGCTCCAATTCTACCCATTGAACCTCAATATCATGATCCACCTGTCCGTCACTAGGTATCCTTCCTTATTACATAGAAACTTTGAATGGCATGGCAATTTATAATTTTAAATGACAATATTTTTGTTTCTTCTGTAGGTAGGTAGGTAGGTAGGTAGGTAGGTACACCAGACTGCTATGGACACTTTTCCAAGTTGGTGGGGCAAAAAACCTAATGTATATCTTGGTTTGAGTCGTTTGATTGAGTTGATTGATTCCTTTCATTGTCGCGTTTGAGTCGATTGAATCAATTCCCGAAAACTGCTCTGACTTGATTGATTTGATTGGTTTCCCAAATTTGTCGTGATTGAATTGATTGCTATTGATTGAGTCGTATACAACCCTGATGCCAACTTTCAGCGCAATCGGCCAAGTAGTTCCCGAGATATTGCAACAATTACAAAACTGACACCTCTTCGTTTTGCGCGTGGCACGTGCATAAGGGGTCACCCACATGCATCAGGAATAGTCCAATACTTGGTAGAAGGAATGAAGCTACCCTACAAAAATTACCCCGTGTAAATCGGTCAAGTGGTTGCTGAGATATAAGCCTCGCAAAAGCGTCCGCACGGCCGGCCGGCCGGCCGGCCGGCCGCTCATACTCAGAAATTTCCGTTGTAAGGGCAAAATTCATACGTCGGAGAGAAACGGCGGGCCGGAGTACCAGAGTGCGTGTAAGGCCAGTCCGCCGCATGATAGCCTCCGGCGGGAAAGGCGTGCCCGCCGGGTGAAAGGCTGCGGCTGGCCGGCACCTGGGACTCGCGGGCCCGCCTCTCGTGGCATTTGCCAGTGCGGTGTCGTCGGGGCAACATCTTTCGGTAAGCGATCTTTTCCATCCCCCCTAAATTAACGCCGCAGCGCCCAGGCGCTGCGGAAGTCCCCGACATATGTCCTGGATTTATTTTGGCTTTCCGACCCGCCGCAAATAGCGGTGGGCTCTCCCGTTTATATCCAGGGCCGTCCCGTCTAAATTATGTTCATCGGCGCGGCGCGTAGGGTAAATGAGTGAGCGGCTGTAAGTGTGATGTGTGCTGTGTGCGTGAGCGATGGAAGTTGAGGAGTGATCATTTTATCCCGCAAATCTAAAATACATAGAGTTCGGAATGTGAGCGAAATCTTTCAATGGGGTAAAGGCAGATGCCGGGCTGATCCACGGTGAACGTGAACGAACAATCATACGGGCCGCTTAGTTTAATACACCCGGGTGGCAGGCGGGCATTGTAGAGTAACTTTGGTCAACGTAATGTCTGTACATGGGGGGAACCAATAAAAGGTTGCAGGTTCCGATGCATGAAACCCCTACATAAATATGGTGCACCGCGGCCGGGAAATCTTTCCCAACGGAGGTCCGGACGCCCGAAGTGTTCCTTCCGCCATAATCTGCGGTACGCGACAAGTGTAGAATTCCGCTCCCCGGCGTCAGTGCACATCGGTACCCGGGCGTATTTGCCGCTTCCGGGCACGCGGTCCACCGGCCCGTGTCATGCGCAACGGAAGGTCAGCGCTCCCCGGGATAAAACGCCGATCGGCCCTGTAACGCCGTGTGGGAGGTCCGGACGGAGCCCGGGTGGTGCAGAGGCGGATCCAAAGGACATGATGTGGGCGGTGATTTCCGCTCCCTTGGAGGTGGTTACCGGTCGAGCTGTTCTTACTTTTGGCTTTAATATCTTGTGTAAATCTATGTTTCCATACTTTTCGTCACGTTCACACGCGTGAATCAGCCCAATCAAAGGGGGGTATGGGGGGACAACTCGCCACCGCAATAATGAGAGATGAGAGATGAGGGCAGTCGGTTCGCGCGAGACCGTCGGAGATCGGGGATGAGATCTACGGAGTTCGGCGGTGCGGAAGAGTTCGCTCGGGCGGAATGTAATCCGCTTGTACGCGAGATGAGTGCTCGCGTCGTCGTCGGTCGCATGCGAGCGTGCAGGTTCGCCCGTTCGGCGGAATCGTGAGTCCGGTGACGAGCCGTCACCGCTGGTGTGATGGCAACGAGGAGGTCGTCACCGGTGAGTACCGAGGGCCGCGAAATACCCCGGTATTTCAGAGTTACATGTGTGGGCGTATGATTGGATCGTTTGGTGTACAGGTATGTTACGGTTGGTGTGATTGAGTCAGTGCGAACAAGGTCATGTGTGGTCACGAAAAGATGCGGAAAATTGAATATCATTTGTCATCAATTTGCTTTCATCATTAGTCATCAATTTGCTTTCATTCATACACCTGATTTAAATATGTAGCAAATTGCTTGTGTCGCCTGCCATTCACGCCTCATAATGAGACCATAGAGGCTTTAGACATTCCCTGCGATAGCGTGAACAATCGTTTAGACCATAGTGCATTATATCTATAGTCTTAAGTGCAGTGCATCTTTGCGGTGCATATTAATCGTAACTTAAGATGATAACCGGAATGTCCATGGCTTCACAGATTTTATAGGCAAAATCGGTGCAATGGATCGGGGACGTTACGATTGGGTGTCTTTAGGTAAAGTTTTAAGCGGGGATGACGATCCCTCCCGTAAAGTCGTGCACTCGTGCACCTTGTGGCGCTGACGAGCTGTCATCAAGGCGGCACCGAGGCTGTACGTAGCTTAACGCGGGCAAGCTTAGCTCGGCAGCAAAGCCCTAATCAATTATTATCTCCACCTCGTGCCGAAAGGAGCCTTGCATTCAGGCAGCAAACCTTTAGATCTCCCATGCAAGTTGTCACTTGCAAATTGCCGGGAAAACTGTCATAAGTGTGGTCCGAAGGTTTTGCTCATAGGTGATGACCCTGGAACCGTTTCAATGGATTCGTGTGATCCCCATTCATCAGCTAACTTTATATGGTACGCAAAGGCAGTGCAACAATGAATTATAAAATCAAGACGTCTGCAGGTCCAAGAGCACGGCTCATCCCAAAATTCCCCTTTTCAGGAGGTTAGTGGGCCGAGTAGTGTACGTTACGGAATGAGTCGCATTCCAACGAAAGATCCGTCGAGCTTCGTCAATGTTTCCGTCTTAAATTCAGGGAAGTGATCAAATCTTACGGTTCATTGCAGTTTCTTTTGACGCAAAACGTACCTAAAACGTCTCGTCAAATCTTCAATATTATGTTCAAAGTAGTTAATTCCCTCGTTTAATCCATGCATTTTCGCGTTGTCATTTCCTTGTTTAAAACGTGGTAGCGATAACTCAACTAAATTCAGTCACGGACCAGAAACAAGTTCTGAACAGCTTTGGTTCCAGGTTTAATGGCAACACTTATTAAAGCAGAAATTCTTGAATGGAGCGCTGAGTGCTCATTTTAATGTGCCCGCATTTAAATTCCGATGCATAAGTTGGTATTTCCAATATTAAAATTACAGATTATAATTAAATTCATTTAGTAATAACGGAAGAACCCAGTGCCTCTGAACCATTTCATACCGATTCAGTGAGACAGTATATCTTGAACTATTTTCGGTTTTGCATTGACAAATAATCCGAGGAAATTAATCTCTCAGGATTTTTCAATCCTCTGTAAAATCCTGTCACGCACAGATCATCACTTTGCCGTCAAGTGGAACCTAAATTATCGCTGAAGTAATTTAATTTGTTCTGTATAGACGAGCAAAACATGTGTTTATTGGCATTTGCGCTTCTCGAGAGAGGGCCTCTATGTAGTTGGATTTTAATGAGGATATTGGAAAGAGTACTTGAAAATGCACATTAGAGGCAAATACACTTGAATCTACGTGGCGCGGAATCTATCCGTCGCGACTGCACATGATATTTGAGTCTCCAACCGAAGCTGACGGCGATTTACGTTCAATGGGGTCTAACGCATGATGAACGTCTTAATTCTTTCGGCAGTTAGGAAATGCAACGGTGAACGGAGCCCGAGCTGAGGCAAGCTTTGGTTTGTCCCGATCATTTGAGGAGAACAGGCGAGACGTATAGCGGCGCGCGGTGACGCAAAGCCCTAGTTGCTGAGCCGACTCCGTTTGGACTGTCGCTCCAGCAAATTCAGCAGCACGGGCATATCCGATGCCTTTCCTGGATGATTTCCTGGACCGTTTTGGTCTTGGCGCTGCCGTGCGCTGCCACACCAGTAACGGGTGATTTCATATGATGTATAATATAGTATGTGCCACATTGTCAGTTCCCGCGTGTTGTACAATGCATGTTGTTGTACAGCACGGGTTAATTTACTGTGAGGCACGTGTTGTATTTCATATCATATCATATGTATTCCTGAGCGGTGTGTGGGTGCCCGGCTTAGGCTTCACTATCATCGGCCCGAGGGCAGATCGGATCCGCCAGATTGCCGATATCCACCTGCTCAAGCAGACGGGTTGGATCCGACCCCGTGCTCCCACACCACGCGCACCTGTCAGCGTCCGGGCCGGCGCCGGGCCGAGCAATTATGGTCAAGCCGCCGCGCCGCCCGCGCAAGGGGGTGGCAGGTCCGCGGCAGGGCCCTCCCCGACCGTCCCAGAGAAGGGACGCATTCCCATCGTGATGGGATCGCGCCGCCGGCCATGGGATCGAGCCGGACGCCACGGGTTGGCCACCTACTCGACCGAAGGCGGGAGCCGCCGCATTCGCACGGCCGATCCTAAACGCCTCGGGGCGGGACAACCCGCAGAGCGCAGGGCAGCGGAGGGCCGCCAAGGAGCAGCGGCGAACCGGGCCGATCCGCAATAACAACACCGGAGTCATTGGACTCGCCCGTCGCTGGCCGCCTGCAGCCGAGCACTGCACACCCCAGACGACGGTGGCTTTGTGTTGCCGATTGATTCAAAACCAATGCGGTCATTTTGATGTCTGAACGCTCTTTGGTATTGACTAGTACATCATCTTGCGGCCATGCTCCATGACATCTATAATTTTGGAAGATAGAGTTATCGTTCCGAAACGGACCAAACGAGACAATTAACCCCATAATCACTCAGTACGGCACCGAAACCTTCTGATAAATCGATATCCGGCGCAATGGCCGCCATCATCCCTTCTGGAAAGATTATTGCGATAAAAAGCGCCTCATACAGCACAAATCAACGTATTAGAGAGGGACCTTGATTATCCAAAATTGTTCGCTTCTAGGTTTTCAATCAATATCCCGACCATATTGGTAGGCAGAATGAGCGGCACGCCAAATAGGCATGCAGTTTTGGGAAATTCGTGTCCGGTATATATGTTTATTTATTTATCTGTTTCACTTCGAGACAAATCCATCCATACGAGAATGATTCGCATATCTTTAACAGTACTGCGCATGCCGTCTTAATAAGTTTCGGACGTCGTAATGTATAGTTTTAACGAGTTACATCAGTGAACTTATTTGTTTTAACGGCAGCGTCAGAGCTGAGGCGAAGGAACTCAGCGCGGTACCGTCGGCGTCAATGTATCGTCTGCCAGCTAAAATTTGGCTATCAGCAGTTTTAGCGATTTTTAGTTTAAGTCGGGTACGGTTGCAATGGTTCTCATGTTATGAGTCTTCATTTAATTTCGTCGGAAAAGCTCCAGGCCTGAGCACAGTCACCTCGGTGTTGTGCCTCCGACATGGAAGGGCTCAATGGCCCCATCACCCGCACCACAGGTGCCGCCGTCCCCAGTCGGTCGGCAGGATGGGCCGGCGCGCCGCTTACTGCGCCGATCCCATCACTCGGTGACTAGCCGAGTGAAGTGCGTGCTGCGCGGCGCCGCACTGTGCGTAATCACGGCCGGACCCTCCCCACCGGCCACCGGTACCTGGTCCGACTGGGCCGGCCCCTGGGCCGATTGGACCGGATACCTGGGTCGGTCGGACCGTCACATGGGCCGACTGGACCGCGTACATACCTGAGCGAGGGGCTAAGGGTGCTTTCACCGGCCTGTAGGAGCTCGGCCGGGTCACTGCACTGGCCCACCACCATCAAAACAAGTCGACCCTCCGCCGTTCGGCTCACCAGCCGGTGGAGGGGAGAATTGGGGCCTGCTACGGGGAGACAGCCGGTTCGACCTGGATTGAGTATGTAGATTGAGTTCGTGAACTTGTGGAGCGCTCAGCGCAGCCATTCGACCTTTATCGCTGACTACCGCGCCCCGCAGACTGCAAGGAGATGACAGCCCAGGAATTTAACTATGAGAGAGAGAGCCCAAAGCAATTTTACCTTTAATATCACACAAATTCGCTGGAGGTGCGTAGCGCCCCGTAAAAGTTACTTTCCCAATTTCAATTAACCCGATCTTCTCATGCACCGGCACAAGTATAGCTGTAGTCACCGCGCAGCCCTGGGGTCCGGGCGGGTCCCTGAATCTCCCCAAGCGCCAAACAGCCCTCCCCTCCGCAGCTCGGCTGATCACCCGCCGGAGGGGTGGTCTCTGAGGCGCTGGGAGCGAGAGAGGCACCTCGCCCCTGATCGTTGAGGCAGCGTGGGAGTGCTGCCTTTGGTTATCCTCCCCCGAGGGGAGGATGGCGCAATGGTACCTGACCACCGAGAAATGAATGTTGGATAGATCAGCCGAGTGTGGATGAATGAGTGTTGAAGTAGTGTTTTTGTTATGTGTTCAAACTTCATATGCACATGTAGTTATTAGTATGCGCCGCGCGCCGCGAAAGAGAAAGAGAAAGAGAGGGTCGCACGAGAGAGTCGTGCGAGAGAGTCGCGCGAGACAGAGAGTCGCGCGAGACAGAGTCGCGCGAGACAGAGTCGCGCGAGAAAGAGAGAGAGAGAGTCGCACGAGAGAGTCGTGCGAGAGAGTCGCGCGAGAAAGAGAGAGAGAGAGAGAGTCGCACGAGAGAGTCGTGCGAGACAGAGAGTCGCGCGAGACAGAGTCGCGCGAGAAAGAGAGAGAGAGAGAGTCGCACGAGAGAGTCGTGCGAGAGAGTCGCGCGAGAAAGAGCGAGAGAGAGAGAGTCGCACGAGAGAGTCGTGCGAGACAGAGAGTCGCGCGAGACAGAGTCGCGCGAGGAAGAGAGAGAGAGAGAGTCGTGCGATGAAGCGCCCGAGAGCGCCGGTCGGCACGCGAGGGGTGGACCGCCGCCGCGCCGTGGGTCGTGGGGAGAGACGGGGCTGAGGGAGGGCAAGGCAGGCGTTTGATTGTGTTTGTCCGGGCACTGGGGAGGGATGGGTCTCGGGCTGGGGAGGGAATGTGTTTGCGCGGGCGTGGGACGGGGACAATGACCGGGGTTTGGGAGTATGACCGGGGGAGGGGAGTTTAAATGACGAGGGAGAAAGACGACGGACGATGCGGCGGAGGAAAGGAGACGTGACGGAATAAGGGAGCGATCAGATGACAGCAAACGACTGAGCGAGCGAGCGCATGGAAATGTTGGCCCCGAACACATGACCGAGCAAGTGCCAGTCAGGCGCGGAATACCCTATCCGCTGAACATCAAGGTCCGAGGATCACGACGCATTTGCTCAAATCACGTGTTCGCGGCCAAATTACTGAGGTATGTTTGGGGCGCACGCGGGAAAAGGGTTATGGACTTGGTGAGGAGGAGAGATGACGGATTGTGAGTGAAAGAGCAGGGTCTGAGACTGATATTGAGACTGAGACAGAGACAGAGACGGAGACAAAGACAGAGACAGAGACGAAGGCTGAACAGAGAGAGTGAGAGAGAGAGAGTAAGCGATAGAGAATAGAGAGACAGAGAGAGAGAGAGAGAGAGAGGGAGAGAGAGAGAGAGGGGAGAGAGAGAGAGAGAGAGAGAAACAGACGAATGAGAGCGGAGAATGCATGGGTGTGTGAGACCACCAGCAAACGTGAGTGGTGGATGTCGGCCCGGCTTTGGGTTAGGCATGCTGTGTTACAACTGTGGTTAGACTAGTTTCTACATGGTGGCGGACTGGTTCGAGGTTTCGCTGTCATTAATAAAAATCCACATTCCCATTCAAAATTATCGAACGGTCACAAACTTTCCCCCATAGTAAATGCTGTAACAGATGAAGCGTAATAAGGTAACTACATTTAGTCAGATTTCATGTGAACCGAGGCTGCAAGTGTTAATGATTCAGAAAAATGTATGCCGCAGAGTGTCGCGATGTGTGTATGTGTGTTATGTACGGGCCAGAATGATTGAGGGGAGGGAAAGCCCCTGCTCTCCCACAGGCATGTCGCCCGGTCCGCCGGCCGCCGACCAGGAGCCAGCGGCGACCAAGACCTCGGCCGTACGGGCCGGGCGACGGCGGTGATCCGTTCTCCAACTCGCCGCACCGCACGCCAGCCGCCACCGGTGGGCGCGCGGCTGCCGACCCCGCCGCTCCAGCCGTCTGCCCGGCTGCCCGGAAGCCGCGGCGCACAAGAGCCGCGGTGGTACGGGTGGCTGCGCTCGGCTGCCGACCCCGCCGCTCCAGCCGTCTGCGCGGCTGCCCGGAGGCCGCGGCACACAAGAGCCGCGGCGGTACGGGCGGCTGCGCTCGGCTGCTGGCCTCGCCGTTCCGGCCGTTCACCTCGCCTCCCGGTCCGCCGCAGCATTCAAGAGCCGCGGCGGGAGGGACGAAGCTCTACCGCCCATCTCGCTGCCCAAAATGCCCGCTGCCCCGCGCCGATCCCGCGGCTACTACTGCCGCGCCAGCTCGGGGCGGCGGCACTCGCCCACGGACCTCCGCCCGCCCGCCTCCAGCGACGATAACGCCCGCGGCAGGACGGGAGCGGCGGCGCTCATACGGCCATCAGGCCGCGCGATCCGCCAGCCGTCCCGTCCAGCCCCCGGCAGTACGGCGGGCGGCGGAGCTCGGCCCGTCTCACCACGCGCCGGTCAGCAGCCTGCGGCCGCCCCACTGGAAACCGCGGTGCCAATGGCCGCGGCGGTACAGTGTGTGACGGCGGCCGGGCCGGCCGACCTGACGGCCCCGCCGGCTCTGCACGGGCTGGGATACAGCCGAACCACCTGTCGACAGCCGCCCGATCCAGAACCAGCGGCCCGAGTATCCGCGGCAGCATATGGTCGGGCGGCAGCTTCAGGTGCCGGCCGTGCAGAGGCGCCACATGACAGCTCCCGGGGGTCGACGCCCTCCACCGGTGGCGTACCCAGCTGGCGGCAGCGTGACAGGCGGCGGGCACGGCGCACCACCCGCGCACATGAGCCGCCGCCGTCGCCGCCGCCACCGCCACCTGGTGGTTGATCGACGCCCTATACCGGTGGCGTACCAAGCTGGCGGTAGCGTGACAGGCGGCGGGCACGGCGCACCACCCGCGCCAATGAACCGCCGCCGCCGCCGCCGCCACCGCCACCTGGTGGCGCGACCCCGGGACGCCTGGCGGGAGCCATCCAACTCTGAGGCGGGCTTGGCAGGAGGAGACGGTCGCCACGACACCTAGCGGCGCGCGAGCACGCACCTTACAAACGGGGGCAGTAGCTGGAGCTCGGGAGCTCCCGGACTGTGGCGGTGGCGCTGGGATGAAGGTACGGCCGCCCAAGAAGGCGGCCATCTATCCAGGTGTCCACCGCCCGCTACAACCGGCCATGGGCAGCAGCGTGCGCCCCCGGCAGTGCATCGCGCGCCGCCGTTCGAGGCGGCCTGTGCAGCGCGAATAAACTCAGAAAGGAAGGAGCGGAAGGAACTCGAGGTGATGCGGGCGAGCGGATCAGTGCGGGTCACGGATTGGAGCGGCGAACAATACGGCAAGCATGTGATGCGATTGGCAGGAGAACGGACACGGACGATCATTGAGAGGGAGCTGGGGGCTGGGCGATCGAGTGTAATGTACTGATGTAAGTTGGATGTATGTGGTATGAATGATTCAGGCAGGATAATTATTGGTACAGATCATAGCGCAAGCTTCACCTGGAGAGTAAGGGGACCCCTTTTTGACCGTTCGAGGGAGGGGGCATTATTATGTAAGGGCAAAATTCATACGTCGGAGAGAAACGGCGGGCCGGAGTACCAGAGTGCGTGTAAGGCCAGTCCGCCGCATGATAGCCTCCGGCGGGAAAGGCGTGCCCGCCGGGTGAAAGGCTGCGGCTGGCCGGCACCTGGGACTCGCGGGCCCGCCTCTCGTGGCATTTGCCAGTGCGGTGTCGTCGGGGCAACATCTTTCGGTAAGCGATCTTTTCCATCCCCCCTAAATTAACGCCGCAGCGCCGGAGGGGGCATTATTATGTAAGGGCAAAATTCATACGTCGGAGAGAAACGGCGGGCCGGAGTACCAGAGTGCGTGTAAGGCCAGTCCGCCGCATGATAGCCTCCGGCGGGAAAGGCGTGCCCGCCGGGTGAAAGGCTGCGGCTGGCCGGCACCTGGGACTCGCGGGCCCGCCTCTCGTGGCATTTGCCAGTGCGGTGTCGTCGGGGCAACATCTTTCGGTAAGCGATCTTTTCCATCCCCCCTAAATTAACGCCGCAGCGCCCAGACGCTGCGGAAGTCCCCGACATATGTCCTGGATTTATTTTGGCTTTCCGACCCGCCGCAAATAGCGGTGGGCTCTCCCGTTTATATCCAGGGCCGTCCCGTCTAAATTATGTTCATCGGCGCGGCGCGTAGGGTAAATGAGTGAGCGGCTGTAAGTGTGATGTGTGCTGTGTGCGTGAGCGATGGAAGTTGAGGAGTGATCATTTTATCCCGCAAATCTAAAATACATAGAGTTCGGAATGTGAGCGAAATCTTTCAATGGGGTAAAGGCAGATGCCGGGCTGATCCACGGTGAACGTGAACGAACAATCATACGGGCCGCTTAGTTTAATACACCCGGGTGGCAGGCGGGCATTGTAGAGTAACTTTGGTCAACGTAATGTCTGTACATGGGGGGAACCAATAAAAGGTTGCAGGTTCCGATGCATGAAACCCCTACATAAATATCTGCGGCGTTAATTTAGGGGGGATGGAAAAGATCGCTTACCGAAAGATGTTGCCCCGACGACACCGCACTGGCAAATGCCACGAGAGGCGGGCCCGCGAGTCCCAGGTGCCGGCCAGCCGCAGCCTTTCACCCGGCGGGCACGCCTTTCCCGCCGGAGGCTATCATGCGGCGGACTGGCCTTACACGCACTCTGGTACTCCGGCCCGCCGTTTCTCTCCGACGTATGAATTTTGCCCTTATTATGTAAGGGCAAAATTCATACGTCGGAGAGAAACGGCGGGCCGGAGTACCAGAGTGCGTGTAAGGCCAGTCCGCCGCATGATAGCCTCCGGCGGGAAAGGCGTGCCCGCCGGGTGAAAGGCTGCGGCTGGCCGGCACCTGGGACTCGCGGGCCCGCCTCTCGTGGCATTTGCCAGTGCGGTGTCGTCGGGGCAACATCTTTCGGTAAGCGATCTTTTCCATCCCCCCTAAATTAACGCCGCAGCGCCCAGGCGCTGCGGAAGTCCCCGACATATGTCCTGGATTTATTTTGGCTTTCCGACCCGCCGCAAATAGCGGTGGGCTCTCCCGTTTATATCCAGGGCCGTCCCGTCTAAATTATGTTCATCGGCGCGGCGCGTAGGGTAAATGAGTGAGCGGCTGTAAGTGTGATGTGTGCTGTGTGCGTGAGCGATGGAAGTTGAGGAGTGATCATTTTATCCCGCAAATCTAAAATACATAGAGTTCGGAATGTGAGCGAAATCTTTCAATGGGGTAAAGGCAGATGCCGGGCTGATCCACGGTGAACGTGAACGAACAATCATACGGGCCGCTTAGTTTAATACACCCGGGTGGCAGGCGGGCATTGTAGAGTAACTTTGGTCAACGTAATGTCTGTACATGGGGGGAACCAATAAAAGGTTGCAGGTTCCGATGCATGAAACCCCTACACCGTTAATCTAAGGAAAGACTACGCTCGCTTCGCTCGCTCCGTAATAAGTGCAGGGCATTCAATAATTTTGTGTATTTTATACAGGACAAATCGCTAAGGGAACACAGACACTTCAATTGGATGCCGAAAAATCCAAAATATTGCTCCCAATGGCCAACGTCTACAGTAGTTTTTTTTTTTGGCCCACACCTTCATTGCATTTTTCTGGCTCCAAGGCTGGCTCAGTTTTTTCCACAAACATGCATTTATGAACTTATTACAGAAATATTAGCCTTATAAGCTCATTTCTTTATTTTCGACTCTTCTGAATCCAGTTCAAGATTCTCAAAGATATGTCCTGATGCTCCGCATTCCGCAATAAGCCAAAAGTGGCAGTAAAACTGTCAAGTAAAGTTTTGCTGTACTTTAGCGCACAGCTGCTGGTAGCGGGAATTTACAAATGTGCGCCACATATGTACTCATTTTTTATTGTGCTCTTTGCTGGCGTCACATTTGCGTCACATATTGATATGTGTGGATATGTGGGCGTATAAATGTTTTTTAACTTAATTTATGTGGATGGACTGATGTTTTGCTGAAAGAAGCTAAAAGAAATGACATTTTCACTCATTGTAGGCTGAATGGTTACCTTGTCGTGAACGAAAATATCTAGTGGAGACTGAGGTGAGTATCTTCGCTTATTTGTATTATGGTATGCTGAGTCTGAAACATGGGTAGGTATTTATTCTAATTTCATTGTAATTTGAATTTGTGGGTATTGAACTACTTATAGCCCAACATTTATTTCAGGAGTTAAGGTGAGAAAGCTACAAAGTCAAATTGCAAGTCATTTTTTGGTTTGGTGTGTAATGTGTATGGCTCTGGCCAGCTCTGGCCCAGACTGAGACCGGAGAAAATATGTGTCAGTGTGACCATTGACATGTCCGGCATAATGAGTGGATGGATTACGCCAGAATTTTGGCGCAGCATCCAGCTAACCATGTATGCTGACATTTTGGTGCACGGGCCAGACTGCTAAGTGTGACATGTGCACGCTCAAGGTGTGTTCGATGGATGTGCACGCCTGTGTCTGTAATTTGCACTCCTGGCACCGGGCATGCAGCATTACAAGCTCAAGCTTACGTGACCCACACAAGCACAACAATGTTGAGCATCGTACTGAGACTTACCAGATGGCATTGAAACTTGAAAGTGTCAGCGAACGACGCCAGGGGCGGAACTCCAATGCGCCTGACTGACTTAGACTCAGTTGCTACTTGATGATCTGGGTTGACTTGTATTTCATTTCCTTGTTTAAGTAATTTTTGGAACCAATAACAAATTTGGCATTTATTTGAGGATTAGGGAATAGCATACTTTTAAGAGACTACATAACATGTAATGGAGGCATTTGTGATAAATTCTGGTCAAGAACAACTAGTGTAATAAATGCTGGTTGACCTGAACTGACCAGCCTCCAACCTACCCCAAATGCACACATGCATTTGGGGTAGTGTGAAACTAAACTAGTGTGAAAATCAGAATCAGGACCCTAAAATACCCCTAAACAGGCTGAACCACTTCTGCTCTGTACCCATGTCCTATCCCCCTTGTTCTAATCACTTGAGACTGAGACGGGAGACCTTACCCAACAGTCACCTATGCCTTATGTTTCTGTCAGTGATATCTCCACATTCCAGGTCACTGGCCCAGCAGACATCCGCCATGTCGGCAGCGGCCTCTACGCCACAGCGGCGGCGCTCTGCCAACCTAGCGGCGTTCAGCACGGTTCGCTCACGCAAGGTGGCGCCACCACAGGCGCGACTTAACGACCAGGAGTTGCGCGAGATGACTGAACTGGCGATGCACACCTGGCGCGTGCTGTTCATGGCGCCCCTGTGGAGCGTCACCATCGCCAACGCCCGCCAGTTCGAGACGCTGCTGCTCAAGCTGAAGAAGCTGGTGAAGGCGACGCTGGAGGAGATGCCGGAACATACCGGACTGAAGGTAGGTGGAAGGCGTCAAAGTAATGTGTCTTATGTGATTAAACTCGACACCTATCTTGGATAGGTTAATCGCATGGATCAGAATGGTTTTACTTCGAGCATTGAGCCTCTCGAAAGTATTAAACGGAAGATTGAAAAGTTCGAACGCGATCGGTTTCTTTTCTATGAAACCTCTTATGAAACCGTCCCTCTAAACTGTTCATCGTTACGGAAATCTTTGCCGACCTGTTTCTTACACACCAGGCTGAAAACCATCCTATTCAGCGCAGTAATAACATCATAACTAGTACTACCCTACTAACCCGTTCCTTTAGGTATCGGCCTCCAGTGTGACCAGTATCGCCGCGGTGGTGTCCGATCCGTCTGTTTGACCGTGTCTCTCCCCCGCAGGTATCGGCCTCCAGCCTGACCAGTATCGCCGAGGTGGTGCCGGCCATCCGTCTGACGGTGACGGCGGCCGGTCGGCGCGCGCCGGTGGCCGAGCTGCTGCTCTGCAGCGCAGAGACGGTGCTGCGCTCGCTGCCCGACGAGTGCGCCGCCGAGTGTGTGTGGCTGCCGCTGGTACTGGCCAGGGGCAGCGGACCCGTGCGCGACGCCGTGCTCGCCAGGCTGCGCAGCGTGTACGGCAGCGCCGCCGTGGCGCCGGGGTTCTCACAGGTGGGTGCAGCCGGCGGGAAGAAAAGGAAGAGGGATTCGTGAGTCTGCGGCTCTGTTTTCAGTTTAGTGTTTCTGATCGTTATGTAAGCCTCAAGGTGGGCTAGTGATCAGTCCGGAATAGCGCCATGTTTTTGTATGTTTGAAGCATCTTTCGAGTGTCTGTGATAAGTTTGTCTCCGTTGTTTGTTTTATCTACCCAATGAGTATCATATAGCTTTTACAGCATCCGCGCCGATGACCACTGTAGTCCGGGCGCCCAAAAACCCCAATTAATCATCATCTTTTACATCATCCACTGACCCATCCTCCCCGTCACGTTACTTACAGGACGACATGCGCTGGATGGCCTCTATGTGGGCGGCCCGACCCGGCATCACCTTCGACGGCGACGTGACACTCGACTACGCCACCCCGCAGTCGGTGTCAACTGCCGGACTGCGCTCGGTCAACATTAGACTGTCCGGGGAGGACATGGGACTCATACACGCCAGGTGAGTAATGAGTAGATATGCGGGGCGGGAGGTATTATGTTTGATGCTTGAGTTCAGCAGGAGTGAATTGTTATTACTTAGTTTGTAGTGGTAGATTTTGAATTGCATTTTATGACGGTCCTACGGCTAATGAATGTGAGCTGTTCTCATTTCGCTTACTGGTCTCGGTGTATCTACTGATGGCTTACCACGACTTATCGATACTTTATCTACATGTTTTCTCTTTTTAGATATATTTCGCCTACTTTCCTCCTTAGTAAGCAACACTGCCCGACCAATCTCTAGCCCCTCCTTCGTAAATCACAACCTCCCCTTCCCCCGCCCCCAGCGTTCACGGTACAAACCAAATCATGACCCGAGAGGCCATGCACACGTTCCACCGTGTGCTGGCCAAGGTTGGAGAGGACGCCGTCGGTCTTCCGCTGAGCGCCTTTGACCTCCAGTCGTTCGTTCTGCCGCTGGCTAAGGTGTACTCCGATGGGCGGGTGAGTGGCGGGATGGTGATGGGAGGGAGGGGTGATGGGAGACGGGACGCAGTGGTGGGAGGACTGATACGAACGGTGGGGTAGGTCTGATTGGAGTGATGGATTCTGGAGACACTGTAGGTAGAGAAGTTAGTGGCTAGATGAGTGAGTTGGAGTGGTGGATATATTAACCTCATAGATACCCTGGTTGGATGAGGGCAGGTGGGGCTCGGTGGGAGGGCACAGAGCTAAGGTATGAGGGGGGGGGGGGGGGTGCACTGAAAGAATGGTTGGTAGGTATAACTACAGAGGTACGCAAGAGAATATGTGCAATCTAGAAAATAACCTCTTTCGGACGTCGTAGTCAAACCATTGACCTTAGAGGTCAATGAGTCAAACGCGTTTGCGTTTAGAACAAGCCCCGGTAGGTTGCGTAGTTACGAGTATGATTCGGTTTAGTAACTGATGCTGGTAAAAGCCTTCCGAAGGGGCCAATGCTGTTGGAACATCTAACAATCTGGCACTTTGTTTTGTGCTACCGATCTGCTGCTCTAGAAAACTGCTCCGATATGTTGTCTCTGCCGTTCGCTCCTGTTGACGCCATTTCTACTGCCGTTCCCAGATAAAGTTCGGCTCGGCGGAGGCCGTCAGCCCGTGCCTGACGTTCCTGCGCCAGCTATCGGCTGAGTTCTTCGACCCGTGACCTGTGACCTGACCTGGAGAGTGAGAGAGCGCGGCCAGCGGCGCGGATCGGCTCCACCAGCTGAGTTAGCGCCGCCTTTTACGAACGCTTTAGCTTCTGTGGACCTGTTTTATCATATGCATTCAGCACAGTGTTTTTATGTTTTATGTTCTAATTAACGTTGTATAGAAATGTTTGTAAATATAGACAATAGACATAATATTATGCTTTTTTAGAATCATGTTTCAATTTGTTCACATTTTCTGCCAGAAGACAGTAGTGAAAGACGTTTCCTCCTCAAACCTTTCTCACGCTAGATGTCGCTTTTCACCGCTTTGGAGGTAGATGCAGCGGTTGTAGCGCCAGGATATGTTGAGGGACATCTAGCGCCACCATGCATCACAAATTACTGCCATTATAGTGGCCTGCCTTATGGGGAGACTGAGCTAGCGCCTATACGCATCGCACATTATAGTGGCATGCCCAGCAATCGCTATTTGACCGAGGCGATTTACCTAAGGTCATCGGTGTAAAGACATTTGCTGTTTCTAGGAATGAAACAGACTTCATTTTACTGGTAGACCCATTCGCAGTTAGTGGCTGCATTGTTACATCAGTATGCTTGCATGTACCGTTTAAACGCTGAGAATCATACGAGTTTAGTTAATGTACAGTTCAACGGGGACGAATTTCGCTTGCTGGTGGATTTCCCTTTTCAGAGGCAGCATGCCCAATGGGCAATGAATCTATTTTTATTTGCTTGGCTGGTAGTTCAAATTCTCGTAAAAAAATGTCTGCATCCTGCTTGGGAATTACCTCTTCCAAATATCCGTGTTGTCCAAACTCGATGCAACATTAAAATTTGATGGAAGCCAAAACTAGTTAGTTGTCAGGTATAACAATGCAGCACTTGCAAAAAGATAAGCCTCCTCCTATTACCTGCTCTCACGAGTTTCGGCCATTTTTTTGGGACACACTACCGTAGAGAAGATGCATCTTTATTCTGGTATGCGGTAAGGCTATTATCATTGCTTGATTTTTACCCACTTATAGTGGTATAAGCTGCCGACAAAAAAGCCTGCCTATCGAAACATTGACCCAGCACTCAGCAGGATTACAAAAGTAAGCGTGCACCGTTCATCCAGCGGCTGTATGTGTGGTCGTTTCGAGTAAGTGCGTCCGGCCTGGTGAGTGTGGATATGTCACTCTTTCGCAACGTCACGGCTGTTTGGAAGGACGATAACCACATCGCCCGGTCATTCACCTTGGACAGATACGAGCCTTCAGAAAGTTGCGTAGTTATGTCCTCATCGTCTTTGTAAATTCGTCCCGTCCACTTCACTCCATTCGTTCACTCACTCTACTACGGCACATTATTCTGAGAAAGTGCTTCGATATTTGTATGCTTGTCTCTCCCGATAGGCCAAAACCTGTCCGTGATATCTCCATCGCTCTCTAAGGGCCTCTCGCCTCACCCCGCGTCCCACTGCCCTACGAGACTACACATCACGTTGGCCCGATGCACTCTCGCTGGCCGGCCGGCGGTCATTGACCCCGCCCGGGCCGGGGTGAACGACCTCTGCCCGTGCAGGGAGGCCGCCGGCCGCTGAGGTGCCCCCAGAGAGGGTCAGTGCAACTCCTATTGGATGCTTATCAAATGCCGATGTATCGGAATGTTCAAGAGGCCTAGTAGGATGCTGTATGCAACAGATGACTGATGAGCGCCACAAAATTATATTTTAGCCTGGGTGTCTGAGGGGAAAAGCTAGGGACCGCTGTAACAAGGGAACGGGGACCAAAACATGCTAAATCAGCTGTGCGAATCATGCTATTGTCGAGTCGAATTACGGTGCTTCTCTTCTGGGTTAGCCTGAATTTATTTGACTGGCTGCTGATTTTACGATTAAAATGCCTAAGGATTAAGGAAGATGGCTGTTGCAAATGCAAAAATTTACGTGGATGGCTTTCCCTCCCTTTGGGCGCCGATGACTCTGTACTCTGTACCACCTATGGACTCCACATCACCAACCAGTGTCGAGCTACTTATCGTCCGGCCGGGTCTCTGCTAGATGTCGTCATTACTAACCGTCCGGAGTTGATCAGACGTGTAGGTGTCACCAGGTGTCACTACGGAGGTCCGCATGACTTCACTCGTGTTATGGTCACTCGTGAGAGTCGTGCGGCGCCACGCCGGGAATCCAGTGTGTACCGACGCCCTATCAGCAGGATAGATACAAACTCGTTTAATCAGCAGCTTGCTGATACCGATTGGTCTCCTGTGTATTTCTCGGACTCGACTGAGCGTAAGTGGAGCGTTTTCCGTGACACGTTCGTTGAACGATTGGATGCTGTCGCACCGCTCAAACGCGTCCGTGATAGGCAGGTGACTGCGCCGCCCGTGTCAGCCGAGACCCAGCAGCTGCTGCAGTCCCGCCGCGCGGCCTTAGCTCGGGGCGATCGAGCCGAGTACAAACGGGTGAACCGGCTGTACCGCGCCGCCGTGCGGAACGAGACCCGCGCGCGGTATGCTGGTGCTATCAGCCGCGGTGACCGGGGCGGGCTGTGGCGAGTGCTGCGGCCGGTCGTGGGCAGGAAGCAGCAGTCCTGCGAGATACCGAGAATCACGCCGAATGCATTGAATGATTATTATGTTGCGATCGGTCCTTCCACTGCAGCCAGTGTCCCCGCCGCTACTGTACGCGTGCCCACGCGACTCCCGAGAGTTTTGACGTGTGCGTTTGAGGTGCAACCTACCGATTTGGACACTCTTTATGCCACATTGCTGTCAATGAAACCATCTATGTCGACTGGCAAGGACGGTATCAGTGTGCGCATGTTACAGAAGTTCTTTCCCGGGATTGGCCATGCGGTTTTGGATGTTGTGAACTCCAGCCTTTCTAACGGAGTAGTACCGCAGGACTGGAAACACGCTCTGGTTACCCCAATTCCGAAAGGAACGAGGGCTACCGAGCCGTCCGACACGCGTCCCATCTCCATCCTGCCTGCGATTATGAAATTAGTTGAACGTGTCGTGCAAAAACAGTTGGTCTCTTATCTCGAAGAAAATTTCCTTCTCTCGGACGCCCAACACGGTTATAGAAAACAACGTTCAACGGAAACCGCGCTTCACGTCTTTACTGATCATGCTCTTCAGGCAATGGACAATGGTAACATTTGTATCTTGGTACTACTAGACCTCTCAAAATGTTTTGATGTTGTTCCTCATGTTACACTTCTCGACAAATTGTCTGTGTACGGTATCGAAACCACATGGTTCCGTGCCTATTTGGCTCACCACTCGCAGCAGGTCCAAGTGAGGTGCGCGGACGGTTCGACACTGCTGTCGGACAGCAAGGCTAACGCGATTGGCGTATACCAAGGCGGCGCCCTGAGTTGTCTCATGTACATGCTGTACTCAAACGATCTGTGTCTGTGTGTTCCCGATGACGTCACGGTAGTCCAGTATGCTGATGACACCCAGCTGATGGTTACTGGCAAGAAGAGCGACTTGAATCTGTTGACCGCGCGTATGGAGGATGCACTGGGTCGAATGTATCAGTGGTTCTGCCACAATGGAATGAGACTTAATGCTGCGAAAACACAGATGCTTGTGATCGGTACCCCAGCGATGCTTCGCAATTTGCCGCCTGTCACGCTGACTTTCTGCTCTACCACCATTACAGAGTCAGAAACTGTTAAAAATCTAGGAGTGACGATCGACCGTCACCTCAGCTTTGTGTCCCATGTAGACGGTGTGGCGCGGAAATGTACCGGGATGCTGACAGCGCTACTGCACGCTCGTCACGTTATACCGCGGTCAGCACTGAAGCCGATAGTTGAAGCTCTGGTTGTATCTGTGCTGCGGTACTGTCGGTGTACGGCTCGTGTGGTGAGGTGCAGTTAGGACGGCTGCAAAAAGTTATAAACTTTTGTGCACGCGTTGTGTCCGGTCGGCGACGACGTGATAGCGTGGCGGCTGTCATCAAGCAGCTGAAGTGGTTGACTGCCAAGGATTTGGTAACATACCACACAGTGAGTGCTGTCGAGCGTATCTTTGTGTCGGAGCAGCCGGAGTACCTCAAAGGTACGCTGGGGCAGCGGGCTAGCCAGCGGCACCGGCACAACACTAGGCAGGCCAGCTACCTCACCCTCCCCTTCATTCGAACGGAGTCGGGAAGACGTAGATTGTGCTACCGAGGTGTGACTCGTATGAACGAACTTGGAGTAGAACCAGGGACATTGTCGTACCGGGCGAACATCCGAAAGGTGCTGCTGTCTAAGCAACAGACATGAGCAATAGCATGTATGGGTGCGTGTGTGAGAATTATGCGTGCTGCACACTGTTCCTCGTTTTGTATCACACTATCATGACGTGGACATGTGAAAAGCCTCACTATTGAGAGGACCTTGTCTGAATATATCTGTAATCTGTAATCTGTAATCTGTAATCTGTAATCTGACCTCTATATAAAGCCTCGGCGCCCAAAAAATCACAAATTATCATCACTTTCTCCTTTTTCAATTTGTTCGTGAGGCACGCAAGTGTCTATCGAAATCCGTTAAAATTCACACATGAACTCACTCATTCGGGAGCCTGTGGCGAACGCACACGTGTCTGGATGGGCAATGGCCCGTGCGTGGCGGTGGCCCCGGTTTGACCCGAATCGGTGACACCGACCCGGGCCGGAGGGGCCGCTGTGATGGGAAGTTGCGTCAGCCAGCCGTTTGAGCCATTCGGAGAATACGGAAAACGGGAGAGAGAGAGAGAGGAACGACGCGTTCACTATGGCGAGGAATAATGAGACGACTGAAATGTGAAAGCTAAAAATGGTCAAAATATACATAACTTGGAGAGGGGCTGGATGTAAACGGCCGATGCTCGTACAGTTCTTCCATGACCAAGATCCTCAGAAACTGACTGTCAGTCAGTCCACTGTTGGCTTCACTTCCTAGTTCAATTGGAAATGACTGGAAGTAGGATTATTTTGACATTCTTCACAACAGAAATGTATAGTTTTTTAGTTCGCTTTTTTGTTAGATACCAAGTTTATTCTAGATTTTCCGAGTTGTTTCTCTTTTTTCATCATCCAGTACCTAGCAATTATTATAATCACAAGCATGTTTTGAAACCTTTGGCGGGTTTTAGAACGATCCCAGTGGCATTGTGCAAGGTAGGTAGAATGCACCGAGAATGCCTGGCGCTACCTATTTACCCCGCCCGGAATCCGGGGGCAGATCTATGCTGACTGCATCGCCATAACAACTACAGTCGCCCCGTGCGGCCTCCCCGGGGACAGCAGAGGCTCCGACGGGGTCGCTACTGGCTAGGGGCGGGCGCCAAGGGTCAGGGTGGGCCCGCTGGGGAGGGGGGAGGGTTGAAACCACGGGGACGGTCACGTGTCCTCGTGGGGGCAGTCGGGGGATCAGAGGGTGGTCCGCGGGGGGGGGGGGGGGGGGCGGCGGACAAAAGTGGGGTCGCCTGGTAGGTGGAAAAAGCTTGTGAGTCACCAGGGGGTGTGGAGGGATCCTTAGAGATAAAAGGATTTGACGGGGGTGCGCTAATGACTAAACGGTTTTGTCGGGGGATTTCTCTAATCACAGACTGGGCCATCCTTTGCCGACTGCATCAAAGGTTCTGAGGAGCCATTAGGGAAGGCATGTTGAGAGACGAGAAGCCGTGTGTCGGCTACCCCGCTCGCTGCGGTCAGTGACCCCGCCCGGTGCATGAGCACCGAGGCCCGGCGGCGACGCCGACCACTTTCACTTTAGCTGTCCGGACACCGGCCGCTCACGCTGGTCTGATGACGCGACTGGGCAGAGTGGGGCGTCAGGTGGGCTGACGGAGGCCAGAAGGCACCCTTTTTCGGCCCCTAAGGCTGGTCTGAGGCTTAGGAAGTTCTTCCTTTCTAGCGGCTCTCAGTTTTGGCTTTTGAACGGGACTGCCAGGCACCAAATGTATGCGATCAAAAGCTTGGCTATGTATGCCAATGCATCTTTCACGATTGTTTTTGACGGATTCTTAGTATAGATAAAGATACTTCTCCATAATGATACACTTCGGACGACTGCTAGAGCGTATCTTTTGATACACTCTACTCAAAACAACAAATGTGACCCTTGTCTTGGCACGGACCCTCAGCTGAGGTGGTCGCCGCTCCCTTATCTAGGACGAGTACGGGTCACTCGTCAGCGTGGGACGTGGGTGGTGCAGCGGGGCTGACCCGTCGCGGCCCCACTGGGCTATGTTTCTCGGGGTGTCAGGCCAGCGCGGCGCTGACATCAGCACTGAGCGGACCGTGATGAGCCATAGAGATTCACCAAACACGGTTGAGTTTGAGGGCCGGTGACCATATTTGGTTTCCTGTGCCAGCTCGCTAGAGGGCCCCTCATAGTCGTTTATTGAGCTTGATTTTTAGAATGCATTTTATGTAGGTAGATGCCACCAATCGACACCGATTGTTTCCTATGTTGAATAAAACGGTGTTGACGCGAGCCGACAGCAGCTTGAACTGGAAAAGACTAGTATGCTGGAAATTTGTATCATGGGCTTTATTTTGATCTTGAGATTAGAATGGATACATGCAAGACTGCCTTATTGTTGAACAGCTATGACGTATAATCTATGAACCTTTTCATGGATCGAAAAAAACTGCGTTTATCTGCCTCATATATGCGTTTCAGCGCACTTTCTAGCTTCTCAGAATGCCCGTTAAACGCTATAAGGATCCTGTTCGCTTCTCTCGCTCAACATTGACCGCCTGATGGATGAGAGAGTGACTCGAGGGTCCGTCCACTGGTATCTTCCTCACGGCGATCACTGGGAGAAGTTGGGTCGGGTCAGGACCTGCTGGCTGCGGCTGCGGTCGGGAGGACCCGCCGATACGCCGAGTTTCTCCTCCGTCCCTCTCCGAGCTCACATGCACTGCACTCGGAGAGCACCTGGCAGCGGGCCAACCGGGTCGGTCATTGACCCTCGCCGGGCCACTACTGACACAGAGACAGCGCTGGCAGCAGGGGCGCCGCCAGCGCTGCGGCCTTGGGGGGCGACCGAGCTGCGCGCGGCCCAGCCGCCACGGCCGCCGTCAGGAGCCGCCCCCGGGCGCGGCGCTGAGGCCGGGAACAGGCCAGGTACCGCCCGTGTATATAAAGGCACAGCCCGGCCGCGCAGCGGTAATCGTGGCGCGGGTAGCGGCAATTGTGGCGCGAGTAGCGCGTCCACTGACGGCGCACGGTTCGGTGACCCTCGGCTGACCTGACCTGACCTGCTGGCCACGATCTAAACTGTGGGTGACCTGCCACTCTAGTCTGACGTCACAGAGCAGAACTCGAGCGGCTGTCAGTTCCTCTGCGGTCTCCTGTGCCAGCACCGCCCCCTTTCGCCCCGCCGCCGCCCCTCTGCTGTAGATCCGCGCAGCGTTTAGTCTATCCCAGGGGACCGGCGAGATGGGTACAGAGACGGCCTCCGGTCCTACGGCCGAGCAGGCCGGTCACGCCGCCAACCTGGAGCCGGGGGAGGCGCCCGGGTCACGGCCGCTGCCCTGTCTGAGCAACGGTGGCTCCAAGCCAGATCCTACGCCCCCGCAGGGAACTCCCGGCCACCCGGCGGGCTCTGAAGAGGGCCCAGAGGCGGCCGCGGCCGAACCGGTGGCGTTTCCATACAAACTGCGGCCTCTGGACCCGGTAACTCAGCGACGAGTGATCGCAGACTTCCCTGCCCTGCCGCATGGTCTGCAGAGTGTACTCGACTGGGACTTCAAGGTGGCCGGCACGGCTACGGCGGCCGATTTCGCGGCGCACCTGAACCAGCCGCTGCGCCGGGGCGATGTGTGGGTGTGCTCGCCACCCAAGTGCGGCTCGATGTGGACCCAGGAGCTGGTGTGGCTGCTGGAGAACCAGCTGGACTTTGACGGCTGTCGCGCGATGCTCACCGACCGCTGGAGGTTCGGTGAGTCGCGCTTCGCTGCGGACCTGGAGGAGCGAGCGCGCATTGCCGCGGCGCGTCCGGCGACTGCACCGGTGCCGGACCCGACCGCCGCGCGCAGCCGCTTCGTCAAGTCGCACCTACCGCTGTCGCTTTCACCGCCGCGGCTCCTCGACACGTGTAAGGTGGTCTACCTGGCGCGCAACCCCAAAGACATCTGCGTCAGCTTCTTCAACCACGCTCGCCGCTACAAGACGGTCAACTTCGGCGGTAGCCTGGAGACGTTCGCCGAACACTTCCTGGCCGGAACGGTGGTGATGACGCCGGTGGTTCCGCACATGCTGGAGGCTTGGCGTCTGCGACATCACCCCAACCTCTGCTTTATCTTCTACGAGGATATGAAGCGCGACCTGCGCGGCCAGATCCGCCGACTGGCGGCCTTCCTCGACAGGCCGTGCTCCGAGTCGGACGTGGAGCGTCTAGCCGAGTACCTCCACATCGACAACTTCAGGAAGAACCCGTGGCGCTCGGAGGACTTTGGCAAGCAGGCCGGGATGGTGAACGAGGGCGCGGGCGAGTTTATCCGTACCGGGAAGACGGGTGACTGGAAGAACCACCTCTCGCCGGAGCTTAGTGCCAGGTTCGACAGCTGGATCGAGAGTCAGCTGAGCGACTCCGACCTCAGATTCGTGATGGAGCTGGACAAACAGGACTAGAGGGGCAGCGGTCAGATCTCTGCAGTGTGGACTGTTTTTGAGTAATTCCAGCATACGTTGGACCGATCTGATCTGGTCTGACCCTCTCTGACCTGACCAAACAGTCTTCCTTTCCGATCTAACGTGTTTTGTTCCGGTTTGACATGTCTAAACTCGATGTGACCTATACTGACCCTGTTTGACCTGCCGTGACCCGCCACACGCCTCCGTTTTTATCTCGTTACCATTCCGTGCCGTCAAATTTTTCTTCGTAATCCCTCGGTCAATCCAGTGTTATGAAAGTGGCCGCCAGTAAACGTTTGGTATAACTTCCGTTCTTATGCATTGTCAGAAGCGTTGATATCGTTTTTTATATTTGATGATGTTGCCTGCCGCTCTGCAGCTATTTTTGTTTTTGTATATATGTTTTAGATTAATCAGTAGGAAAAGTAACTTATGTAAGATGCCGTATACGTAATTGAATGATTGTGAGCTGCCTAGTGTGACAAAAGTTATTTAGGTTACCGGTTTGAGTGAGGCTTTCACATTTTTACTCGCATATTTATGCATTAGTTTTGTCTGTGTTGTATGAAGGTAGGCTAATAAAAGTACAATACCGCTCATGTAGTTAGGTTGTCTAATGCGTGGCCAGGGTGGTTTGCTAAGTGTGTTTTTTTTGTGTTGCGTAAAATCCGGCACTTACGATGCTATGAAATCATAGTGAATATCACATAACGCTCGAACTGCTAATCCAATCCGCACAGTAACTGACCATCAAATGACATGTGACTTATAATAAACGCCAGCTCACGCAAATTATCGTTTATGTGATGTTGAACCGATGAGGCTCGTCAGAGAAAGAAATGGGGGGGGGGGGAGCTCAAAGCGTGATTAGATTACCCGCTAAAGATGTCATCCTACTGCAAGCAGTGTAGCCGGGGAGGAAGGCGGCGCTGCAGGGGCAGAGGTAGACAATGGATTGGCCTCGGCTGAGCTCCGGCCCTCCAGTCTCTCTCGGCGGCAGTGGCTGAACAGTGAACAATGTCCTCCCCCCCCCCCCCCCCGGTGACCGGTCGGCCTGGTCAGCGAGGTTCTGTCCCTCCCCTCCCACACTGGTGACGAGTGGGGAGAGTGACACTTCTCAGCAGTGACGGGATGCCTCCCCGGCAGTGACCGGTGACACCCCTCTCCCTTATCCAGCAGTGACCGTTGGACTTTCGATCCAGTGACTCTGTCCCTCCCCGGCAGTGATGGGCAGTGAGGAGCCCCCTCCCCTCTCCAGCAGTGATGGACCAGCAGTGACGGTTTACGGAATGGCCCGTCCTCTGCCGTGCTAGGCGATCACGTCCGTTCCGGATAATGAATCCCACTGGTTCCAGTCAGCCGGCCGGAGCCGGGGCTCGGGCTCTCGGGCCTCCTCGCTCCTCAGCGCACACGGGCCATGGATTTCAGAGTTGCTAATGACCTGTGGGTGATCCGTGACCGGATGGCCTGTTCCACGTGGCAGACACCGTCGAAGATCCCTCCCATTTACCGTGACTGCGGTATCGGAAACTTATAATAATTGTTTTTTGTTATCATTTTTTGCCAGGTTCTGAATTGTGGAAGAAAACGCTTGCCATGAGTCGAGGGCAGACGTGTCAAACCGCGGAATCGCTCAAGTCCGTCTGTCGCTGTTCTGAGAGTCGCTATAGACACTGTCGCTATTGGGAGTATGTCGCTGTTTTCCCGTTTTCCCGTCGCTGTTTTCGGTCGCTGTTTTCTGTGTCGCGGTTTGACACGCACACGGAGTTGAGCTCGAGACGGTCTAAACGAGTAAATATATACGAGTAGAGTAGGTATTCTGCGAAAATGCAGTTAGCTTTGTTTAAAACTATTCCTTATTCCACAAGGGAACTAAGGACCTGAAAAAGAGGTGTGCCAGTTGCCACAATTGCAAGTCACTGGCGTAATGCAAAGAAAAGGAGCTAAGGAAGTAGTCATTGGTCACCAATGGCGTTTTTTTAAGGATCGTTTTCAGCACTTGCAGCAGAGCTTTGGTTTTTTTTTTCAAGTAGGTATTTTCCAAACACTATACCAGCACTCTGCCGACTGAAGCTCTTTGAACAGATCGTCCGTCCAGTCTGCGCTAAAATTGGCATCAAATTCGCTCCCCCTCGTCACATGCACGCACGTGTATCGTATCGTCCCCACGCCAAACCGGCCAAAGCCGCACCGGTCCCCTCCTCCCCATTGTGCCCGATCGAAAACCATGTGCACTGTTTAAATTGGTGGACTGAAAGGATCCCTGGGATTCCCGGTACCCTACCGGTCGGTGCCCGTTGTGCGACCCCTCCCCAGCTCCCATACCTGGTCCCTCGCACCGTCTTCTTTGATCCTCCACGCGGTGCGCTTGAAGTTAAATGGATAAATGGCCGGGGTGCGTGAGCCAGCGGTACCGGTCCGGGCCCCTCTGGTTAGCCCCCTGCCGTGCTCAGCTTCCCCCGCCGTCCGTACAAAATTACACACAAAGACACCGGGAAGGAAGGGTTGTCCCCCCCCCCCCTCCGGTCCAAGCTCATTACAGGTGAGGTTTGAATGGCGTGGTCATTCGGGGAAACCCGGGTGATGGCCCATGCGGAAACCGTTTGATTTCAGCCGGCCAGTCGCTGCCAGTTGATAGCGTCTGGCTTCAGGGTCGCGGAACCCGGGGGAGGGGGCTGGGGAGGGATGGTTAGGGGAGGGGAGGTGATTGGGAGGGTCAGCGGGATTGTGCCCTCAGGTCTGCCAGCTAACCACGTGGTCTGTCCGCCTCGTGTGTCTGAATCAAGGAGAGGTAGGCAAAATAACGCTCCCGTCGCAGCCGCGGCTCCCATGTTGAATAGCTGTTTTTGACTGCCTTTACCAGTTAAGGGATACAATTTTCCGGTCCCGCAAACATAACGGTTTCTTTCAAAATTATTTCTTTCAAATGGTCTCGTAGGCACTGTTGACGAAAATAAGCGACAAACATCGATTTTGGTCCTCAGTTAGCCCCCTACCGTACTACGTGCTCCATCGACATCGTCCAAGACATTTAATTCACTCCCTTCTGCTAACGGTACGGTACCTACAGTTGCTGCGTCTTAGTTGTGAGCCGCTTATAGCGAATGAATGACTAAAAGGCGACAGGGAGTATTAGGTATATTATTTTCTGCTTTTATCCATCTAAGGTCCTGGTTACCTTTTTACTCATATACGGCATCAAATTATACGGCATTGACATTGGGTGGCTCAATTCACTTATGCACGGTGACTTGTTATAGCTTTCTAAATTTTCACCTCTAAGGCTGGTTGTTTTTCATTATGATTTATGGCCATGGAAATAGCACGTATGTCGTATAGTTCCACTTTAGGATCCCATTTCGTTTCTCCGTTGTGTAGTTTACCATTGCCATTTCCACAGGGTGTCCCAAAATTGATGTCACACCCTCTCACAATCTTTATTTTTCCTTCTACGGCACAATATCAATATGATTTCGCCGGTACTGGCTCCCAGACCATATTGGTTACATTCTAGTCACGTGACCTTCAAATTGTTGTGACCCTGACCGGTCAAGGGGTGTACGGAGGTCATTTCCGGGGCAGTACCCAGCGCGCGCGGACCAGGTGTCCAGGATGGCAAAACTGCAGAGTAAATCGTCCCGCAGCGGGACAGTCGGCATGGTTGCCGGCGGCATGACCCACGGCCAGGTCGCCGAGACACTGGGCATGAGTTGCCGCACGATTTGGCGCGATTTGGCGCATTTGACGCGACAGAAGCGGATAGACGCCCGCGAACAAGCTAGGTCGCGGCAGGAAGACTTCCGCCAGCCGGGTAGTGCAGCTCGTCATCGCGAAGTGCGGAGCTGAATACGGGCTTATCAACAAGAAAACTGACAAGGAGGCTGTTTGCCAACAGTCATCCAGTCTCCAAGCTGACAATTCATCGGTACTGGAGGCTGTTTCTAAAGCTGAGGCCCACCAAGCCACGTTTCCAGCCGAAAACCTCTGCTGAACATGTCCAGGGCCATCTTTCAACAGGTTGGCGTCCCGGCTCATCGAGCTAGAACGACGAAGGACTGGTGCAGATCGAACTTCCCAGCATTCTGGGAGAATGACAAATGACCGGGAAATAGTCCCGACCTGTCGCAGATAAAAAATCTTAGGGCGATCGTTCGGTAAGCGGTGATCAAAATGGCACCAGCATAATCTGAAGGCACGCTGACCAGGAACGTTCGATCTGTGTGGTCCAAGATCAGTCCACAGAAGCTGGACATGTTGATGTCTGATGTCCCGGAACGTATGCTTGCCCGTATCAGGGAGAAGGTGGGATACATATGTAAGAAAAGCGCACCTCTCATGTTTGTTATTTTCATGCAATTGACGCTGGAAAGGTGTGACATTTTTTTGGGACACCTTGTACATTTATCGTGTTGGTCAAATCCGACCCGTACTTACTGAGAAAGGAAAAATACACGTTTTTAGGCTGAGGCAGCCGAAATTCTGGGAACGTCCATGGAAGTTTCGAGCCATGTTTTACCTATATTACCCCGCGCCCCAGTGGCGGTCTCAGCCAACTTCGCCCTAGTGGGGGGGGGGGGGGGGCATATGTTACCACCCACCTCTAACTCAAAAACTAAGAGGGATAGAAAGACGCGGTAAAAAGCAGTCGATAGCTCTCAATGCGTACGTTTGAAAGTATTCCAGTCATTTTTCACCTTAGAGCAATATTGGGGTCACCAGAGGTCATCAAAGGTCAAAATTTCCCAATTGTCATTATATTTTTTAGAAAACATGCCGCTATCTCAGGAACTATGGTAGCTAGAAAAACGCATGGAACAGCAAACGATAGCTTTTGAGCTCTTCTTTTGAAAAGGTCATTATCAATATTGACCTCAGGTCAACGGTTTAGCCTCCAGAGGGCAAAAACTCCAAAAAATAGCTGTTTTTACGAAGTGTTTTTCGACAATAACTTTTGACTGCAAAAAGCCACGGCATTTCCATTGCCAGAATCGTGTTCCCCTCGCCGAGACGCGTCGAATGAACTATAATTTGACCTTGAAAGGTCAACTTGAAAATTTGACCTCAGGTCAAGGTCATGACCTGACCGGAAAAGGTCATCTTGCATATCAGTCGATGCGTCTCAACAAGACAAACACAATGAGACCATCCCCAGCGTTCTATCTCTTTCCAATCGCGAGTTATTGGCAAAAAACTGTTTGTAGCCTCAAGTGACCTCGGATGACCTGCCTAGAGGCTATCAGCAAAAATGACACCTTGGTCATCACGAGTGGACTAAATCATTGTGATTCTGAAATATTTGGACTGTTCCTATGCGTACACACGGATCTAGAGGCATTTTCATTTTTCTCCATTGCCGTATAATGGTAAGGTCACGCCACTGACCTGACCTTAGGTCACGGATATAAAAAATCCGAGATATACAAATTGTAGGCGCCCATAACATCATGCAATCCACCAAGTTTGAAACCTTTCTGACAAACACTGCAGGCTGGACATGATTGCAAACTTTTTTTTAAGCTTGGTCAGTTAACTTGACCTGGTGACCTGACCTGACATGACCTGGGGTCAAAAATTTCACACATTGTCCAAAATTGATGTACAAAAAGCTACCCCAAGCGGCGCGGCGCTACGCGCCGCGCTTTTTTATTTACACGCGAAAAACGCGACAGGGTGGTAACATATGCCCCCCCCCCCCCACTGGGGCGAAGGTTAAAACGCTGCTAAAATGACCCTGACTAAAATGACAACGAATGAATCCTAACTCTCGCCCGTATTGGTTTCTCAGTCGCTAACGTAAAGGGTGTCCGTTGGACCCCTCTGCCGTTCGGCCCCTGATCGAGCTTGAGCTTCGCGGAAAAGAGAATCGTACTGCCCCGTAACGAGAGGAAGCCGATGATACCCTCCCAGGTCATTCATCGACCTTCCACGCCAGCTCAATGACCCGGCAAAAGTCTGAAAAATCGGGACCTGCTGGAACTTCCTAAAGTGGGGTTATTATGTTTTTTTCGGGGTCCTGATTAGGACTTTCATGTTAGTTTTAAACTCGGGCCAGGTCAGGTCAGGTCAAGCAATAGGCGTCCATAGGTGTCAACAACTAATGCCAACTTCGTAACATGTTACATAGGCACCAAAAATGCTTCTCAAATGAAAGCAGCTCCAAAGACTACCAGATAAACATGTAAAACTGGAAAAGTTTACAAGGGTTTCAAAGGGGGGCAGTAATCGCCACGCCATGTGTGGATCGCCCACGATCGTAAATACATGCATGCATACATACATACATACAAGGTCATCTAAGGTCAATGACCTTCATCTGACCTTCAAGTGACCTCGACAGCCACCATAATGCATGGTACAAACATCGTTTCACATGTTGAAACGTTTGCTAACCACAAAAGACTGGGAACACACGGAGAACGTTTACAACCACAACAAGACTGAAAACACACGAATAATGTGCGCTGACACACGTCCCATCGCTATTCTGGCCCAACATGACCTCGAGAAATAGGGTACATGTCAACGGTCATTTGAGTCAGGGCACAGATAACAGTAGTACTACTGTTATCTGTGATCAGGGTTATAAATTTTTCAGGGTAGGTGTAAACATGATCAACTCGAGAGTAGCCGAAGTTTCGTGGCGAAAGGATTTTGCGCGATTGATCCGTAAAAAAACGACGAGGGTCCGTTCGACCACCCCTTTTCAGTGTGAGGGTAAATCGTTATAAGCCTTATCATTTACGAACCCTATCCGATACGAAACTTTGAATGCAAACTTTTGCTTACGAACTTACTATAACTAACTTACTTTAAATTACGAACTTACTTATCTTACTATCCAAACCTTTTCTTTCTTTTTCGGCTTTCTTTTTTCATTTTCTTGCAGGACATGCTGTAGACACTAGACATGCAGAGGCCACTTTTAGCAACAGAAAAGTAGCCGCCTGCTGGAATTTTTTGACTAAAGACCGCTTCACATACAGAGCGTAAGCGGTATAGCCCTATCCGCTAACGTGCCCATCGCGTATGTGAAGCGGTCTTTAGTAAAAAAAAAAATCCGGCAGGCGGCTATTTTTCTGTTGGTATAACTGGCCTCATGATATGTTTTTTTGTTTGACCGTGTGCTACTGAAGGAACTTCCGTCTTGTCATGTTTTACTTTGATATCTTATACTAGGATCCAAGCATTTGGGTAACTTTGCAAAGCTTTCGCGGTCTTAGTTATCAATGTAAGCGCTAGTTTCAGTATTTTTGACGACATGAAAAAACCCAGCCGGGGTTTGTGTAAGAAATACAAACCTGCCATCTTCCTTCATTTCATTATAGTTTGCACTGAGGACTGTATGTCAGGCATGTGGCAAATACAGTGACTAAATAAAAAGCCCCATGATTGGCAACTTGATTCTATAATTGCCAGCTTTTTTACCTTTATTGAACTCCCGGACTATAGGGACAACAGTTCCGAAATAAATATGAAAAATCCAAGGTTTTCAGTTTTCACTTCAAATCAAACATGATAGGAAACATAGCAATATCGAGTGCCATACACTTATCGTAATCGTGCAAGCGAAAACACGTTGACGGCATGGTGGCCGGCCGGTCGGTGTCAGGACGGTACGGGCGGGCGTCCCCCCGCACCATCTGCCCCCGGAGGTGACCCGGGGCAGGGAGGCGGCGGGAAACCCCGGCCACGTGTAGCCAAATACCTACCCCGGAAAACCCCAGCCGGGCAGCGAGTTTCGACTGGTAGGAGGGTCTCGGGAGGGTTCATTACGCCCCGGGGTGTATGCCCCGACCGCCTGCGTGGGGGTATAAAAGGGACGACGGCGCCGACCAGCTACAGACGCTGCTGGTTCTCGACAACAGAGACTTGTGCAACACTTCACCATGAAGCTGGTAAGTCGCTGTTTGGGGTATATTTCGACAATTTCCGGTTGCCTCTTAGCGCATTGAAATAGAGTAATGGGCATTCGAGTAACACCGTTGTTTTGACGTTGGTGTTTCGAGTGTACACTATTTACTTATCTTTTTTGAAGAATGAAAATTGCCTCGAAACTTTTCATAGATATTCTGTCAAACGCTCTTAGAATTTAAATGCATTTTGCCTCTTTCACGTTGTTCAGCTTGAAACTGTCGGGCCGGCGCTCCCCAGTTTAACCCAGCTGCCCAGCACACGGCTCGTCTCTGACCCTGCGTCTCCCCCCGACAGTCCCTGGTGGTGTCTCTGCTGCTGGCGGCCGCCGCCGTCTCCTCCGGTTGGGCGCAGGACGTGGAGCTCGGCGAGGACTACGAGCTGGTGGAGATGGACGTCCTGCTGCCGGAGGAGGAGGGCAGCGGCATGCTCGTCCGCCAGGAGCGCGAGGATCACGAGGAGCATGAGTACCACGAGGGCCACGAGGAACACGAGGAGCAGGAGCAGGAGGAGGAGGAGGGCAGCGACACGGTTGTGGCTGAGGAGCAGGAGACTGAGGGAGACGGTGACTTGGAGGGAGCTGACTCGTTCTACCGCCGTACCTTCTTCCGTCCGCGCTTCTTCTACAGGTCAGTCGAGCTGGAAGTCGTTCATCGTAAATATTAAGCATGTGCCCGATGACTTTTCCTCTGCTGGCTTATTTTACGTTCGAGTTTTGCTATGCTTTGCTGAGAATAAGTGTCGTTTTATGCGGTTATCGCTTAGTTTGAATTAACGGTTAATATTGATTAACGGTTAATATCGAATATTGATTGATTTATTGATCTTTATATTGATTAAGTGATTGCACGCGTAACACTGATTTTGTCTTTGATTATGAATGTAGGTTTTACAGTTGTTTTTCTTCCAACGGCATTCATTATAAAGCATTTCGTAACAACATGACTGTCGCCGTCTTTTTTAGCATGTCATCTGACGCGGTTTTGCTTTTGTTCGCAGGCGTTTCTACAGGCCGGTGCACTTCCACCGCCCTGCCCACGTGCACTACCCTCGGTACCGCGTGAGGCCCTACTTCCGGTGGTAGATCACTGGTAGTTATCCGCAGTTTCAACGAGCTGACATGAGATGTTGGGCTCTGTCGCCGCCCAGAAACTCCTAGGCTGGTTAACGATTTCACCGAGGAAATTTGGGCGCCCAATGACCCTGCTGTCGATGCGCCCTAAAATCCCAACTCGCATTCAAGGAATCTCAGGGAAAGTTGTGTCATGCAAACGGACGGTTGTGCGGTCCTGGTGTGCGTTTTGTGCTGACTGATTGTCTTTCTTCGTGCTTTGCTGGATTGTCGGTTGATATGATGTGCGCTGCTTTGATGTTGTGTCATCTTGCTGGTACGTTTTACAAAGAAATGGCGTTTGTGGAAGATGTTGAATAAATGACTGATGTCGAGTACGATCTGGTTTGTTAATTGTTACCCAATGAAATTGGTGCCAGCTGCCAACTGCCAACTATGAGCTGGATGGTTGCCGCATAGAACGCTCAATTTACACCATGGTTTAGGTATTCCTGGATCGGACACTCCGCCGTTTTTCCGACCACGCACGTCGGCGAGGGCGTAGGCGCCACTTAGCATTGCGTGCTATGGGCGCCGATAATGTCTAATGGTTCCGTATGATAGTGACTAAATGGAGCCATAATTATTACAAGAAAGGACTAAAAATATGTTTAAATTGCCTGAAATCGTGTCTTACGAGCTAAAGCTCGATAATTTCGCTCTCCATTACCGCGTTTTCAGCACGCAAGCCGGTGCGGCGGCCGCCGGTGCACTCGCCGCCTATGTTTCGGCGCTCCGCCACCAGGGCGGCCGCTTGGTCGCCGGCGTTAGTGTTTGGGAATAGGTAGTGTTAGTGTCCTATCCAGGAATACTTCCTTCATCCATATTTACACTTTGCGTCGGATGTTGCAAGCCGGTGACCTAACCTCAGGTCACTGGGACTTGACGTTGACATTTTCAGGGAATGTGTCTAAAATATGTTTCATATGTCACTCAAAACGTCTCCGCGGCCCACACACGCACAATGCCCATTGCCCCTGCCGCGACCGCGAATAAGACTGACTCCCGATTCCCGATTCATTCCGTTCTGTGTCTTGCGGTACAACATACCTTCAGGCGCATACTACTAGTGACATCTAGCGACAAATAATTTCCTTGTGAAGGAATATCGTTGCACGGTCAATTAAAAAATTAATGAAAAAATAATTTGTGACTTAATGCTTCTTTTCTCCTAATTATTCTAAAAACATAGGGTAAAGAATTTGTTCGGAAGGTGTGAGCTTTCCAATTATAGGGGCAAAGTGCAAAATGAATATTTGAATGTCGAGTTCCTTCGCTTTTTTTCTAAGAGAAAAGGAATACTTTGCCGAATATGGAAGCGATGCTAAAATGGCGCAACTGAAACATATGTGAATGTAAACATTCGCGCACGTGTGACAACCGTATGAGACTGGTCCAAGCTGGTCGGCTTATTATATTTTTGATTTATTTGGATGTTATTCGGTTGCTGCTGTTGAGACCATGGACTTGCTACCAAAATCTGCTCAAGAATTTAATGAGAAACAGTATTGGGAGACGTTCTTTGCCAAACGAGGAACAGAAGCATTTGAATGGTAAGATTTTGCTGTTTCTTGATTTAAAAATCTTGATCTTTTGTCTTATTATCTGGCATAGTTTTTTGCCAATTAATGCACAGCTGTGCTTCACAAATCGATCTTTCACTTTATTGAATGATGCATTTCCCTTAGTATTTTAATTCTAGAGCATCAATACTGCCAATGGTACTACAACTAACAAATAGGTAGCATAGGTGCTTACCTAATACAAAATAAACTTTTTGCTTGTAAAAATTGCTAAATTGTTTATTTGCAAACATTTCATTTAATTGCATTCACTGATGTTGAATTTATGTTTTGATTGTTTCAGGTATGGAGAGTATCCTCAGCTGTGTGAAGTACTCAACAAATATGTGAGAACCAAGGATCACATTTTAGTCGCAGGCTGTGGAAACTCTACTTTGAGTGCTGACATGTGGAATGTTGGCTACAAGTAAGTGAAAGACTGTATATTGAGAGTTTCAGTCATTTTATGTTGTCAAAAAATCATCTTATTTTGAATTGGAGGCTTGTTCTTTTGGTATTAGTAAGTCTGGCGTCCCACGAAGATGCCAGATATGGCCACGGTTGAGAAATTCTCTTTTGAGGTTATTGTTGTTGTTTTTTAGAGATAGCATAAATATTTGCTGATAGATAAGGAATTAGGCATATCCTTTTTATCTGCCACACTTTCAAAACTGGTTTGGTGTGATCCCATTTTCCATTGATTCTTTTTTATTGCCAAGGAAACATCACTTTGTATTGATGATGCTTTTGATTTTTATGCAGCACAGCTGTTTATGAAGGATGAAAGCTAACTTCTTCTCCACCAGGTCAATGGTCTCTGTGGACATCAGTGATGTGGTGGTGCGCCAGATGCAGCAGAAGCACGCTGCAGCAGGCATGACCTTCACAAAGATGGATCTGATGAAGCTGGAGTTTCCAGACAAGGAGTTTACCTGTGTGCTGGACAAGGGAACCCTGGATGCTGTCTACACCCACGATGACCAGGAGACAGCTGAGAAGGTTGAGACAATGTTCAAGGTGAGACATGAGTGAACAGGCTAGAAATTTGTGCCTTCCTGACTAGCTGTTGATCTTTACAGCATGTGCCATCTTATGATTTGATTTGTCATTTCCCATCTTGTTCAAGCTGCATGGAACAGCCTTGTTTCCTTATGATATCATTTGAATATTCTAAGCCATTACATGATTGCTACATCCTGCTCTCCTTCCGCCTGGTATGCCCTTGCAGCTGCCCATCCTGGGTAATTATCTCTGGATTCCATGAATCATATGCAAGTTCATCATTGTTCAATGCTCATTCCTCACCCTCCCACTCTCCCAGCCTCCCCACTCACCCACCCCTCCCCACCTGCAGGAGATCGGGCGCGTGCTCCGTGTCGGCGGCCGGTACGTCTGTGTTTCGCTGCTCCAGGGCCACATCCTGGACAAACTGCTGCAGTGGTTCCCCCAACAGGGGTGGATGGTGCGCATATGCAGGTAAGCATACGGACATGATTGTTGTTAAGCGTGCTTTGTAAGGTCGATTAAGATGTGGACGAGGTCGATTCAGCATCGATGGACTCTGGCTTCTGGATAAAGTTTTTGTGTTTGTAAGAAATGCATTGTATATCGTGGCTTTATCTCATGGAGGAAACAGTGATCAATCAATGTATATTTTTATGTCACCTCAACTGCTGCAGTACTTTGCCTCCATGCATCTGATCGTGATTGCTAGACATTTGACCATATTTTATCGATTTACAGGTGTAAGGGAGCCGAAAATACCAACTCCGGAGGAATCCCGTTTCCCGTTTTTGTCGTCGTTTGCACCAAGTTCGAGCTGAAGCCAGGCAGCCCGCCAATGAACGTAAGGAGATGCCGTATAAGACGGCTACTAGTGTTGGCTCCTGCATTGAAACTTTAAGGCTTTTACCTTTCTTTGCGTTTTGTATCTGTGGCTCTCGTACTGTTTTTAGGATGAGCTTGGCGAAATGCCGCTTAGAGACGTCAGACAAGCTACTGGAACCAAATGTCGAAGGAAGACGTTTTGCATCGTCAATGAATTATGTTCCACTAATTGCGACATATTTCTTCTTGCTCGAGAGCTGACAACGTCGTTAAAGTTTACGTTCACTATACTTTTGCCGGAAAGCTGCGTTGACACCGCTACCTAGTCAACCACCACGTACCTTTACTTCCGCTGTCGTCCGCCAGGTGCTGGAGGTGACGCTGCAGGGTGAGAAGCCGCGCCGCCTGCCGTCAGCGGCGGCCGTCCGCCAGGCTGTGACGTCACTGCAGCAGTTCGCCTTCACACGTCACGGCCTGACGTCACCGGGCAGCGGCGAGGACCTGCGACTGGAGCTCTGCGACCCGGACACAGACAGCACGCGCTTCGTGCTCTTCGTGGTCGACCGGTGGCGCAAGAAGACCAAGAAAGCGTTTGCGATATTTATTGTGCCCCAGGGAAGGTAAGAGAGCCACGAGAGCCACTTATGCCTAAGGGGAGGAACAAAGTGAAGCTGGTAATCAGGTTAGACAGAAAAACAGTAGGACATCGGTTTGGCACATTACTGTTAACGGTGCAGTTGAAAAGCTATTTGCTTATGATTTAAGCAACCAAAGCTGCTCTGGCCTTAGCATACATGGCAGTTATGGTTTTGATGCCTTATTGCCAGGTCTGATAGCTTTTCACATTTGGCTGAATTTTGAAAGGGATCTACATTCTGACCAGTTACCATTGTTGACACGGGATTAACACTGCCGATAATTCGTCTGACCGTTGTTTACAACTCTGGTTGCCAGGGAGACGGAGTGGCTGTTTGGCTCGCCGGCCGGTCGCCGTCAGCTGGCAGAGACAGCCGGCCACGACCGGCTGGTGGTGGTACACCTGCCGGCGCGCGACCATCAGTACGGTGACCTGGAGCAGGTCAAGGCCGAGCTGTCTGAGAGCGTGATGCAGCTGCGGCCCGGACACCTCAGGGACGATGTGCAGGTAAAGGACGCCTCGGGGATGGCGTACAAGTCGGGGACATTTCAGGGACGACGGTCAGGTCAGGAAGGGAGGGGAAGGAACGTACAGCGTAGGGAGGGACACCTGCGACCTGATAGACAACTTGAGGGTCAGGGAGGGAGGGATATTGCGACTTACAGGTAGGGGGACGGGAGGGTAGGGGGACGGGAGGGAACTACGTTTCTACAGTTTAGGGCGGGTTATTTGAGCGTCGACGTACCGGTCAGCAATGAAATCTCACCCTCCTTCCTGACTTGACCCTCCCCCACTGTCCATAGGTACCGTTTCTAACACGTAGCGCCCACTGTCCGTAGGTACCGTTTCTGACGTGCGGGGGTGACCTGGGCCGGCGCGAGCTGCGACACCGCGGTACCAGTGCCCTCTCTGGGCAGTACGTGGTCGAGGACGTTCACCTAGAGGAAGGAGAGTCGGTCCGGAGGCTCGTCTTCCTAGCTAACGTCAATGTCATCCAGTCGGAGGCGCGTCTGAAGAGAGGTGAGGGGGCGGGGCAGGCAGGTGTTGCGATTAGGAATGTGTGGTCAGAGGGAGTGGTGGGGTTTTGATCCATGCCGGGGCTGGTAAATTAAATTGGTGATCGAACTGGTGTGGCGGTGGGGCTAAATCATGTAAGCGATGTAGTATATTGGAGGGATGGGAGTCGGGACGAAAACTTTGAGATGCTCGGATAGTTCGCCGTCTTCCTTTCATTTGATTGGATAAGCTAATGGTAAGAATTATGTAAAGCGTTTTTGATGGCCTCATGCTTTAGATCAATGATTGGCTTAGTTTTGACGTAGTTAACTCCAAAGCCGTTTATGAGTTGTATCTGTTTGAAGTGGTGTGAATTCCACGATTTCAGTGTCTGTAAAAGTAAATCTCTCTAACCCCTCCCGGTTCCCCGCAGTGTCTGTGAAGGGCCAGCCGGCCGCCCTGGAGGCGGACGGAGGCCACCTCTCGTGCTGCCATCACCGGTACATGGCTGCTGGCGTGGCGCTGGTGACCGAGCCGGCCGCTCCCGCCCCCGCCCCCGCCCGGGTGCTGGTCGTCGGACTGGGCGGCGGCGGGCTGTCCAGGTTCATACACGACAAGTTCCCGAAGGTGGGTTTTGATGAGACGGAGGTGAGTAAGTACTCTGTTCAGTCTTGTCTTCTCGTATTCACGTGCGTGCAGCTAGCTGTATTATACTATTATGACCGCATTGATCAAAAATATGCTTCATTGATTTTATTGTTAATTGGTTCGACGTTAAATCATTGAAGCATTGATATCGATAGATTTATTTGATATGAACAATGAACATTTTTGTGAACCCATGCCATCCTTAGGAACTCTTCCTTCCTCTACCACACGACTTGCTGATATCACACTCAGTACCGACTACCGAATCTTCAATTTAAATCACCAGCTTCGTCACATCGTTCTCAACTCTGACCATCGACACCGTTCCCCGTCCAGGCCTCAGTTGACGTGGTGGACATCGACCCAGAGGTGGTGACGGTGGCCAAGGACTGGTTTGGCTTCACAGAGGACGCCAGACTCAGAGCGCACGTGGCTGATGGACTGCAGTTTATCCGAGACTGCAAGGCCAAGGGTGAGCACACGAGAGATGGGTGAGGGGGCTGGAGCTGGGGGTCAGGATAGGTTCTGCCCGGCTGATGGTATGACTTTGACAGCTATAACAGGTGAATAACGCTTTCTCAGTTCCTTTAGTTTGGGTTTCAAGTATTATTGAAATTCGCTACTCGAAAGCGTCGTGATTTATTGTGTTGTAACACCCACTCAAGCAGCTTTTCGCCCCCGTCGGCTGCACTGATGCGAGACGCTTATTATTGGTGTCATGGACGCTACATTACGTGATGCATTACAGCCAATCAACAGACACTCAGACGCATTTTCTGTAAAATAGGAAACTGCATTAACGGACAAAGAAATAACACGAAGTCCAGGAACTACCAAGAAACCCGAAAGACTTCATTTGCACACAACAAACTAACTCATTAACAATTTTGTGTTCGCCCCTGCGATTCAGCAATGTTCTTGAGAGCGGGTTGACTTTCAGTAATTGTTTGAGGCATTTGATTTCAATTTACAATGTATGCAATGCGTCGTCAAAACGCCGATGGTTTTATCTGCTGAAACAACCGCCAAGCACTGCTTTTCAATATTACTTGTGCCTATTCCCATTCGCACTTATTGTTATCAGATTTTCTACTCATCCTTCTTATTACCTCCATCCTGTACCACGCGAGGCAACAGAAAAGCAAGATTCTCCACGGCCCGCATGCTTCTTTACCATCGTGTCTTGCATGACGCCGCCACGTCCTATTAGGTATCGTCACGCCCTGCTCGTCTCGCCATCACGTGTTGCCGGTAATGTTACGTCGTGCCAGTAACGTCACGTCCTATGCGTGACACCGTCTTGTCTTGTAGGTAACGGTAACGTCATGTTCTGCATGTAACACCATCAGCGATGTTGCACGCGATGTAGTTTCTGATGCTCGGATGAATGACGCTCGTATAAAACCCGGGCAGGCCGGGCGAGTTACATCTCACTGCGCCGAAACTCACCACACCTACCAGATAATAGCGATACATGTGTCGGTCAAACACCATCAGCGGTCCGCCTGAGTCGCCCGTGCACGAGTCAGTGTCCTCTCCGAACGCGCACATTTGCCGGTCTGTCAGCGGCATCTTGTCCTCGAACACCTCTCTGACGATGGTGTCGCGAGAGCAGTCGGCGCCCGACACTAGGCGCAGGTTTCTCGTGGTCTTGAAGAGCAGCTGTGGCTGCGGGCCGACCTTCTCGCGAGAGTCCACCCAGAGACGGCCGTACCCGATCACCACGGCCGGCATCTGCGTCAACATGTCGAACGTGTAGTTGGCCGGCGGGAGGCAGATGGGGTAGGTGAAGGCGTTGAGCTCGACCGGCTGCTCCAGGACTAATACTGCGAGGTCGCCGTCGAACTTGATGCCCTGGTCAAACGTGGCCATCGGGTAACCGTCCCAGACGCGATGAACCTGAGGTTTGTGCGTATCGCTGCGGCTGGTCCAGTTGTGGGCCCCCACGAGGGCGTACGTGTTACTCGGAGACAGACCAGAGTAGGCGAGCAGACAATGTGCCGCCGTGACCACATGCCTATCGGTGATCAGAGAGCCACCGCACATGGGCGGGCGGTGAAAAGAGCGGCCTCGGAACAATGCCACCATCCAGGGAAACTCCTCGGCGCGGGAAGGTTGTCCGTTGACGATCCGAGCGACCGGATACATCGGCACGCCGCAGTCGCACTCTGTGTAGCGTGTTAAAGAGTCGATCGGAGGTGGAGGAGTTTTGGAGGTCGCGGAGCCTGTCGGAGTGGTGGACGCCGCGGCGGCGAGGGAGAGCAGGCACGCCGAGAGGAGAGAGGAGAGGGTAGAGTGATGGGAGCCATCGGACTGCCGCCGAGAGGTGTTGGCAGGCATGGCGTAGAGGTCAGCGCGCTATGGCTGAAGTCACGTGGCTTCGAGACGGACTGAAGTGGCGGCGAGCATGATCGCTCTTGCGAGGGGCGAGCAATCCTATCTATGTTATAAATCCTAAGAGGGGATTCGAAGCCGGTTTGTGACACTCCGCGGGTTTGAGTTTGACGTTACCTTACAATTTTGGTATTAGTTAAAGAAACATCGTGAGATTAAAATACACTCCGAATTTCGATGATTTGTGACAAATTCACTTTCGTCTAATAAACTTCGACTTCGTCGTCTTTCTTGCAAAAACGTCTTACAAAAACGTGCCTCAGCGGTTTTGGGTGCTGACATGATGAGGAAATTGTATAATAACCAAGCGCAAAATGGCCATGTTGTCCATTCCTCAGGCTTTTGAATTCCGATGCGCATGCTGTAATGGTGATATTTGTGGATTGATCGTTCGACGACTCCTTCAATCCCATTGCTGTCATTGACTTGATCCTGAGGATACTTATAACCTGGCACCCCGCTGCCAAGCACCATACATAGTTTACCGGCCCAGCTGTGTGAGTAACATCACCGCCCTCCGTTTTCCGCAGGTCAGCAATACTCGGTGATTATGTTTGACGTTGACTGCAAGGACCCCAGTCTGGGTATGAGCTGTCCGCCGGCTCCGTTCGTCGAGCTGGAGCTGCTCAGAGACGTCCGGGACTGCCTGACAGAGGACGGTGAGTAACGATACTGATAAACCGATAGACATTAGAAAACTCGACGGGAAGGGAGAACTCGTTTGATGTGACCCTTATTGGAATGGAACATAGGTAGCCGGTCATACTTTGTTTAGTGTTTTTTTTTCATTTAAGTCAACCTTCCGTAACTCCGTCCTTCCAGGCACATCTCCTGGGGAGAAGTCTGAGAGCAATTCAAGGAGACCCTGCTTTGTGAATCATATTTGAGTAGTAAAGAAGCGAAAAGGCTGATGGTGTATGGCGGATGCGTGTTTCCTTTTATACTGCTGTTGACTAACAGCTTTTAAGTTCACTCAATGAATGAAACAAAAAATATTCACCTACCAAAATGTCGCTCACCACGTCGTTTCCTCTCCCCAGTTCACACCCATACCCCTAACCGACCCACAGGAGTCTTCATCCTGAACCTGGTGGCTCGGGACGCGGCGCTCGGTGACCAGGTACGAGCCGATCTCAAATCGACATTCGCCGCCTGCGTGACCTACTCAGTACCCGAGGAAGTCAACGAGGTGGTGTTCTGCCTGCGGCACCGGCCCGACAACGACCCCTGTGAGCGGATCCGAGCCGCGGCGGCCGCCCTGAACTCTGCGCTCAGTCGCAAGCAGAAGGGTAAGCCGCGCCAGAGCTTTATGGACATGTCCGCGTTCGCGCAGGAGCTGAAGAGTTTGTAGCGATTGGTGGGTACTGTGCGTTATTGGTGTGTGATGCTGGTGCAGATGATATACTGCTGTGAACGCTGGTAGGACTTTGACGGTTTTAATACATAATGAAGGCATGTTGATGTGACACTGCGAAAAAGCGGTTGTGAATTGGTTGTGTCGTTAACGAGTTACGCACTGAATTGATTCAATTCGCCTTAGTTTGAGAAGTGAAGTGTTCATAATTCACGGTATTATCGTGGATTAAGTTTATTTCATACCCACTTGCAAACTAAGCATTCGCAAAATAGATTCATCCAACGTTCATTGCATCAACCACACTTGCATTGTTTTCTGAGGTGTTAACCCCACAGACCCTCGATTAATTCTTTCTCGCTTTGCTCCGTCTCTGCACCGACCGAATCACTGCGTCTAGAAGTGATTCTGTGTTGAACAGTCCGCCTAGGGAGAAGGTGACGACTGACAGTACTGCCGTCAGAAAGTCCGGATCAGCCGCGCACATTGCATTACCCACCGAGTCGGTTTGACATATTCCATACAGGATAGTAAAATCCTACGCCTGAGTGACTGGCACGGTGCCACATCGGCTCTCAGCTTTCGTACACACCTCAGCACCGCCCCGTCGTTCGCTAAATCCCAGTCATGTTAACATGGCGCCTCATCACACAGCAGCTTAGCTAGTATCACGATGATGCGCCGCCGCCAACAAACTTGGTGTGCTTTCCCTGAGCTATCAGTTTTCCGGCCTCGTTCCTGAAGTCGACGGTGCTGAAGGTTAGCAGCTTGCCCGTCTTCAGCGTGTCGGCGTCGATGGTGATGATTTCATTTAGCTTGGCAGATCGCATATACCTGCAACACAGTGGTGAGCTGAGTAAAGGTAATGAGATGATACAACTTTTTTACAAAACGTGCCCAAGAACAACGTGTACATCTTCAGTATATATCTCCATCACAGGAGGATCCATGCAGGAAGAGCACTTACGCCACACTGAGGTCAGTGGAGACACCAGGGTTTCCATTGCCAGTGGTCATCAGTGCCAGTGTTGAGATCAGATCTGTCAGGAAGCTGGTGTAGCCACCATGCAGGGTGCCGTGGCCATTGAGATGCTCCTCCTCCACCTTGAACTGTACCTTCACCTTGCCAGGCTCAACAGAGACCACCTCCATCTGGTGGTCAGTTCATAGATCATTGGAGGGTGCACCAACCGTTGAAAATAAAAAGAAGTTCAGAGTTTGGTGGTTGTGGGAACCTAGCCAGCTCTGATTTAGATTGAATGGAAAATTAAATAATCGTTTTAATTAAAATTAAGAGGAACATTATAATATAATGAATTAAAATGGCATGCCTCTAAATTTTAAATGAACCAAAGTTGCAAATGGGAGCTCACATCATGCAATGAAGTGCTTATTACTCTGCAACATTACATGGATCTGAGAAAGTGGATCTGTGATCTGATCTCACAGCTCCTCATGTGGAATTGGGATCCAATGGGATCATAGAATCAGCTCCTTCACTGATCAAAAACTCTATTGGGATCCTAGTTCTGAGTCTAATTTGAACTTGAGAGCCAGTGAGACCAATAGATTCTCACTTATTTTTTGACAACACAAAAAACCTACAGTTGACTTGATGGAACCCACAAAAGTTATGTTTTAATAACTTTGTGATTGCACATTATAACTCATAATTTTATAGCACTTATTGACATAGAAACACTTGAAACATGGTTTCAAATGTTGCGCATCCATCCACCCAGATCATAGATAAATATTCTTTATTCTTGGTTTATTGTCAGATGCTATGAAATCACAGATCTGATTTTATTTTGTTTTTTTTTGTTATTCTGATATTATTTGATATTTTGATGAGGGATCTGGTGGGATCATAGATCCCAATTTGCAATTTGCCTAGAGATCCACTGAGATCATAGATCCATCACTCGGACCCATGCATGTCTCATGAAATGGCTGCATAGATTAGGGCGACTGATGACAATATCAATATCTTACAACTAAGTAATAATGGAAAATGGACACCAAAATTACATACATTTGAAGCTATCCTGTCAAATCCTTTGGTGGTTGTCAACGTTTTCATAATCTGTTGAACCATGGAAAACACGTGCTGGTCATGCCCTGAATATAACCTTGTTGCTATTGTGCTTGGGCGCATAGCCATAAGGCTTAATCGTCCAAAGATTGACATCATCCCTGCAAATTCAAAAAAAACCTCAGCTTGTTTATACGTCCAGAAGTTTTTTTTTTTTCTTATTTATTTACTAAAAACTTGCTAAAAATAAACAATGAGAGAGCACACTCGTCCCGGCTGCGCCATGATCGCTTATTTTTGAGCTGCCTCTAATTGGCAGCGTTTTTTCTACTAGTTTGAAGGAATTATGACTGCTGCAAATTCTAAAGAAAATGACGAAAATGACGTCAAATGAAGGTCAAAACTGTCGTTTGCCTAATACTCGCTTCATACCTAGTGTTCAGTCAAAATTTCCGTCAAATAAGCAAAAAGATATAATTGACCAGCTATTTTTCCTCACTTATCTCACAAAACTCACTTCAACTTAGAAAGATGCGGATGTGCAATATTGAAATTGATGCATCCATTTGCAGTTATCATAAATGTTGATTCTTATTTGGGTTATGTGCTTACATTTTCATTAGTTTTGTTATTAATAAATACTGATTTTACATTAGAATATACATATATCTATCATGCATTTAAATATGCGCCTCATATGACGCCATATAACGATTGAAAATCTTCCGCTTCGCACCTTCATTTTTTTACTTTACTAAATCGAAATTCCCTTCCCATTACACGGCAACCGTCAGGAATGGAACTAGTGCGCTGGTCGGATGTCTGAATATTATTATTTGTAATAGTCACCGTGACTACTATACCTAAGTGCCTGATATCACTTGGGGTTTTCCGTTTACATCTCAAATTTATAATTTTCTCTCAGTATATTTGTTTCTATGTAAAGTAAACAAGAAGAAAACCACACAATGCATGAGCTGCAGCATCACAATAAGGAGGCATAATAACATCTTGAAATTGGTAAGTTGGTTGGTGCCGTTGTAAGCTTCTTAAAATGGAGAATGTGAGTTTTTTCTTTTTTCACTGTGCTTTTTCAGGGTTTGAAACCTACTAGCTGTTTTGATATGGGAGGTTGAGGTAGATCAGATCAAGATTAACACTGGGCCGGTAGGCCCTGTTTCACAACCGCTGCCAGTGCGCTGCCAGCACATTTTGTGAGCTGACGTCACAGAGTGTGGAAATGTGGGAGCTGCAAGTTTGTTGATGCCTCCATGGAAACCCAATTTGACACATGCGCTGGCAGCACACTGGCAGCGGCCATGAAACGGCTCTGTATGGGCAGATAGGTACCTAGTACTCAAAAGGGGTCTTACGAACAACTGGATAAAATCAGCTGGCTGGCGACGTACGATAGCTATATTGCTTATTGCTATAAACACGGTACCTAGAAGATGGACATGAACACGTTAAATGGCACTCACAGAAAAATGAATGGGTTGATATTTAGTTGTTTATATCTAGCTTTTATTTATAACAAGCTCTGCTAGCGCCACCATACTGCTCCAGCTGGCAAATAATCCAGAAAATAGTAGGACCCCCAAAAGCGTGAGGCCATTGACTGTGACTGCTTATCACTTTTTACCATTGATAATATGGTTAAATTAGTAAGTAAGCATTGACTAGGCGAATTTGGTAACAGGTATTTTAAGAATTAATCCAAATGGGGGCATATTACAAAATGTTCAACCCTAGGTAGTACTACAGGACATTCCAAACTCACATGGTTTATGCTTGTATCTATTGGTTATAACAGGCAACTCCATTTTCCCATAATGAAATGTACTTAAGCACTGCAACTAAGAGCATTGCTACACTTGAGAGAAAGTTGATGTCACAAGTGTCTTGATCTTGAAGGAGATATTATTTCTTGCTTACCTATAAATTATAATTGGATATGTTGTTTGTGTCAGGTCACAGGTGCCCAGGAATGGTAGAGAATTGCAAGATGGGTATAGGGGAAAGCTATCTTATATGTTTCCCCTATACCTTCCTACATATAAAACAATGTTCATAATGCACATAGTGCAAAAAAGCATCGCAAAAAAGAATACCTTGTGACAGGCAAATTTGAGAATTAAAGAGAAGTTAAAACACTTTTTAACCCGCGCCCTGCTGGGGGGGGGTGTTTGAACACCCCCCCCCCCCTGTGGTTTTTCGCGAATATCTCAAAAACGGCGGCGCGGAGCGCCGCCGTTTTTGGTACACCTTATCATACATCAATTCTACACATGTTGTGAAAATTTCAGACCAAGGTCATTCAAGGTCAGGTCACCAGGTCACTCGAAGTGACCTCACCTCATAAAAAGTTTCAATGTCTGTCATAGCTACACCGAGTGACCGATCGCTTTGAAACTTTCAGCGATTGCTAAGAGCATTAGCATGTACAAAATGTATATCTCAGAATTTTGATATCGATGACCTAAGGTCAGGTCAATTTTGCGACCTCACCATTATAAGTCAATGGGAGAAAATTGAAATGCGCCTGTTTTGGACGAAAGACATTATAAACACTCCCAAACACTGAATTACAAGTGGTTTAGACACACTGAACATGAAAATGGTGTCTGTGACCCCTGTTTATGCCCTGAGGTCATCTTAGGTCACGAATGGTATCTAATAGTTTTTCGCAAATAACTTTTGATAGAGGCATGCTAGAGCGATGAAAACGCCTTTGATGTGTTCAGCTCGACGATACGGATCGACTGATATGCAACATGACCCTTTCCGGTCAGGTCATGACCTTGACCTGAGGTCAAATTTTCAAGTTGACCTTTCAAGGTCAAATTATAGTTCGTTCGATGCGTCTTGACGAGAGGAACACGATGCCGGTAAAAGTAAGCTCGTACAATGCTTGGGTCAAAAGTTATTGCAGAAAAACTGTTTCCGAAAAAATCGGCTATTTTTGCAGTTTTTGCCCCCTGCAGGCAAAACCGTTGACGTTAGGTCAAATCTGAGAAAATTACTCAGAAAGGGCGTTAATAGGGCTATCGAATGCGCTTTTCCGCGGCGCTGTAGCTCTATTGGTTCCCGAGTTATGCGTTGGCTTCTTGGAAATTTTCGACATTCGACCTGGAAATCGGCGAAAATTTGCCTTCAATGACCTCTGGTGACCTGACCTTTGACCTGACCAAAAAATTGACCGAAGTGATTTCCTCATTATTTTTGACGCTCTTTCGAACGCCGCCTTCCGCGTATCGCTACGTGGCCCAGGAGCCGAGTTAGAAGGGGGGGTGTTCAAACACCCCCCCCCCAGCAGGGCGTGGAAATCCAGGACCCCCAGCCGGGCGCGGGTTAAAGGAATAAATGGCCTTTTGTAGTAAGGTTATAATAAGGTGTTTCTCAGAAACATTGAGAAATGTGAATTTCAGCTTAGGTGCTCATTCATTGCTCAAATCCTTCCCTTAATTTCACAGTGCTATTTTCTTTAAGTCTTTTTATGCTGCCAAATTCACAGATTTAATTTGACAGTTTTGAAATGAGACAATGTTAGCTTATAGCTGTGCCCTTGTTAAAGTTACACACATTGTCACCATGCATTGAACATAATTAATTGCATGCACTTTCTGTTCTTTTTTTTCAGGGTCGCCTATGCTCCTCTCTCTCCAGTAAACTCTGAGTGGCACCATCTCTCTCCCGTCCCCCGCCGAGCTGCACCCCTCCCCCTCTCCCCCCACCTCCTCCCTCTCCTCCCGCTCCACTCCCAGCTCCCTCTCTCCGCCCTCCTCCGCCCCTCCCTCTCCCTCCGCCGGCGCCATGCGGGACCCGCCCCTCCCCCCATACCTGGACCGCGGCGACGGCCACAACCGCTGCTGCCAGCGCCGCTTCTGGTGCATCGCCGATGTATGCGGCGTGCTCTGTGTTCTCATCACCTGGCTGCTGATCGGATACGCCGAGTACGTGGTCATGATGATCCTGCTGTCGTGGCCGCACTCTGTGATGCGGGGCATCCACCTGGTGCTCTACAACACCCTCACCGTGCTGGCCTTCTCGAGCCACGCGCGCACCATGCTCACTGACCCGGTAAGGCCGCAGCGGGCAGCAGAGGGGTGCGGGGAAGGTCTCAATGGAATCATCATTTGAGGAGAAGGGAGGAGAGAAAATAGTATTGCTGGGAAAATGACTGAGAATCAAGGAAGCTATATGAGATTTTATTCACATTGAGTTCTAGGGTGATGAGATTTTGGTTGCATGTTGCTCATTTCAAATGAGTAATAAATGATAACATTGTCAGCCATCAGGATTGACTATCAGTGACTGCCTCGTTGCCGCTGTGTTGACTGATTGGCCAACTCTCTCTGGAGCTGATGTTTGTGTGTTCTGTGTGGTTGTTGACAGGGCGCTGTTCCGCGCGGTAACGCCACGAAAGAGCATATGCAGTGGATCACCAGTCAGGAGGGAGGCGTCGTCTATAAGGTTAGAGGGATGGAGGGATGGATATAAAGAGGTAGGGAGAGAGGGGTGAGAGGGAGGAAGGAATGAGTGAGAAAGAGAGGGAGAAAAAGAAAGAGGGAAGGAGAGCAAGAGGGTGAGAGACATTGTGAGGAAGCTGACTGATAATGTAACTTGTAAGAGTAAATAAGTCGAATTAATAGGGATAAAGATACTGATTTTCTAGCATAATCCACCAGACAGTCACATCATGCCGTTTGCCTAGTAAGCCAAAAATCGTTTTTCACCCCACAATCGAAACTGCTGCTGACATGACCCGCTTCTCTCCCCGCCTTCCACAGTGTCCCAAGTGTTGGAGCATCAAGCCAGAGCGGGCCCACCACTGTTCCGTGTGTCAGCGCTGTATCCGCAAAATGGACCACCACTGTCCGTGGGTCAACAACTGTGTCGGCGAAAACAACCAGAAGTTCTTCGTGCTGTTCACGGTGAGCGAGGAATGGTGGTGTTTGAGGAAATGGGAAGGTACAGCCCACCGCTAAAGTAATGTAGGGTTTTACCAATCTCAACGGTTGGCTTTGACTGGCGATTGTTTAATGCGGAGTGATCGAAAAGAAGATATCAATAGCTAAAGCTGCAGCTGCAAGGGTGACGATACATATAAGCTACATTCAAAGTTTCATTGTAGTCTGGCTAATCGTTCCTAAGCTTCAGAAGCAGAACATACCCATGACTGAAACCCCACATTACTTCTGCTGTGGACTGTACATTGGGGTGAGCGGTAGAATAGCGGGAATACTGGTGCGGGAACTTAAGTCTTCATGAGCATGCTTTCAAAAGATGACGTAAATAACTACATGTGTTTTTCTCAAACATTATGGCATAGGGCGGTTACTGCCCTTTATTACTACCCACTGTGCGCATAACTATATGTGTTTTCCCAGCCCCGGTCGGGAATATATATTCCTATGTCGTCTTGCAATTTATTGGCCACCGGCATTAGCAGAGTTCGGCCGGTTTCTCTTGTATGGCGTAGTTAGGTCGCCGCCCTACTCGCGAGGCCAATAACGTATGTTGAGGCCGCTAAAAAAGCAAGTGACCATGCCCTTGAGTGGTTCCATATCGCCGTAATACCAGCATTGTTTGGGGTGACATGCATTACGGCTTAACCCAAATATTTGACCTGAATGCCAACTCTCCGCCGCACCCTGCGTCGACTGTCAACTCCGAACCCCACAAATCCCGTCCGTGCCCGGCCTGATCAATGTCGGCACGGCCGCCGTTTGCCACGCCGCCTGACCGTCACGGGGAATTCGACTTGGGTCGGTGGGTCCCACTGCCGCCTTTACGGTCCGGCCCGGACGGAGCTGTAAAATTTAACCAACTGCCGTCCGCGCCCGTCCTTATGGTCGTGGGCGGCTGGAGGGGGAGGGGCTGGGCGTCATGGATCGAACTGGACCACTTCGGTGGAGCGGCATCACTCGATAGGGGCGGGGGGGGGTAACGGTGCGATAGGGTAGATTGGCTGGCTAGTGGCGCGTTGCCTGGACCATGGATAGTCAGATAATGAGGGATCCGAAGCTGCTCTTAATGGTCGCTCTATATTATGTTCGATATTTCCCAAAGTGGAAATCCTAGCCTGGATGTGCACTTGATTTGACATTTAGTCTTTGGCTCGGTTCTAGATGATTCCCCTAGCAATATAATGTATCAAAAAAAATTGGTTTGATTCGTGTAGTCTCAGGGACTGGATGCCTGACGCGCGCTAATGATGTTAGTCGAGGCACCTTTTATCGCAAATCATCGTTAATATCCGCAGATTGTCATGTTTTTGCCACCAAACACCACCATGCAGAAGTGGATTCATAGCATGCGATCGTGTCCCCTATGAACCGTCGACCAGAAACCTTTATCAGGCACATTGATGGCCTTTATCAGTGTTTATGGACGCCCTTATTGAGGCAGATAACCGCCGTCATCGGAATGGCATGCATCCGACAAGAATTATTGATGTTCTTTACCCCCACGACATCGCTGTTTCATTCCATATTGATATTATGCCATCGTCCCTCCAGTCCTGTCAATTGTCCTAGTTGGTATGTTTTACAAAACGGATGTATGAGTGCAATATTGCTGGCACCCTCTTTCGGCTCAGTGAGGTGGCTTTATGCCGCCTGCTAACGCATCAGCAGCGCTCGGACTCTGTAGTTTTTCTGCTGCGGCTTGTCCCGATAACGAGTGCTCTTTCCGTGTGATTGGAGCGCTCACGCCGGCTCGTATTACGCACCGAGTATCCGCCGACGGCTGATCGATGGTACTTGCCTGGAGTGTGATCAATAACGTCTGCCGCCCGACGCCGCTCGCCCCGGCGACGATTATGAGCGGCCGACTGACGCGGATAGGGGTCAAGTTGACAATACCAGCTCAGTGAACCCTAATAACCCGGCACAGTGCTGGATTTATATGTTTTTCGTCGCAGTATGCTGATAGCTGTATCTTTCTAGGTCACAATTACTGTCAACTGCGCATAATTTAATTATATCTTTAGATCGGGACCCATCACCCAGTTGTTGTTGTTAACCACTGATATTCATCGCTAGCAACCAGGACTTTGCACAGCATGATGAAAGGGCCTCTATCCCTGTTCTGTTCGTACTACTAGCGCCACTTTCGTCTAATAGCACCCGTTCCACGTCGCCCGTTTCTCCTGCCATCACCGTGTCCCCGTCTGTCTCTCCACAGTTCTACATCGCCTCCATCTCGGTTCACGCGCTAATCCTGGCCGTGAACCAGTTCGTCTCCTGCTTCCACACCGAGTGGAAGGAGTGCAGCATCCACACGCCGCCGGCAACCGTCATCCTGCTGCTGTTTCTCATCTTTGAGGGCGCGCTGTTCGGCATTTTCACGCTGGTGATGCTGTGCAGTCAGGTGCAGGCCATCTGGACCGATGAGACGGTGAGTGGTCGGGTGAGGGATGGATGAGGGACTAAGGGACTGACTGAGGGGTTATGAGACTGGCTGAGGGACGGAGGGACTGACTGAGGGACTGCGGGATGGCTGAGTAATTTCGGGACAGACTGAGGGTCATGGGACTGACTAAGGGGCTTTGGGGCAGGCTGAAGGATTACGAGACTAGCTTACTGTTAACGCCAGACCCCTTGAGACCCTAATTTTTCGCGATTACTTTTAAATGCGTGAAGGAATTTCAACCAAGCTCAGGACATGGCCGTTTCAACACAGGCCGAAACTTTTACAATTTAGATATTTTATCGCCATTTCAATATTTCAGGCACTTGTCATTGACTCGTAATGTTAAATTTCGAGCAAGATTTTCATCCGGTGTGTAGAGGCTATCACCAGTCAGTCTGTGATACGTTATGACGTCACAGCTAAGCCCCGCCTCTGTGGTCTTGGCCTGCGGCGGTTTCGGGCCGGCGCGCGGTCACTCTCGCTGTGGCGGGGAGCGGGGACGGGCGACGGGCGAGCGGTGCCGAAAGCCGGCGGAGTTGTGCGTAGCGTCTTGGCTGACAGTGCCCAGAGAGCGACATGATGACAAAGGAGTCATAAATGCTCATTGCGCATTGCTTCTACAATGCGCACTGAGCATCCACCACTCAATGCGCATCCACCACTCATGTTCGCTGATATATATATATATATATTTTTTATAAGCTGCAAATGACGGGCAGATGGCATATAACTGACATAAGGTTAGGAAATATTCACCTGTATTTAAAGCCTATGGCGTTGCAGATAATGCGATAATGGGATGTCGGATGTCACCAAGTAGCTGCCGATTTGTACATCGCTATGCAACCATCGAACAACGCAATAATAAGTTAATTGCCTGAGCTTCACATCATACGGCTCGCTCGTATTTCAAACAGATACCCTACATCGAAAATCGTATTTGTTAGGAATCGTTAACGTTTGTTCGAAGCACGACTGAGTAGTAGGTTGAGGAGTGATGGTCCTCTTGGTCCTATATGTATACAAGAGTCAACAAGAGCCTAACATTTACTTGACCGTCTGCTGCAATTGACTCATAGCACGTGAAGCGTCAGCGAAATTCATAGTCCTTCACAGATGGCAGGGGTGTCGTTTGTACAGAGGTCGCTGATGGGCACGGGTCAATGCCGCAGTCGTGGGCGGAGCCTAATGTCTGACGTAGAAAGCCTCTATCCAGGATGGAAAAACAGTTAACATTACGAGTCAATGACAAGTGCCTGAAATATTGAAATGGCGATAAAATATCTAAATTGTAAAAGTTTCGGCCTGTGTTGAAACGGCCATGTCCTGAGCTTGGTTGAAATTCCTTCACGCATTTAAAAGTAATCGCGAAAAATTAGGGTCTCAAGGGGTCTGGCGTTAACAGTAGGTACTCACTGGAGGACAGAGGATGATGATTGGTCTGTGAGGAACCAGCTGAATGACTCTCTGACCTGTCTTTTATCTTTTGCTGTATCGGGCATGGCTGACTGCTAAAGTTCTCCTGGTTTGCTATTTTATCTTGAACTGACAGAGATAGTTGGTCAGATTGCGCAGGTTGAAGTTGGATGTAGGAAGATTGTTTTAAACGATTCGTTTATCGCGTAGGTTAGGTTAAAGTTTGCAGTTTCACTCAGCTATCAGCCGTCAACTTTGCGGAAGGCTGATGCTATCGATTTTAGCTGTCTGGTTTATGTGACCCATCTGGTCGTCCTGTCATTCTATCTGACCCCGCATGCCATTTGACCCTCCCTCTGCTCTCTCCCACCCCTTTCATGGTATTCAGATGCCTCCAACGCTCCCCTGACCCCTTCCACTCTCCCTCTGTCTTCACAGGGCATCGAGGCGCTCAAGGGCGAGGAGGTGCGCTGGCGGCGCCAGCAGCGCTGGAAGAGTATGCGCGCCGTGTTCGGCCGCACGTGGCACCACTGGTTCTCGCCTTTCACGCGGCCGGTGCTGTCGGGAGGCGGCGGCGGCCTGCGGCACGTGTACCCCGTGTGAGCTCAGGGGCCCCGGGAGCCGCCGGTAGGTGCTGCGGCGGCACCACGGCACCGCTCTGGTGGACGGGAGAGAGGTGGCGGGCTGGGTATTTAGCACCGCCGGTGGACGCGCCAGGGCCTGGGTGCGGTTTGGGAGGGTTTAGAGGTGATGGTCCGCTGGACGGTTTTGGGGCTTGGGTGCGGTAGGTTTGTTTGGGGAAATCGCCGGTGTTGGCCCAGGTCTAGTTGATTATTTACTTTGCTGGGCTGCATGAGTTTCTGTGTTGTCCATGGATAGTGGTCTGAGAAAATCTGCTTTGATTCAAGGTGGGTTTCGACTTACAAGGGATTCTTACATGATTGGTGTTGATGATGATGGATTGTTGCTTTGAGTGTGGTGTTTGGTGTTTGAGTTGGTTAGCCGGGTGAAATGTGGTGCGGGGTTTGAAATTCCGTCTCTCCCGTGTTTGTCCCGTGTTTGGTTGTAAGTCGGTGGTGGTGATGTCCGTTCACTGGTGGTGGCTGTACTGGTCTTTTACTGAGCAAATGGATGTGATATGTAAGAGGCAGAAGCACGACTGTGTCATTGAGCTAGTTGATGATTGTCAAATATTTCAAATCAAAATTGTTCGTATGTCGGTTAATTATTGGGAGCGATGCTCACCCAGTATGCTTTTTGCGTTATTTAGCCACCCGTTTCTCGTCGTGGACCACGTTTTAACCCCCTGTCTCTCTCTCTACCTTCTTCCCTCCCATCTCTCCTGTCTCTGGCCTACTCCGACTCCCTTTCTAATTGTCTCTCCGTCTTCCCTACCCTGGCTTCCCTACTCTGTGTCCTCCCCCTGTTTCCCCATCCTTCTTTTCCCACCGTTAATCCCAGTCAGCCGGACCGACTCCCCTTCTGACCCACAGACCAACGGGCGCTACCCCGCACGGCGACTCAGTCAGACTACTTGACTCCGGCTCCATCGACTCGAACGACTCTACCGACTCCGAGTCAGTGGCGGCCGAGATGGAGAGACGCACTCAGTCGATGGGAGATATGCCTGTTTGATTCGCCCCCGCCGCCGCCGCCGCCGCCGCCGCCGCCGGCGCCACCGCCAGCTCAAGCGTCCAACTCTGCTTGTTATGGTCACAGAGGTGGGTGTCCAGTAGGGACCGGGGACTTATCACCCACCGTGCGTTCGTCTATCGTCGCCCCCATCACTGCGATCGCATCTCTTCGTGGATAGACGGTACACAGTCACGTGGAGAGGTTGCAGTGTATGAAGTGGGATGAAGGCGGAGTGGGCAGGGCTGAGAGTTCAGTCGGTGGTGAAGTGTGGTTGCGAGGACTCCCAGTCTGATGTGTTGTTGCGAGGACACTGGAGATGGAACAGACAGAGGCGTTTGGTGGGTGGCGCGCTCCGGTAGCAATGCTGGCGAGATTATGCTTTAATATGTATTCATGGCTTAGTTATTCAGTGGATAATCGGCACGAAGGGTGAGAGGGGAGAGAGAGAGAGAGAGAGAGAGAGAGAGAGAGAGAGAGAGAGAGAGAGAGAGAGAGAGTCGGCACAGCGGTCGCTCTTGCGAAGACTGTCTGCTCCTCTAGATCAGCAGCGGTGACAGACACACCGACGCCACCTTGCGTTTCCCTTGTGACGGTCGGAGAGGACAGACTCCGGCGCTGGCATCGCGCACGGGCTGCTCCTAACTCTAGACACTGTCCCACTGTGGTGGAAAGGGCGAGAGAGGGGTTAACACAGAGCAATGCGAGTGGTAGATCCGTATCGCTGGCGGCCGCGTCATCAAGACTCTGCTGCGCGGGTGGCGAAGACAACAGACAGAAGTGGTGGTAGGGATATCGGACCTGGCCGCAAGGGTAGTGTCTGAAGTCTGACCGGTGCTGGGGCTAGCCGAGCCGCAGTCGACAGTGGGTGAGGATCAGCCCGTCACCCTGAGGGATACGAAGCCGTGCGGTGGGACTGGTAAATCCAGAGATGTGTTTCGTGTGTGCGTCTCATCGCTGATCATGGTTTTGTTTTACGCGTTTCGTGTCAGTGTTTTGTTGCGTCAATGTGTGAGAATGTGTCGCTTGTTGGTGTAATACTTTGAAGCTATTTCTCCTAATGGAAGTGGATGACCCATGAGAAACATTCAGCACTGCTGGCATTGATAGTGAATTCAACTACAGATTACCAAATGGCCGAAGCAATCAGCTGCTGCTTGAGTGTTCCCCCAATGACCGTGTATTTTTATGTTTTAACTTATCAGTGACTGATAGCTGTTCTGTCTCTGTTGTTGTCGATCTGCTTTCTTCGTTTAGTATTCGGAAGGAAAAGCGTTGTTGTTATTGAGTATTCGAAAGGAAAAGCGTCGTTACTGTTGGATTTGCGCAGCAGGAAACGCAGGATAATATTGCTGGTGAGCTACTCCACCAATCGTCGCTCCCAAAAAGTAAATGTCTGTTTATATTGTAGCTTTCTGTCACAAAGTTTCCCAACAAAGACGGCAAAAAGATTTACGTAACATATCAGCCGCAAGACTTAGTACTCAAGTTAACAGCCAAATGCTAAAATCTAGATAATAAACGGTGCTGTATTCTGACGTGTTAAGTTGGTCATGGACGAATGCTCAATGGTGAACTGTAATCTGACGGGAGCTAAATTGCTAATAGTTGTATCGCGATATGTCGTCTATCGTGGCTCAGGAAGCCCTAGAACAAATGCGGGGCGATGTGCAAGCTGTTTGACGAATTTGTATTTGCATGCTTAGTTGGCAATAGCGTGTGATTTTCTTCGTTCTCGCCACAGTTTACATTGTCGCTGCGGCGAGGTGTGCATTGTGATTCGTGCTGGCTTGAAAGTTACTGTATCGCTCTATCTTTCTACTACCGTGTGTGCGCCTTTTTGAATGGCCTCAGTAATGCTGGCAGGCGACGCCTGATTTTCTAACCTCTGTAGATTGCGCCGCACCACTTTCTCCTTCGCAAACCGATTCGAGAAACTCGTCAGCTGGTAGCGGACACACTTTACCAGGCGTTCTCCGTGTAATGTGAAGCTGAAGCACGACACTGTTGCTTGTTGGTACACACCAGAGCGGGATGAGTGTCGAGTCGATACTCTGGCCTGATGCCGGGATCGAGGCTTCATGTTTCTGTTGATGTGTCTCACAATGTCGCCACAACCGGCACCTAGCGATGGCTGGGGTTTACATTCCATTGATGACGTTACTCAGCAAATGTGTAATCACTGCACGCTGGTGTGCGTGTGTGCGTGTCAGGTTTGCGCCCTGTTCGTGTGTTACCGCGGGATGTTTGTGTGTCTGTCTGTGTGTGTATGTGCCCCGATCTCCGGCTGATTGCCGTGGTCCTTACGTCACTGTTATGTCACTGCGTCACTTGTGTGTCTGCCCGTTTGTCGGCTCACGACCGTTTTCTCTGCACGTCGCCTGGAGTTCACTCGACTGGCAATATATGTGATACGCCGCTGCTATAAATGTGTTTGCAATGCATACATGGATGAAATGTGAGAGGGTGAGGAATAACATTTTGATGACAGTATAAAATGTGTCACTAGTGCACATACTTGCGAGTTGCGAAGAACCAGGGTATGAATGGGATTGAAAAGATCGGAGTATATTTTCGTCCCTGTACTGTACGCCAGTACCTACATACTGACCGCAATGACATTCTTTTGCACTTTAGGGGCGCGAATGCGTTACATTAAAGGTAGTGTGCCAGCTTTCTTGGACCGTATGGAGTTAATGGCCCAGATAAGGAGAACCGGATTTTTAGAACTTATCCATACCTTCAAAACTCATGGAAACGTCTTAAATTCTTCAAATTTTGAGTACCCCAGTGCGAAATTCGCCCCGACGGGTTGTCGGTCGTACCCCAACCACATTTCACACCACTATGAACAATAAATGCACACACTGAAATCGCTATTACCGATATGCTCATCCAATCAAGTTTCGATAAACCCGTTCATCATCATCTCCTGCGGTTTCGAACACGCCTGTTAGGTGGCTTCTGATGCTCGTCGAGGTCGGAATTTCCAAATACGCGTGGTGCGTCGGGCCGCGCGCTCTGACTTCGGCCAAGAAAAATGCGTCAGCTGATCATTGTCATTTCTGCCACTTGCGTGTGGTGAAATGGGGTCATAACTTATAAGACGGCTTTTTCATATCAATTATTTTACATAAAATCAGATTTCAAACCATAAATAATGTTCGACAGCCAAATAAAAGAAACAATACCAATACGGGCTTACAGTTTAAGGCTCGACATTGTGTTGTCTACGATTAGACAGCTGATAACTCATTCCCGTACGTCGTATGGTCGTAACACTATAATGACCTTTGCTTATTGTCACAAGTGCGCCGCATTCGCGATTGTTGCCCGACGCCTGTTTGCAGGTGAGCCCACTACAGTTGTTATACATATCTAAAAACCGAAAAACTTTTAGGCGAAAAAGGCACTATTCCAGGCCCATTTTTGATTTTTTTTTGCGATATTAGGTAAAAACAGAAGCTTCTTATCCTAGGAAAAATAAAATGGGAAATCTTTCAAAGGTGGCACACTACCTTTAAGCGCTAGTGTGTGCGAATCAGCAATACCAATAATATCATCAATCATGATGCAGAGGATTAATAAATGGATGCCTTTCTTCTGAGCGAGACATGAAAACCAAAGCAGCTGCGTCCTAGGCATGCATGAATCTAAACTCAAAACGGCTACCTTTAATCGACAGTTCAATAATTGTCGGGTAAATCGTCAGTCGAAATCAAACTACTGACTTAAAAATGTTCCTCGCAAGTGCGTTTCGTACAGTAATGCGGCTGGGTTATCGGCCAATGCGTACTTGCAGTCTCTGCGAGAGCCTACTACGGCCGCAGATCAAACGCCTGAAAGTTAGGCTGTGCCGCAGCGCCTGGCGGCCGAGCGGAACAGTATCCTTGGCTTGGCACAGATAAACGGGAAATGCCTGCAAATGCGTTTCCGTCGTCTGAAGCCCAACTGATCAGTCCTGGATGACTGCAATGAGGACAACTCGCATCAGATTGCAAATACTTCGCGCGAATTGTTACATTTGACTTGAGAAACTTTGGAGAGCTATAAGCTGTTGCCACCTTCCTATACCTACCTATTGCACCGCCTTAAATTCGCCAATGTTTGCGCTATTTTGTGCCTATCAACGATTATTGGACTGAAAGGCTATATCTTCTTTTATTTGATTAGGACAAAATGAGTTGGTGATATATAACAATGGAATTATGTCAATGAAATACCTATTTATCATCACCGCCATGTTGGTAAAATTACCCATGAAAATTTTCAGAATGCCTAACGTTAGTTGATTTTCGCAACACTTCGTTTTCAAAAACAAAACATTAGACTTCAGACTTGTATTATTGGACAAACAAAATAAATGATAAATCAACATACTAAGGAATGCGAATGAAGCAGAAGTCGAGACCGGTCAGTTGTAGAACGGTTTTGACGGTCATTATTCCGGCCACGGATGTGACGATGGGATGGCGGCGGGCGAATACGTGGAGCGAGGCCAGCCACTGAGCAGCCAGGCCGGCAGGAGTTGAAGCCGTGGACGTGTACTGCTCCTGTGGCTGACCCTCGGTCGGCGCCGCCTGCCGACTGCCCCAGCTCAGCTGGGAGAAATGCCTCCGTTAGGAAAAAAGCAACAACAGGGAACGTCATGGCACGCACACGGGATCCACACACAATGAAACTCCGTCAGGATAATTATTTTTGCAATGGACCTGGCTTAAATGTCATTTAATTTCCCGTCAATTTAAGATTCTCATATTTAACCAACTCAGTCACTGCGTTCAAAATTTTGCAATGCGACGATCTGGTAACCGCCTGTCATTATTGTGGCTGAAAGGTCTTCCGCTTCCACATGCCTGCTTGACGCCCAAAGCTATATTATTTGGACTCAGGCATCGGTAAAATCCTTTTTGAAAGGATTGCATTCCCAATCCACATTCCTAGTGCCGAAGTGGATTGCATTCCTACCCGCAATCCCCTTTTTTCACTTGGATTGTGATCAAATCCGCAATCCTTTTTTGCAATCCTGTTGTATTATTATGTGCACTAGTGGATCTGGGGGAGGGAGGGGGGCATAGGGCCGTGCTTCCATCCCCAAATCACCCATTTCTAGTACCTAGTATTGCGAGTAATTCCTATCTAAGGCACAGGTATTTTATGGGAAATATTTTTGCCTTAAACACCCCCACATTTAAACTTCTACCCAACCACTGTTTTATATTTTTAAAACTCACCCTCAAATACGTAATTTTGCCCTTCCTATGTAGTTCATCAGCGTATATTATTTTGAGCGTTTAAATTAAAAGCGTTTAAATTATTTCAAGTTTCGATATAAAGCCCTTGATAGCAAAGTAGGTACATTAGGCCGATGAAGCCGATCTCATAATTTTCAATCGCAACAAACCATTTCAAAGCACTAATCAAACGCAATCCGGATTGGATTGCAAAAATTGGAAGTATGATGCAATCCAATCCGCAATCAAATCCTGTTTTTTGGAATGGATTTCAAATCCAGGTGCAATCCACCAAAAAGGAATGCAATCAGGATTTTGCAATCCTGCAATCACAATCCTACCGATGCCTGTTTGGACTGAAATATCTAACATCTAAGCGGGGCTAACCGACTCACCCAGCTCTTGGCAGCCGGCTTGATTGGAGCCAACACAGGTGCGTTTTCGTAGCTCGAGACGGCTCCACTCTCGGGGGCTGAAGCGACGGTGGGTCCCAGGTCTCCAGACAGGTCTTGCCGGGCTGCCTTTGATGCCTTGCTTCGCTTGCGAGGAGGCATTTTTCTTAAATCGAGTTAAATAACTGAAGTGTGAAGTGTTATATGAAAGAAATGTTATATGAATAAAGTGACTTACCAAAACGTAAAAGGTTAAAAAACAAAATGTTACAAGCCCTCCTAAAATTTTGTGTTTTGTAAATAACAATTATCTGTCCTTTGAAAAGAGCGTGCGTCTTTCTCGTGCCAAATGTAAATAAACGCTTTCACTTTACTGCATACATGACAATATCCAGATCCAGACGTTTTTGACACGTTAACTTCTGACGAGCAAAGCACATTGCTTTAGTGCAAATCAAAGGAAGCCTTAATATTGTTTCCGTATTTTTTTCTGTAGCAGTCAGCATCTAAGAAATGACAAACTGCACGCGTTTGTTGCGTTTTGGGATAGATAGCTTTCCTGTGCTCTTGTGCAAGGGTTGCTAGTGCTACGTTAGATTTGAGCTACATTTTGAAACAGTTTTACCATAGTGTAATAAATAACTTATTATTACACGATGGTTACACCTGAATAAAATAAAAAGCACGAAACATAGTTTATGTTTAAAACATAAACCTACATACCTGAACTCTGTGAACCAAGCATATAAGTACGCCACTTTAAACAATCAGCAGAAAATGATAGTAGAACTGTGTGTTGAACATACTGTACGTTTGAACGTTTCTTGTTGCAATGCCATATTTCCGCAGTCTGTTGACCTGACCTGAGGTCACCAAGCTTACAATATTAAATTCACTGTTTTGATGCTTACTTCGAAAGCTTTAGGAAATTATCATCGGAATCCCTGGCAGGGCGATGTAAAGACATTCCCTATTTACATCCATCATCCTCGATGTTTTAAATGCGTACCTATTTATTCCGAAGCCTCGAACGAGTCATGTGTTCATGTTTTACAGAAGCTGACACACTATCTTACACGTAGGTAATACAGCCGGTTTTGGGCTGTGCCGTTTCCCATAAATCCTCGTGAACTCGGGTTTAAAATTGGTTGTGAACGTTTATTAATTATCACTGCTATAAGTGAACTGTAATTTAGAATATTAGCAGAGTGCCATGGTCTCAGGAAGCATAGTGATCTATTGCATTATAAATCAATTTATAAACACCACGTAGACACCTGTATGACGATAAGGTTTTTATGCCAGGAATAGTTTGCTCGTGTTCAATAAAGGAAATTGGATGTTCAATTCCAGACGTTCTCAAGAAAGGTGCTTGACCGTCAAATGCTCGCGACATCGCGCGGCATCGGCCTAAATGCAGAAAAGCCTGTGACGCTTAAGTTCATTTTAGTGTCATAAAATTTCAAGTCAATATAAAAAAGCCTTTTGAAATCCAAATTTTAGTAAAGCTGCGTTTAAATTACCTATCTGAGGTTACTATAAACGGTATCTAAAGAACTAGGCAATCTTCAATATCCCGCGAGCGAACTCTGCAAAATGCCCTGTCGCGAAAAATGCCCGAGAGCTTCAAGCAGCGATTGTGTGCCACAATGCTCTACCGGGGCTTCACATTGCGATTCCGAGCCATCCTATTTCAGTATGGTGGTTGATGCAGCCTCCTCGATGCTTCAAGGCATCGGCCTTGTAGTAAGTACCTATTTATGTGTGCATAAGTGTTTATGATTTTTGTTGCTAGTTGACTTAGGCACATACCTATTTATATTTTTGATAACCTCGTTCTTTTATCTGAATAGGTGTTTAATTGTTGTATATGTATGTTTAAACAAATAATTTCGGAAGTTTTCGATTTATCGAGTCCAGGTGTTCATCGTTTTCACGGCGCACTTTCACCGTTCTCAGGCGGAGCGTTTCGTGTCGTGGTCGCCGCAGGAGCCGTGTCCCTCCGAGCCGCCCACCCCAGCCGTTCGCTCGTCGTCCTGTCCTCCTGCCGCTCTGCCGACCTGTCCTCCCGCCACTCTGCCGGCCTGCTCTCCGTCCCCCTGCGAGTCGCCTCGGCCATGCCCGCCGCCCAAGCCGCAGTCGTGCACCCTGTCAGAATCGCCGCAACGCAGGAAGCGCCGGCAGCGACGCTCCCGGCCCCACCCCGTCGCCAGGCCGCTCAAGAGCTGCTCCAAAGGGCAGTGATGACGTGGTTGGACAACGGTTCTGCGTCAACCAGCTGTGTGACGATGATCTATGGCTGTTTCAGGAATTTGCATGCCAAACTGGATTTTTTAATTTCGCCCTTATAGAGATGTGAGCGATTCAGGATAAATTTTCATAAATTAATTTGTAGATATCTAACGCCTCTTTATTTCGTGCACCCACACTTTCGACATATATTGGTTTCAAATCACAACGTGAAATATCCCACTGTGAATATACACTTTATAAACACCTGTCTTTATCTGGCTTCAGTTAGTCTTGAGTATCTTTCAGTTAACAGTCAATCAAAACCCAGAGCTTCGTCCATCTATTGACCAGGCCGAAGGTAACAAATACAGCAATACGAATGAGTAATAATGGACCAAACAAACCTAGGGCTTCTATCGCTGTACCTATGCTGACTATAGGGGGCCATTAGCAGTCACATTCAGAGGTAGGTAACTGTCACGAGCTGACTTGGAACTCTGCTTCAAACCCGATTTTTCCAATACTTGTAGAGGATAGCGCTTGTAGACGTAAAGCGCGTGCTTGAAACGTATTATTTCAAGTCAGCCATTTCAAAAGTTTAGTCACCAAATTAAATAAGTTGTCCGGCTTTTTGTATTTTGGCAATAAATTTTAAAGGCCATTTTTGAAATGTGAAATTTCAGCACTTAGCCAATGCAGTGACGTGTGCACCATCGCACAATTAAATTGATATCGGCATGTAAAAAATAAGTATTTGAGATATCGGCATGATTAAATTATCAGTTTTGCGCACCTGAACTTAACCCAGGAACGCCCAACTGGACATTTTTGTCCAACCGTGTCTCTCTGCAGTGCAGGGGACCCACAGCGTGCGACAGTGGAGCCATCTTTTAACAGCGGCCGGTACAAGTCGAGAAAGATCCAGCAAAACGTTTTAGAATGATTCCGAGCTTATCGGTCCAGTTTTGAGCGACACGTCGAGCAGCCAAGTCGCTCGCTGGATTTAGACCCCAAATCGCGATGACGTCACATGACGAAAGGTAAGATGTCATGGCGCTGGAGTATTAGCCAGGTAAATTAACAGTGTATTCATGTTTGGGAGACTTTGTCCCATGTTTTGATGCGCTAGCTTGTTCTCCCAGTTGCGTTGCATGATCATTAGAAAAGAAATTGCAAAATATGGACAAAATTGTCCACGTGGGCATTGCTGTGTACAAAATAGAGCTGGCTTGCACAAATGCTTATTTGGTATTATCTGTTACAGCACTTTCAATGGCTCCATTCCTGTTTCAGACACAAGACAAAGACACTGAATGATGTCCTTGACATGGTTGAAGAAGATGCCAGCGGAGATGAAGCGGACATCATCCTCATCCCTCCAGAAGGTGACGTATCTGACGGCTACTCCGGACCGGAGGACGAAGGCGAGGGCGACCCCGACCATCTTTCTGCCCCCATCCTGAAGTCTGAAGCTGAACTTCAGCGTCGCAGGAGTTCAAGGACTGAGACCACTCACCAGCCTACCGCGCGACGTCATCAAGCTCATCACACTGTGACGTGGATGAAGCCAGCGCCTTCATCGGGAAAGCCTACCAGGCTTTTCCCTGAGGCTAACTTCAGCCAGTTCTCGGGGATGAGTCCAAACGAACTGGTAACACTCTTCCTTGGTGAGGAGATCTTCGACCTCACTATCAAGGAGAGCAGCCTCTACGCTCTTCGAAACGGACGCCAAGATCCACAGCTGAGCAGGGAAGACATCGCCATCTTCATCGGCATCCTCGTCCTCACTAGCTACCTGACAGCAGTGAACACCAGGTTCTACTGGCAAGAGGCTGCGGACACTCACAATGAGCGCATATGTCAAGCCATGACGCGCAATCGCTTTGACACGATCAAGCGGAACCTCCACTTCTGCAGCGAGGAAGATCCTGCTGACCGCTACTGGAAGCTCCGTCCGCTCATCAAAATCCTGCAGGTCAAGTATATGGAGCATTTTGTTCCGCAGCAAGCTATCTCCCACGACGAGGCCATGATCGCCTACTTTGGGCGACACGGTCTGAAACAGGCGATCCGGAACAAACCGATCCGTTTCGGATTCAAGGCCTGGGCACAGAACACGCCAGACGGATATCTCCTGGCGTTCGACTTCTATCAAGGAAGGGGAGTCGCGGAGCACACTGACGACAACGTTCAGCTTGTTGGAAAGAGCGGCGCCACCGTGCTCGATCTGCTGGAGCACATGAAGCAGGAGTTCCGCGAGCTGCCCTTCCAGTTCTTCGTGGACAACTATTTCATGTCCATCCCCCTGATGCAGGAGATGACGAAGAGAGGATACGACGTGACAGGCACGATCCGGGAGAACCGCATCCCTGGCACGACTGGCCTCAGTGCGACGAAGGAGTTTAGGAAGAAGGAACGAGGCATGCACCAGGCTGTCACCAGTCGGGACGGGAACGTGATTCTCGTCAGGTGGCAAGACAATGCACCCGTCACTCTGGCCTCGACATGCTACGGCGATGTTCCCCCAGGCAAGGTGCGCCGTTACAGCCGTGTGCAGAAGCGACATGTGGAAGTTGACCGCCCTCATGTTGTCGGGAAGTACAACGAGATGATGGGCGGAACTGACAGGATGGATCAAAATGTCAACCACTGCAGGATCGCCGTCAAGGGCAAGAAGTGGTGGTGGCCGATCTTCACATGGCTTGTGGACACGGCAGTCCACAACGCCTGGCGTCTACTGCCGCGCTGGCGGCACGATGACTTATGTCCAGTTCCGTCGCGAGTACGCCTGCACCATCCTGCGACGATGGGCCAGGGGAAGCAAGCCCATGATGAACCGCAACCTTGCGGCTCCAGGATCCGAGGCCATCCGCTTCGACGGGATGGGACACATCATCATCAAGGCCCCGTCACGGGGGACCTGCCGGAATGAAGGCTGCACGGCGAAGGTGGGAACCAAGTGCGTGAAGTGTGCTGTGTTCCTGTGCGTCAACTGCTTCGCCGGCTTCCATGGCGTCGCCCAGTGAAAAGATGTTCAGGCTTCCACTGGTGGACGCCCGGCGATACCCCTGCCAAGCAGCGACAGTGCTGATGGCCCCAATTTGGGATTTGTCTCAGTTTGCTGCTTGATCTTAAATTCGTTGATTGATAATCTGGAGTGGCTGGATGTCACCGGTGTGTTGACAACATGAGCATGGAGAGCAAGTTGACAAGGAGAGCATGTTGACACTCTGGTTGATTTTTTAGAAATACACTTGCTTTTTAGCTGAATGGAGTTTTTTTACAGAAAACTTAAGTGGTCTGGTGTGGTTTGATCTAATCTTCCGCAAAGCACCATTTTTGTACATGGTAATGCCCATCTGGACATTTATGTCCAGTGCTATATGTCGAAAACTACAAAAGGTACAGTGATAATTTCTTCGGCTGTTTACAACACTAGTATAGGGGGGCAAACATGTGAATTTTCTTTGGAATCGGAAAACTTTTTTTCTCTGGGCACTGGGGGGTTAAATACATAACTCGGTGATTGCATTTTACTAAAGATTATATTGTACCTTCTACTACCAAAACGTTATCCTGAGAATAAGTGAGACATCTCATTTGATTTTTGACTTAAGTCAAGTTTTTCGTGCCGTTGAAAATGCCGTGTCGTCGAACCGTGGTGAGATGCACAAAGAAAACAATAAGTTGTCCGGTGCCTGCTCGAAGAAACTGTGAATCTTTCTTTGTCACTGCAATCCTTGGCGTGCAAAATGTGGTAAGTTAACTTTTTACGGTTAACATTTTAAGGGGAACCCTATAAGTCAACGGATGGTACTCAGACCATCCCTGATAATCCCGTCATCCAACCTTTTGCGTTGCATGCGGACCTAAGTCACCCGACGGAAATTGTTAAATGTTTCGGTTTGTTGTAACAGAAGAGGACATTTGGGTTATGTAGCCTGGGGAATATGCAGGCTGCATGCAGGTTTTATCTGGATTCACAAGCCGTTGTGGCGTTTCCAGATTCAGCGTATGATCAGCTGGTGTCCGCCCGAGTGTCCGGCCGAACCGGCTTCCTCCGCCGACTCAGACTGCGAGCCTGCAGAGGAGGTGCCCGGCTGCAACTGTCCGCCCAACCCGGCCAAATACCTGCGCCGCCTCTGGAAGATCCAGGAGAAGATCATGTGCGCTCCGGCCACCCGCGTGGTGGTAGCACTGCTCGCCTGCCGCGCACTCCTTCAGACGCTCGGCGTCAAGGTCTGCTTCATGAACTCAATGTGATTTGCTGCTCAAATCCCCACCACTCGTCATCTGTGCCGTATGATACTGATTGCTAAATTTGTGACGATTCCGACACATTTTTACGCTTTGACAGTTTTTTTTTTACTCATGATTAATCAAGTGCATTTTCGCCGCCACTTTGCAAATAATACACTAAATATTTGTTTTTCAACACGGTACGAGTCTCCTGCGCGATGGGCCCGATGCCTGTCGAGTTTCAACTCACTACGGTGGTTATAACTGTTTCATAACGAGTGATGAGCATTAAAAGTTCGTGACTGGGAGTTGAGACAGTCACAAGGAACACTGCTTTCATGACAAATATCAACGCTCAACCCCCTTTCCCACGGAAATTTCTATGTTATTGCATAGTGAATTCTTTCAATTTATTCGACTAATTTTAAGAGGTGTGAACCATCCAAACAGCACGAAAAAATTAATTGCGAAGTTTACGGTGTTGCAACAAGCAGTTTCAACCAACGCGATTAATCTGCCACCCATTTTATTGCCATGACCATAGACCTATCTATTGACTTTCTTACGACCTATTCATAACAGAAATACACAGTCGCTTATTACGTATTCTCACAGTGCAGGTTAAAAGTACCCACATTTAGGTATAAATGGGTGACTAGCGACAGCTTAGGTATATCTATTTCCATCTTAAGTGACTACCTAGAGAGATGAAATCTATATTACTATTTATACAGCAAACAGCAGAGCCTATTTTCAACGCCAAAAGACTTTGTTTAGCAAATAGCAGCAGTCAGCACCACAACGTCTGTAAGGCAGAAGACTGAACTTTATTTACATTACAGAACAGAGCGACTGTTTGTCTTGTTTCAACTGTCTGTTAAATAAAAAATAAAAAAACGATTCGGGTCGATGACACTATTCCGAACAGAGCGCCGTGAGCCGATCGGTCGCTGTCGGCGGTTGAGGCCCAGGCCCTGGAATAGCATTCCACTAGCTGCAGGTCCGGAATTTCCCATTTGAATATCCTTATTTACGAGTCGTCGTGCTGGTAGTTGCGACGAAACCAGCCGGGTATTCCCCTCACAAAGCCAGTGACCGAGCTGGACATTCTTCGGAGCGGTGTCATCTGAACCTCCTGCTGCAGATCCTCCAGACTAAAGCCTGCAGAGGGCACCAATACTAATCAGCTCATCACCAATACTAATAGGCACCGTGAAACGAGACAATGTCCGATGGTCGCAATGTTAACGCTTCTAACTACATGGGTGAGGCGATCGATCACACCTATACCAGGGTGATCTGGCCGCCGGTATCACCTATACCAAGGGTGATCTGACTGCCGCAGTGTCATCTACCCACGGTGTTCTGGCTGCCGGTATTACCTTGCCTATAAGGTAATAAGGTAAGGTAATAAGGTGTTCTGACCGCCGCCGGTCCCACGGTGTCGTGGCCGCCGGTGTCACCCACCTAAGGTAATCTGGCTGCCGCGCTGGTAGGTGGGCGTCATTGACACGCCATCGGCGAACGCGCCGTCATCGGGCAGGCTGAGGGCGGCCTCGGACTGGGCTAGGCTCTCCGTGTCCGAGCGGAACTCGGCACGGATCCGGTCCAGCGCTGTCCAAACACAAACACTGGGTAAAACACAAACACAGACACTGGTAAAACACAAAGACTACAAACACAAACACCGGGTCATTGCGGTGAATGGGTAAATTTGTGAGCGACAAATGTGCTTGAAATGGCCAATTGCGAACGTTAAGCATGGTGTTGCTTGGTATACTGAAAAGGATGAGTAGCCGATACTTCTTTGGCGACTGCATATCCGTAACCGAAGGTTTGTTGTCAATAGTTAAAACACTATTCTTTAGAATTGTGTTTTTCTATTGAAAAACAAATCTGAGTTCCCTGACAATTTGGCAAAAGCTGTATGTTGATCTGAGGACCACATGCCGTCGTCAGATGCACAGACCGCTGTTTGCGCTATTTTTATATTCATGAACGACTCTCAATTCAAGTCTTATCACAGATCCAATGCTGGTAGCTTGCATTCTCAGAGCCATACTCAGATAACTGACACCCAATGTCAGCCCCAGACCTATTGATGATGGTTGGTTTAGGGCCTTGGGCTGGGTGAATCCCATCCATCCTCTGATGCTATAAGGGTCGCCGCCGGCCCCACTCTCGGCTATTGGCTGTCGGCTGCGGCTCGGCTGTGTGTGCTCAGTGCCCACCACTCCATCACTGCCGGCCAGCGAGAATGAGTAATGAGTATGCTGGGGTGACTCTGTCCAAACACTGGCTATAGCTCTGTCCGGGAATCCCAGTGCTGCTTACACATTCACGTACGTGGCAACTGACCTCAGCGGTGTAAATGTCTTAGCATGCACATATAATCTGTATTAATATTTAATGCGACAATTGTATTGTATTGTATTACCTTCATGGACAATCCACGCGGGGCGTGGCGATTACAGTCCAGAGTCTGAGTCGGGCACAAACAAAAACATGCGGGGACAAGAAACACAGGCATACAGATTCAATCGCTTGACATTCGCTCTCTCTATATACAAACGGACGATTCAGACAGCACACCGCACACGGATGTCGCACCTCCTTCCCCTGACACGGGTCATCGTCGGGCGGTCGCCATCGCCGGACAGACTGCAGCCTTGGCCGCACGGGCGAATGGGGCGGGGCGCTGTTCGATGACACCGGGAGGCAGACTGTTTAGTAGCGCCGCGGCCCGGTAGCCGAATCGTCGCTTGCCAGTCTCGAGCCGCGAGCGTGGAAGGTGGAAAAGGTGGTCCTGCCGGGTGGACCTCTCTCGCGCGTCACTGTTATTCGTGAAGATGGCAGCTAGTGCTTCGGGCTCGCCGTTGCTTATTATTTTCTGCGCAGTTACCATGGTTTTAACATCGGCCATAGCTTTCGGAGGCATCCATCCGAGTGAATCGCGGAGGCCAGAGACGTGATCGAATTTCCGGCGGCCGAATATGACCCGTGCTGCAAAGTTTAGAATTTTTTGAAGTCGGTCGAAGTTTTTCTGGGAGCCATTTCCATATACAGTGAGGCAGTACTGGACGCGCGAGATGACGAGTGCAGTCACGATCGTTTTGAGGATACCGTCTGGGAGGCAGTGTCGTGCGTGGGAGAGGCCGATCAGTACGCCCATGCAGCGACGGCTCAGCTCGGCCACGTGTGCTTCCCAGGTGAGTGCGCCGTCGAATACAACACCCAGGTTTCCCACCTGCGCGCACGGCAGGAGCTCAGCGTCACGGAAAGAGATTTTGAAGCGAGGCAGGTTACGTAGGTTTTGTCGGCTACCGAATACCATCAGTTGAGTTTTAGAAGCGTTGACTTTCAGGGCGTGTGCGCAGAACCATGCGTTAAGTGACTCTAGCGATGTCTCCATGCGCGAGATGAGACTCCTGATGTCGTTGCGTGGGCCGCTCACCAATATCTGGGTGTCGTCTGCGTACTGATAAGCGGTGGCGTCTCCGGCAAATAGTGAGAGGTCGTTGGAGAATATAGTGAAGAGGAGGGGACCCAAAGCCGAACCCTGGAAAACTCCTACGGTGTTTGGGAGCGGTCGAGAGGTTATCTTACGGCCGGTTTTGTCTTTCAGGGATACACTCTGCGTGTGTCCCTGAAGATAAGCCGAAAACCAGGAGGTCTCAATACCGTAGATTTGGAGCTTTTTGACAAGGAGTTCATGGTCAATGACGTCAAAACATTTGCTAAGGTCTATGAGGCATAGCATTGAGATCTCACCCCTATCGGTGGCGGCAAGGATGCTATCTGTGACTGACAGCAGTGCAGTCTCAGTGGAGTGTCGGGGGCGGAATCCGTGTTGGGTAGACGAAAGAAGGTGGTTATGGGTGAGATAGTGATAGAGCTGCTGATGGATTACACGCTCGATGATTTTCATGATTACGGGAACTAGGGAGATCGGTCTGAAATTGCTGGGGTCAGATGGGTTGCCCGACTTGAAGATCGGTTGAACGATAGAGTGTTTCCAGGGGTCAGGAATGTCGGAACGGGTGATTGAGACGTTAATGATGTGTAAAATGATGTCGCCAATAGTTTGGAAGCATACTTTTAACATGCGGATGCATATACCGTCAGTGCCACGCGCGGCAGAGTTTCGCATGCTGAACACTGTGAGTCCGAGTTCCCCGAGAGTGATGGCCCTCGGCCTAAAGCTGCATGCGCCGACACGGGGTAGACGTACATTTAGATCAGTATCGTTGTTTTGGGTACTCAGTTCGGTGGCAATGCGGGGCCCGACAGAGACGAAGAAGGAGTTCAGATCGTCGGGAGATAGATCGGGCTGAATATTTGGACCATCTTTCTTTCCAGCGATCACTGATTTGATGCTTTGCCAGACTTTGTTTACCCCACGCTCGCTGATCTCGTTTTGGAGGACGTGACGGCGGTCTCGGCGTAAGGCGGCACGGACGGAGCGGTTAAGAGCCTTATACTCGGGAGACTCGCGGCCTAGCCGACGTAACGCGGAGCGACGCCTGGACATAATGTCGCGGGTGGCGGCAGATACAGGGGGCGCTGTAGGATTTCTTATCAGCACATTTTTGAGGGGGGCATGGTCGTCGAAGACAGGTAGAAAGTTGTCTAAAAAGACCTGCCACTTGTCAGCAACAGACGTCGAGTTATAAACTTCCTGCCAATCGACACTCAGCAGCTCTTGGTTGATAGAGTGAACGTCCACTTGGTTAAGTGATCTAGATTGGATGACAGTTGGTTTTAGGCGCTGCTTAGGCACGTCGACGGTCACGTGGATGAGTTTGTGTGGGCTGAAATGGCAATGGACTACGCTATAAGAACGCACAAATTTTCGGTTTTGTACAATACACACGTCCAAGAGAGAACCGGTAGTGAATGTTGATGTTGTCACGAGTTGATCCAGGGAGTAGTCAGAGAGGAACTCGCTGATGTGTTGACGGGCGGGAGAGCTAGCGCTCTTTAACAAGTCACAATTCAGATCGCCGCATATAACAAACGGGACGTTGGGGTGGTCGATAAGGACACGCTGAAGCTGGGTTTCCAAGTCTGTAAAATCCGCACGCAGTGCGGTCGCGGAATAACGCGGCGGTCGGTACACCGAGCAGACAATCAGATTGCGATTTTTTGGTAATTTCAACAATGCCCACTGCGATTCCAGAAGACTGTCCGGGCACTGCGAGCTTGGTGGCTTCAGTGCTACAGGCGTAAGGTCCGCTTTGGTGATGATGGCGACGCCACCAAAGCCTCGGCCGTCAGGTCGGTCCACCCGGCTGATGGAGTAGCCAGGGATGACCAGGAGGCGATTGGGTGTGCTCGGTCGTAGCCAAGTTTCGGACAGAAGCATGACGTCGAGATCTTGGCGGTTAAGTTCGTCCGACAGCTCCAGCAGTTTGGGCTTGAGGCTCTGGACATTGAGGGCTCCGATTTGCAGTCCGGTGCCGGGGCGATGAGCGGTGGGCGCGGTCGCGGTGCGGCCGCCGCCCCGCCCCCTCCGTCCACGCGCGCCGCGGCGCTGCGGCCGCCGGCCGCCGCCTCGGGCCGACCTAGGGGCGCCGGTAGCTGGTGCGGCGGGTTGACCGGCTGGAGCGGGTGCGGAGGCGAGGGCGGTGGGGAGCTGGGCGTGAGGCTCGGGCGATCCGCCGGTGGGCGGCGGTTGTGGACGGCGTCCGTCGCTGCGGGCCGGCTTGTGGCGCGTGGAGCCTCTGATGGGCGGGGCCTGGGCTGCCGGCTGCGCGCCGTGGGACGCGGGCAGCGCGAGCGGCCGCTCCCCACCCCCGCGGGCCGGCGGGGCTCTCAGCTGGAGGGGAGGGTGAGGCGACACGGCCGCCAGCTGGCGCCCGTGGGGCTCGGCGCGCGGCGCGGGACTGCGGGCCGTCGTCCCCGAGGCTCGGGAAGATTTGAAAACCGGCAGCCGTTGGGTGGCTAGAGCTGGGGCCGGGTCACAAGTAGAGTTAGATGAATTCCGAGAAAAATTGCGTGGGAAAGCAGGTTTTCTTACGGTGAGGTGGTGCCTGAGACGGTGATCGGCAACTCGAAGCGTGGACCTGGGTGGCGGCGCTGGTGCCGGGCAGGCCACGACGGTCAGTACCCGCACTACGGCGAGCAGAACCAGGAGCCGGGCGATATCACGGTGCATGTTGAGGCGAAAGGGGTATTGGCCACGATGAGATCTTGAAGAGGTTGCAAACGACGTATCCATGTAGAAACTGTTCAAGTAGCACAAAACCACACTCACACTCACACTAACACACGGAGTAGGCAGAAGGGGGTAACGGGGAGGAGTGAGCAGCGCTCGCGTCCGCTCGCGGCGGCGCGCTCAAACAATGTGACCATGAGCTGTGCGACGCAGTAGCTGTGTCGCTGAACCCGATCGACACCTGCGGAACTTTGGCACTGCTGAGAGGTGACATTGGCCACGCGGGGCCACGGCCGTTCGCCTGAACGATTGGCATGCATGGTTTGAAAAGTTATCGGGAAAGAGGCCCTCGCGGCTGGCGGGTAGTGCGAGAATACATTTGGTTTGATAAAATTACAATGTTTCGCATGCACGCCATGACACAAATTATTTTGCAGCGGATATTTTATGACTTTTTATTGTTTGATTTTATGATTGGCGTAATTATCGATAAGTAGGACTGTAAAGGCCTCGCTACACTATGCGTTTTCTGCGTGCGTTTTTTGCGTGTTTGCAGGTTTTGCGTAAAATCGTTTTAGAAAAATAAACGATATTACGTTTTCGTGATGTTTTTTATATGTAACTGTAGTTAATATAAGAGTTATATTAACTTCTGCATATAACTACATAATGTAAAAATTATATTATTTTTTACTTTTTTCTAGAACGATATTAGGCAAAAAACGCAAACCCACAAAAAACGCACGCAGAAAACGCATAGTGTAGCCAGGCCTTAAGAGAAGAATGGTTAATGTCCTACGTTAATAACTAGCAGTGTTCATTCTTTGCAAGCTTTTTGTCTTATGATGGAAAATATCATGAAATTGGAAAACTTGTAAGGTGCTCAGTGCTTACCTTTCTTTAGGTCCATTTCATCCATCTCAATATTTTGAATGATCTTCAGCTTTTGCCGGAACTTCTTGGCGAGCATCTTTCTTCTGTAGTCTGCCTCTATTTCCATTTTTGTTCTCGGGATGCGAATACGGAAGCAGCAGCAAAAGAAGGTGACTGAAGCAGGCGTAAGTATACTCAGTACTCGTTCTGCCACTATCAGATGCGATACGGTGATGTAATGAAGATTTAAGGGCACAAGTATTTCAAGGGAACTAATGCATTCCAATGCATGCTGCTTTGTCGTATTTACTTATATGACAAGATAAATTGTGTACTGTGTAACTGTTAATGTTGGGTTTATTCACTTGAAATTTCGGTGGAATTCACTCCTACGCTTGCGGATAAAAAGTGCCGTCTAAGCCGATCCCCGGCAGTATGTCAGGCAGTATGCCTCACCGATGGCCTGAATGCCGGCGGCCGTGAGAAAGATGACGTGCCACCGGCGGAACCCGCCCACGATCCTCTGCTCGAGCCAGTCGACATCGTCGTCCAGCTCAGACGCCATGATGTCGGTGCAGTTCTGAAAGCAAGCGCCGCGCCGGGCGGCTCAGAAAGGCACAGATACCGGGGCTGGAGTTTGGAGGCATGGAGTGCAGAGTTTCGTAGAGCGCTACGAGGAAAGATCACTCCAATTTCCAATTAAGCTGTTGTTCGGAGTCCGTATGAAATATTATCAAGTGAATTAGAAGCCTGGCCATTTAATAATAAACCGATGTCTCAAATGAGAAAACTTGGTGAAAATTGCCACTGCTCCCGCCGAGTCGGTACAGGGCACAGCAATGTCACTGACCTGACCAAGCAGAGGGTCGCACTGCATTATAGCTGTATCCATGTCGGCTGTCCGTCCCGTGGAAGCACAGCTCGGGATGACGTATGTGCTCTTCGGAGCTCAACTTGCCTGTTGTGCTGTTACTGACACCCTGACACTGCCGTGCCGACACCGCTGTCCTGACGCCGTTTCCTCACACTGCTTTCCTGAAACTGCCCTCCTTTTAACTTCGGCCACGCACCGTTACCGCTATGACTGCACCGTCACCAAAATCCTTCTTGCCGTCTTCTTAGCAGTAGCATGGTAGCAGTGAGTGCTGACTTTCAGACCTTCTTAACGCTTCTCCACCTCTCTCGTTCACCGCTCTTCTGCGTCCTCAGCCGTCTTCTTTTCCCCACTGACCTATCGCCCCCACCGGTTACCTCGACTGGTGAACCACACACCGGTCCGCGCGGGGGTAGCGAGCCGCCAGGTGTGACTCGGCACCCTCGCAGCGCGGCGGGCCGCGACCACACCCTCTCATCTGCTAATGGGACGCCGCACCCGGTCGATGGCAGCCCGGTGAGCCTCCGTCACGACAGCGCGCTGAAAGCCGGCCAGTTCGGTGACTGATGGACGGTATGAGCCGACCCGGATGTCCGCACGGCGGTCGGGCTGCCTGACAACGCACGCGGGGCCAGCGCCGAGAGCTGTACGGTCAGACATGGTATAATTACATACATTGCACACAGGTTAACGGAGATTAACAGTAGGCATAATGTAAGTACATACATATCACACAGCACCCTGCACTGCGGACTTTGTCTTATGTAGGACTGATACTCTTTCAATTCAATTCAAGTTCGTTTCATCAAGAGCATGCATCGGCAATCTTCTTGAGGTGTGTACTTACGTTACACCGGATAAAACTGCCATCTCTTGAACAGCTACAACATAAAATGAGCGACCATTACTTGTAGTAACGTTTGCGAAATATGACTGTACAATGAATGCGATATGAATTTAGTTGCGACAGCTGAATATGTTGTTATGCGTCACATATGTACATGCATAGTACAAAATGCACTCTTCATTGCCCTGTGCCAACAAGCAAAGGCTAGATTCAAAGTTTTGCCGATGCTAGCCGCGGGCTGGACGCCCGACGGTGCATGGTCTCCATGGACCAGACTAGGCTGCCGACCCTGGGGCCGAGAGTTGAGCTGCCAGGTGCCGGTTGGTGGGCAGAGGTCACTGACTCTGACGGACCGGACCTTCAGTATATAAGGACTCAAAATCAGTGAACTGGGCAGGCCGGTGAAGAGTGCTTGGGAGAACAGGCTAGAGAGAGGCCAATCATCATGGCAGTCGTCAAGATACGCTCTACAAGGACCGCTACGATGGTGAGTGAGTAGACTCACGAATTAATTAATTTCAAAGGGCTTGGTCAAAACTTATAATCGTTAAACTAAACTATATGAGACTGCGATTAGCGTATCTATCGCATAATCGGATCCTGTTACGAGGATTTATCGGGATCCGTTCTCTTTAAACGATAATTGAGTTTGGACACTGCTTGCCTCTCGAGTTCTCGAGTCCCGACTTGTTATGTTTTTTTCTTTAAAGCGCCGTGAGTTCATTTAAAGGGATCGGATTCCCATGGAACCTCGTAGCGGGATCCACTTCACGAAACACAAGGAGTAAACAATGCATATTTTACGTGGCTGCAATGTGCTTCACTACCATCCTTGCGAAGTGCTTTTGGTCGCGAACTATGCTCGAAAAAACATAGCTGCACAGTGCACAGATTGTGCCCGAGAGTCGGTGCCTACGATTCAGGGTTGTATACGACTCAATCAATAGCTCAATCAATTCAATCACGACAAATTTGGGAAACCAATCAGGCAATCAAATCAATCAAGTCAGAGCAGTTTTCGGGAATTGATTCAATCGACTCAAACGCGACAATGAAAGGAATCAATCAACTCAATCAAACGACTCAAACCAAGACATACATTAGGTTTTTTGCCCCACCAACTTGGAAAAGTGTCCATAGCAGTCTGGTGTGCCTACCTACCTACCTACCTACCTACCTACAGAAGAAACATAAAAATATTGTCATTTAAAATTATAAATTGCCATGCCATTCAAAGTTTCTATGTAATAAGGAAGGATACCTAGTGATGGACAGGTGGATCATGATATTGAGGTTCAATGGGTAGAATTGGAGCAGAAGTTTCATTTAATGGGTGCAAAATAACCCAGTAGTTTACTCGCCCCTTCACCCAAATCACCACCTTTCACCTAAAAGCTGTCAATTTAATTTTGGCCATATTCCAACTCCATTTACACTAAATACCAGAAAACGTTTTGCCAATATGTAAGTATGCTAAGTTTTTATACGTCCTTATTCTACGTCTTTTGATTTTTTGGTAAGATGACGTCATTGATTATCATGTAGTATGGTAGATCATCATAAAATAAATCGGTTGTACAACACCAATTTCGTTTTAATTATTATTTCATTTGAAATAAAACCACTTAATAATATTCGGTAAAATATTTTAAGGAAAATGAAATCTATTAAATATGTTATGCTTAGGATCTCAGGAGAAAAGGATCAACAAACGTTCTGCTGCAAATTAAACAATGCAGCAAATTAGCTATTAAGGTACGTAAACGTAATTAGCGAGACGAAAACGGCGCTTTTGTTTCAGTTATTTTTGTAGGGGTTTCAGATATTTATAGAGTTCAGTGGGTTGTTTCTGAGGAGGTGTGGAGGTGTGAATTATTAATTAATCACACTTTATTAGTATATAGGGCCTTGCACTTTATCATTTGGATTAAAAAAAAACGTTTCCTGCTGAGTGCAGAAAGGTAGGTAGGTGCATCGCCAGGTTCTATCACCAGGATTGGAGCAGTTATTGCAGTTGAAAGTCAAAGTTGGCTGTTCATGTTTAGGCCCTGTTCTTTATTTGGCCATCTACCCCATTTTGCAGTTGTGATGACAAGCAGTTTTCAGTGTAGTTTTGTGCTCTTTGATGTCATCAATTGGTGTCATTATTTTTCGTCAACTAAAACTTATTTGAACTTTCCATTCAATCGACTCAATCATACGAGTCACTCTAATTTTCGGGAATCAAATCAGTCAACCAGTCGCTAAAGTCAAACGAGTCAGTCAACCAGTCATCTCGAAAAGTCAATCGACTCAATCCAATCAACTCAAAATACGCGTTGAAACAAATCAATCAATCCAATCGACTTGATTGGTATACAACCCTGCTACGATTAGGCCCGAAAGTTATGCTTGCCTCCCCTTTTCTATGAATAACATTAAAGTTATCAACATGTTCGCCAACAAACATTTGGGAAGCACTGCAAAAACGATGCAGTGTATGCATGTACATTGTATGTACACGTACAGCCCTCAGCAGACTGCGTGGTTACGGAGCGAGCGAAGCGAGCGTAGTCTTTCCTTAGATTAACGGAAATTTCTGAGTATGAGCGGCCGGCCGGCCGGCCGGCCGGCCGTGGTCACGCTTTTGCGAGGCTTATATCTCAGCAACCACTTGACCGATTTACACGCGGTAATTTTTGTAGGGTAGCTTCATTCCTTCTACCAAGTATTGGACTATTCCCGATGCATGTGGGTTACCCCTTATGCACGTGCCACGTACAAAACGAAGAGGTGTCACTTTTGTAATTGTTGCAATATCTCGGTAACTACTTGGCCGATTGCGCTGAAAGTTGGCATGCAGGTAGGCACCCACTAGGCAATGCATATCCATGTGCCAGAGTTGGGGTGCTGCTGCACGTGCGCACGTGCAGGGGTCGATTCCAGAGCTCGAGAACGGCTGGACCGATGGCGCTCAAATTTGGTACATGGCTAGGGACCGGTTAGTAGGGTGCAGTGCAAAAGTCAGTTGGGACCCATTTTGCACGTGCGCACGTGCAGGGTGCCGCTTCCAGATCTCGAGAACGGCTGGGCCGATTGTGCTCAAATTTGGCACATCGCTAGAGACCGGTTAGTAGGGTGCCGTGCACAAGTCAGCTGGAGGTACCCCCTCGAAATTTCGCACGTGCAGGGCTCACCCTCTCGCTCGCTCCGTTAGTCGCCCCAAAATGCGTTATACTGGTAGGTATTCTTTTTTTCGACAAAACCGATAATAGCTCAAAGGCGGAACTCATTGCACATAGATGCGCCATGCTCCACTCCTTCGATTAGGTCTATCACTAAACAAACTATACGCCTTGTGTGGCAACAAAATGCAAAAGTTTGTTTTGGGGGCAAATATAAATTTTTGGGTTTTGTTGCCGAACTAGATGGAAAATGAATACGGTGATGATGCCAACCTAAGGTATGGAGTCTCACGCGTCTTGCTGTTACGATTTCCGAGTGACCGATAGCATGGTATTCGCGTTATTCTCGTTTTTGTCGAAAAAAGAATACCTACCTACCACGCAGTTTGCAAGAGGGCTGTACATTGCAAGTACAACTGCAGTCGGTTTGTTTACTTTAAATAATATTACATCGGAAACAAAGATGTTTCCGTTGTGATTAAATCCTGCTTTATACCAGAGACAAACATCGGTGTGCTGTTTCAATAATAACTTTAAATCCAGTGAGATAATTTCAGCTTTAACGTGCATAATGTGTAGGAGTGAGAAATTGTGTGTACATTTCCGCAGTCACCTGATAGTGCAAACGGATGGTATAGATGGTATAGAGTTTCATTATTCCAACTAAATATCTTAACATGTTTCGGGCCTGCTTCCCATCGATTATATTGGAACTAAAGCGCTTCGTATACGTATTCATTAAAACTATATATTTATTTATAGCCAGTTAATTTGATGTGTACCTGTCGCCTGCGGCGTTCACGTGCAATCTAACATTGTCAAATCACGTTTTGTCCTCAGACGTGTCTGCTACTGTTGGTGATACTGCTAACTCTCGGTCCGAGCGGTGAGGCGGTGGCGCCACGGCCTGCTGAGCTGTCCGGTCTACCGCGCCCATTCAATGCGAATCCTGGGGTGCTAGACCTTACAAGCATACGACCTCCTACACAGATACGACCTTCTACACCGAAACCCACGTTACTCGTGAATGTGATACCCCCCAGATGTGCGCGTGGATTCGAGCGCTGTGGTATATACCCCAACGTGCTCTGCTGTCGGTGTTGGTGACATACCAGGGAAATAAGCTAAAAGTAGAGCGCTCTATTTATTGCTCCTGCCCCATGTTGAAGGGATACCCCTAAAAGCGTGATCTTTAATCGGCCCTTACGCAGCAAGGCAGTACTTCTCAGACCGGTGGATGGTATCAATAGAAAGAGAATGCGTCAAATATTAACATGAACTAATTAAAATAAAATTAAAATGTTTATTAAGCGAGGAAATTAGTCCCAAACATAAGCTAAATATTGCTCCTACCTCGGCGACCGCGCTCCCCGCAGTCAGCTGAGAAGCTAAAATAAGAGCCACCGTCCTCCTCCATAAGTCAATTTTAGAGCGGCCGAGTGGGCCGATGCGGGGCCACCACACTGAGCTAAGACGTGGCAAGCAATTGCAAACCGCCATAGAAATCAATATCTTAATACGTACAATAAGGGATGATTACTCTGAAGCTGGTGTGAAAGCATGAGTAGATTGCAAGAAACGAAATGCATAGATTGGTTGAATCATGTACAATAGGCACAGCTCAATAAATGAAACCATTTCTATGATGTTGGCGTTTGATATAACCCTTCCTCTCCTCACCGAAGTGCATTGGCAGTTGCCTGCATAGTTTTTGAGCACGAGTGTAGTTCGCCATCGGACCGCAATGCATGTTGCTAGGCTGCTGCAATGACAACGAACATAAGAATACTACCTTCATTTGTAGACGTTTGTTTTAAGGCGGTCTTTGACGTACAAGGGGGCATACCTGTCGACAACTTGAGTTTCTACGAATTTCAAAGCTCCCAGAATTTCCATTCCTTATGCACTGTTGTAGGTACAGCTATGTTCACAAGTTTTCGTTTCCTCCTGTCTAAAAAGGATGATAGGTACCTATTTGTCGAAATTTCGTGTGCCGCTGATAGTAGGGGGTGTTTAACCCTCGCCGGCACAGGCCATTTTGCGTCCTTCGACGGCACAAGGGGGGGGGGGGTTGGTACGACCCCCCCTCGCGTTTGGCCCCTGATCGAGCTAGAGCTTCGCAGAAAAAACGAGCGTGTTGCCCGTCACGAGACGAAGCCGATGATACCCAATTTTAAGGTCCTAGGTCATCGGGTGACCTTCCAGGTCAGGTCAATGACCCGAAAACCGGGAAAATCGGGACCTGTTAGAAAGTCGTAAATTGTGGCTGCTATGTGGTTTTCCGGGGTGCTGATCACGAATATCGTGTTAGTTTTGATCAGAGATGATGTCTTGAAGCATTTAGACCAGGTCGGGTCAGGTCAGGTCAGGTCAACCGGTAGGGATTGTGACGGGTATTCGTAATACGTGTCAACCACCTCTGACAGCTTCGTAACATGTTACGAAGGCACCAAAACTACTTCGTAAATGTTCAAATGGTTGCTAAATTCGAATTCAGCTCCAAAAACTAGCCTATAGAAACATGTAAAACTCGAAAAAGTGAACCGAGGTCACCCGAGGTCACCAAAGGTCAATGACCTGACCTGACCTACAGGTGACCTTGACACCCACCCTAATGTATGGGAGCGACATCAAATCACATGTTTGAACGTTTGAAACCACAAAAAGCTTGCAAACGCGCGGCTAATGTTAGCCGACATACTCCGAATCGCGATTCCGGCCAAACATGGTCTCGGAAAAGAGGTCACAGGTCAAAGGTCATTGGGGTCAGGGTCATGAAATTTTCAGGGTAGGTGTAAAATTGATCAATGCGAGGGTACTGAAAGTTTCGTCGCGATCGGCC